GCAAACCCGAGCCTATCAGGCCTGCTGCCGCTGATGGAGGCGGACGGAGAGTCCACATCCCTCCTCCCTCGACGCCTCGCCGCCCTGGAAGCCGAACTGCCACCTGAGGGAGTAGACGCCCTGCAGACAAGGAGACAGAAGCCTAACGGGCCGAAACTACAGCAGGCCCTCTCCCTCGCAGTACACACCGCCCGCTACATCCGACTGCTTGACGGCTCACGGAACATGGAGCCGAACCCATTGTTCGGCCACACACAGAGGCTACAGTCCCTCTTAGGACCGGGGGCGGGGGATTGGCTGCTGGCCATCCCCCTGATCCCTGCCCTCCGCCTCGGACCCTCCCAGTTCTCCACCGCTGCGTCCTTCCGCCAGGGGCTGCCCCTATCTGTGCCGAGACGCTGCAACTGCAGGTACCGCACCACCTTCCCGGACCATCGCCTGCCGAACCACTTGATGCGGTGTGAAAAAGGGGGGGGGAGAATCAGCACTCACAATGCTTTGAGGGATGAGTGCGCGAAGATAGCAGCTGAAGCGGGATTCACGGTGCACAAGGAGACAACGGCATACTCACCGGTCGAAAACCTCAAAGCGGATATCTCTATCCGCCATCCCGACACCGACGCAGTGTGGATATGTGACATCACAGTCACGGACCCCGTCTCCCACCAGGATGAGTACGCTCGCAAGGCACCCGGGTGGGTGGCCAGGATGCAAGCGGACAAGAAGGAGACCAAGTACGCCGGGCGGAGCCCGTGGGTGGGCTTCTACGCCATGGCCGTGGAGACCTACGGGTACCCTTCAGCTGGGGTCCTCGACTTCCTCCGCAGCTGCGCGGAACTGGCGGCGAAGCGGCGGTTCAACGCCCCACCGAAGTCTAGGGAGGCGGCGAAACTACTCACCGAGTACCGCCAGCGCTGGAGCGTGACCCTGCAGAGAGCCCAAGCCAACGCCCTCAGGGACAAGACCCATGAGGCACTTACCGCGGATGTGCTTGGCATGCAGGGCCCGTTCACTCCACTGAGCGAGGACCAGCTATACCAGTTGGTAGAAGACCCCTCCGGCCACTAGGGCCGGAAGGGGAGGGGGAGCGGCAGTAGAGGTGACGGGATAGGGGCGTGATATAGTAGCTTTGCTGCATGTGTTTGCTGACTTACCTTGTCTGTACCTTTATGATATTAATACGAAGGACCGAGAGAGAGAGAGAGAGAGAGAGAGAGAGAGAGAGAGAGAGAGAGAGAGAGAGAGAGAGAGAGAGAGAGAGAGAGAGAGAGAGAGAGAGAGATGATGATGCATACTCCTCCGCACCTCGTCAGCCTGTAAACCCGACTGGAGCGCGATGATGAATCGGCTCCTGCGATTTCGCCAAGGGCTCTGGGCGGGCCTTTACGACGAGGCAGTCCAGGCGATTTCCCTGCCACCGCAACCTCGCCACGCTCCTGACACAACTGGGATACTGGCAAGGGCGGAAGGACTGGCAAAACGGGGTAACTTGTCAAAATCACTCCAATCCCTCCAGGCCACTCCTGTGTCACCCGCCTCACATGAAGTGTTGGAAGCCCTCGCGGCGAGACACCCATCTGCCAGCCAACTGCTCCCTGACTGGCTCCACATCGCCACGGCAGAAACACCACCTACTATCGAAGCCCGCGACTTCCGGCGCCTCCTCGCCAAGCTCCCCAACGGAGTCGGAGCCAGCCCCTCAGGAACCACATTCGAGCACATCCGCGACGCAGCCCTAGGGAACGCCGAAGTACTCACCCACCTCCTCGCCCTCTCCAACACGGCTCTAGCAGGAAAACTCCCCACAATCGCGGGGGAACTACTCACGGCCTCCCGCCTGTTAGCCTTTACGAAACCCCAAGGAGGGACGCGGCCGATTGCGATGGGGGAGTGTCTCCTCCGGATTATAGCAAAGGCCGCTCTGTTCCTGACCGCGCCGGCCGCACGTACTCACTTTGCTCCCCTTCAGTTCGGAGTAGCAGTAGCAGGGGGGATAGAAGCGGCTATCCACACCGCTCGCACGTACCTGGAAGAGCACCCCGCTGCAGTGGCCCTGCAGATTGACCTCGCGAATGCATTCAACGCGGTCGAAAGGAGGGCGGTGTTCGAAGGACTGAATAACGAGGCGCTCAAGGAACTGATCCCCCTCGTCCGCCTTTCCTATGGAGCTCCCTCCTCAAAATACCTCGACCACGACTTCGGCGCTGCCCCGCTGCAGAGCGCCAGAGGTGTCCGCCAAGGGGACCCGCTCGGCCCCCTCCTGTTGGCGGCGAGCATCCACCCGTGCCTGGTTAACACCGCAGCTGCGCACCCTCAGGTGGTCGTGTTGGCGTACGCCGATGACATTTTGAGGCGCCTCAAAAGCACCCTCAGGTGGTCGTGTTGGCGTACGCCGATGACATTTTGAGGCGCCTCAAAAGCACCCTGAGGTGGTCGTGTTGGCGTACGCCGATGACATTTTGAGGCGCCTCAAAAGCACCCTCAGGTGGTCGTGTTGGCGTACGCCGATGACATTTTGAGGCGCCTCAAAAGCACCCTCAGGTGATCGTGTTGGCGTACGCCGATGACATTTTGAGGCGCCTCAAAAGCACCCTCAGGTGGTCGTGTTGGCGTACGCCGATGACATTTTGAGGCGCCTCAAAAGCACCCTCAGGTGGTCGTGTTGGCGTACGCCGATGACATTTTGAGGCGCCTCAAAAGCACCCTGAGGTGGTCGTGTTGGCGTACGCCGATGACATTTTGAGGCGCCTCAAAAGCACCCTGAGGTGGTCGTGTTGGCGTACGCCGATGACATTTTGAGGCGCCTCAAAAGCACCCTGAGGTGGTCGTGTTGGCGTACGCCGATGACATTTTGAGGCGCCTCAAAAGCACCCTGAGGTGGTCGTGTTGGCGTACGCCGATGACATCACGCGGCTCGGCGACGCCACGGCCTGCGCAGCACAGCGGCTTTCCAACACCTCACATCTGCATTAGCCGCCCTCGGCCTGGTACACAACCCGGTCAAGTGCACGGCGTGGTCCGCCGCTGCAATCGACCCCTCTGCAGTTCCCCCCGGCATCTCTATCGCTGAAGAGGGGTTGCAGATTCTCGGCAGCCCCATAGGTTCTCCCCGGGGCTGCGCAGGTGCTGTGAGAGAGAGATTGGCAGCAGCGGCAGCGCCTCTCCCCCTGCTGGCCCAGATGGACCCCCAGCTCAGCCTCCTCCTCCTCACCCGCTGTGTCAGCCGCAGAGCATCTTTTCTGGCCAGAACCACCCCCCTGGAGGCCCTCCCTGAAGCTGAATGGTCCGCTTGGGGGGAACAGCTTCTACACACCTTCCTGGATTCGGCTCACATCATGAGGCCAAGGAGCGCCAGGGAGAGACGGAGGATTTGGCGGCAGGCAGCCTTGCCAGTGACTTTGGGAGGTCTGGGCATCACTGACCCCGCCGTTGAAGGCAGCTACGCCTACCTCGCCTCGGTGATCAGCACCGCCCACCTCCTGCACTCCCTGGAAGACTCGTTGCACCCTGCTGTCGCCGCGCTCCTCCCCCTACTGGACCCGACCCACGGCTCCCCGCACGCGCTACCTGCACGCCTCGCTGCAGCCGAGGCAGCTCTACCCCCTGAGGCTCTCGAGGCACTCCAGGCCGGGAAGGCGGACCCCAAGGGACTGAAGCTGCAGCAGAGCCTAGCGCTGGCGGTTCACTCCCGCCGCTTCCTGAGAGTCATGCGCGAGGCAAGGCGGATGCGCCCCAACCCCCTTTCTGGCCACGCGCAACGGATGCAGTCGGTGCTAGGCCCAGGCGCGGGGGACTGGCTGCTGGCGATACCGCTCATCCCCTCGCTCCGGATGGGCCCATCCCAGCTCTCAACTGCAGCTGCCTTCCGCCTAGGCCTCCCCCTCCCCGTGCCTAGACGCTGTGACTGCCGCTACCGCACCACCTTCCCCGACGACCGCCTCCCCAACCACCTCATGCGCTGCGAGAAGGGAAAAGGGAGGACCGCAACCCATCACGCTCTGCGGGATGAGATAGCGAACATTGGGGCTGAGGCGGGGTTTACGGTTCACAAGGAGACGTATGTCTACTCTCTGGTTGAAAATCTAAAGGCGGATGTCACCATCCGTCATCCCCTGACCGGAGAGGTTTGGATGTGCGACGTGACCGTGACGGACCCGGTGTCATACCAGGATGAGAACTGCAACCGTGCTCCTGGATGGGCGGCTAGGGCGGCTGCAGCAAAAAAGGAGGAGAAGTACGCTCGGCGGAACGCATGGGTGGGGTTCCACGCGCTTGCAGTGGAAACTTACGGCTACCCCTCGCAAGGGGTGATGGCTTACCTGCGGCAGTGCGCGGAGCTGGCGGCAAAGCTGCGTTTTAACGCAGCTCCTACCTCCTACGAAGCTGCGAAGCTGCTGACGGAGTACCGCCAGCGCTGGAGCGTGTGCCTCCAGCGGGCGCAGGCCAATGCCCTCCGCACCAAGACCAATGAGGCCTTGGCGGCGGACGAGCTGGGCTTTAGAGGACCCATCATCCCTCTCAGTGAGGGACAGCTGCATCAGTTGATTGAGGCCCCGTTCGACCAGTAGGGTCGGACAGGAGGGGGGGGGCTGAGTAGGTAGGGGACTGGAGGTAGTTAGGATGCCGGTTTGGATGTTTGTGGCGCTTGTATGCTTGCATCTTCCTTTGTACCACCCCTCAAAGTAATGCAAGGACCATTCGAGAGAGAGAGAGAGAGAGAGAGAGAGAGAGAGAGAGAGAGAGAGAGAGAGAGAGAGAGAGAGAGAGAGAGAGAGAGAGAGAGAGAGAGAGAGAGAGAGAGATGCATGGAAAGAGGCGGGGAGAGGGACACAGGAATTTTTTATTCTTACCATAGAAAGCGGCACAGAGAGACATGATGTGGAGGATGCAATGCCAAGGATCAGGTATGGCTTGGAAGCCCTATTGAGAAACGTAATGTCGGATGAATTAACAAAAGACTCCGACGTTCTTTTAATTCAAACCTCCATTCTTTTGTTAATTCATCCGGCAAAAGGAATGGAGGATTGGATTTTAAGGAGAGGTTTTGGGATGATACTTTTTACTTCCATGTGTGTGCAGCACATGCAAGAATGAGAGTAACATTGGAACACTAGTCCACGATTTAGGCAGGGGGGAAATCCATACTCGATATAAGCCATGGGAGCTGCATCCCCAACGCGTGTTCGAGTTGGGAGAACTCGAGTGTAGCCTCCTGCTCTATCCCTGAATAAAGGGGAATTCACAAAAGAAAAGGGGTAAGGGGGGAGTGTGTGCAATGGCATGGACGACAGAGAGGGGATATGAAACATCCTCCTTTATGTCTAAGAGTGCGGAACAACAGCGAACAAAAATATTGAAAAATTGACAAGTAGCAAATCAGTGACAACTTTAAGAAACAGCGAAACTACAATGTGGCATACAAACAAACTGCACATACAAACTCTGTTCTCATTACAAGCAAACTCACTTGTATCTCTCTGACAGGTCATAAAACAGCTTCTGAAGCACGTCCTTCCCTCTCACCACTGCTGCTGCCTCCGACTGGGTGTGTCACATGTATATACACTCTGTCTCGTTACAAGCTCACTCACTTGTATCTCTCTGACAGGTCGTAAAACAGCTTCTGCAGCACGTCCTTCCCTCTCACCACTGCTGCCTCTGATAGTGTATGCCACACATATACTCTCGTTTCTGTATTGTCACACTCACTTGTATCTCTCTGACAGGTCGTAAAACAGCTTCTGCAGCACGTCCTTCCCTCTCACCACTGCTGCAGCTTCTCTGCGTGATTGCAGCGTCCCCTGCAAAGATGAAAGGGAGGAAGGCAGACGGTGGGGGGGAAGACGAGGATGGGACGTGCGGGATGGAAGTGGTGTGGTTGGTCAACAGATTGAACCACGTCCTTCCCTCTCACCAGTGCTGCAGCTTCGCTGCGTGATTGCAGTGTGCCCTGCAAAGATGGAGGGGGGGAAGCACGGGGCCGGAAAAGGGAAAAAGGGGAACGGTGAAGCGGGAGGAAGGAGAGCGTGGGGAGGAGGGAATAGAGATTTGATCGATGGTTGCATTGTCCAGCGTCACTTGCATGGAGGGTAGGAGTAGGGGGTTTCATGCATGATAACTCGACAGAGATAACATACACCTCCTTGGCAAGAGTAACAGTTGCGTACATGGTCAACATAGATACCACGCGCACGCACCTCCTCGGAAAGAGAAGAAACTGCGCACATTGCCAACACAACTCTATATCACGCACCTCTTTTGCAAGAGTGACCATCCTATCTGCAACGGGCCTCAACTCCTTAGCCTGGCGGGTGGGGGAGAGAGGCAGAGGTGGGGGCAGAGTAAGGCAGGGGCAGAGAGGGGAAGAGGCAGGGGGGGGGGGGAGACGTGGATGACCATTCGATCTGCAGCGAGCCTTAACTTCTTAGCCTGGCAGATTGGGGAGAGGGGGAGAGGTGGGGGTCAGAGAAGGGGGAGAAAGGTCGAAGGGAGGTGGCGGGGGAAAGGGCAAAGAGGGGGAGAGCTATGGGGGGAAAGGCAGGGGGGAAAGAGACGGGGGGGAGAGGCGGGGAAGAGAGATGGGTGGGATGAAAGGATTGGGGGATCGGCAGGTGGGAGAGAGGGGTGGTTGAAGGATGAAATACAGCCCTGATTGCGCATTTGTTCACTAACCGAATAAGTGAAAAAGAGAGGATAGAGACAGGGGAAGGAGCGAGTGGAGTAGAGAGGGTGGTGTGTGTGAGCGACACCAGCTTGTTACTAGGGTTATATGAAAGGGAAGGAGAGAGAGAGGGGGAAGGAACAAGGGAAAGGGAGGAGAGAGAGAGGGAAGGTGGAAGGGGGGAGGGACGAGGTAGGTGTTGGTGGTTAATCTTAACCACTGCCTTCAGCAATGCTCCCAGAAACCACCTCCTTTTGTTACAATCTTAACTATCTCAGTGCAGACAAGCTAATCTTACACTGCAATAACTCCATTATTCGCTAATTCTAACCCCCTACACTTTTCACAATGGAATTTACTCAAAGGTCACACAAGAGATAAATTTTGTAGTTTCAGCCAATCACACAACGGATAGCCTGGGTAGTTTTAGCCAATAAGTGCCCACCTTAGCTACAGTGGTTTCGATCCGTTCGTGCTGAATGAGTTGAGACACCATAGTGCTGCGGAAAAGGAGGGGGGAAAGAGGGAGGGGGAGAAGAAGGGGAGGAGGGTGAGGAAGGGATGGGGGGATGAGAGTGGGGGAAGAGGCGAAAGGGGGAAGATGTGGTTCCGATCCGCTCATGTTGAATGAGTTGAGACACCATGGTGCTGCGCGGGGGGTGAAGACAAGGGTGGGGGATGGGACGGGGTTTGGGGACGGATGAGTGGGGGAAGGAGAGGAGTAAGCGTGAAGGAGTGGTTTCGATCCGCTCGTGCTGAATGAGTTGAGACACCATGGTGCTGCGGAGGAGGGTGAGAGCGGAAGGGGGGAGACGAGCGCGCGGGGGGGGGGGGGGGGGGGGGGGGGGGGGGAGGAAGGGGAGGAGAGGGGGAGGGGGGAGGAGACTTGGAGGGGGAGCGGAGTTATCTTGATCCGCTTGTGCTGAAATAGTTGAGACACCGAAGTGCTGCGGAGGAGGGTGAGAGGGGAAGGGGAATGAAGGGAGGAAAGTGCAGCGGGAAGGGGAGGCGGTTGTTTTGATCCGCTCGTGCTGAATGAGCGGAGACATGGTGGCGCTGCGGAGGGGAGAAGGGGAGCAGGGGGGAGGTGGGGGGCGGGGTGTGGGAAGAAGAGAAGGGGAGAATCGCAAAAATGGCGTCTCCCGATGGAGAAACGAAGTCGTAAAACACAAAGCACGCGGTCAAAAGGGTTACATCTCCCGGCCCGCATCGTCGCATGCAGAAGCACGAGTTACATATCCCGGCCCGCACACGCACTCGCCTTCGTTGGCCGTACGTTTCAGCGGCAGCCACAACGGGAGGCGTAACACGCGCTACTTCCCAAGCACCGTACCGCGTCGCTCTGCTCCTATTCCATAGCACGTCACGACAAGCTATACTACACCTGCTCATTCGTCACATCGACTTGAAAGTCACCTCCGTTTCTCGGCTCACCGGCGCTACCCCCACCCCCCACTAATATCCGAGCATCTTGAATACCACGACGCAAGCTAGAGTGTGTTATTTCGGGCTCACGGCTCACTGGAGGAATCCCCATCAAATTCCGACTTTCCCGCAAACCGCGTCACCAAGCTAGAGCGTACCATCTCCGTCCCTCAGCTCACCGGAGCAATCCCCATCGATGGCTGCTCGCGCGGCCCAGCTTGCGAAACGCGTTACGGTGCTTCATTGCGACTTTCGCGAACAACTACAGCCAAAAGTTGATCCCACAACGGCGACGATCGCGCTGAAGCACACAGCCTTCGGAGCGGACCTTCCGCCAACAAAGATGTTTCAGCACGACGCTGGTCATAAGCAATTACGGTATTAATACAAGGACAAACTTCAATACTTGAGTAACAAGAGGAGTGTCACTGAAAGATGCACCAAAAAAATGACGTATCCGTACGAGTGCAATCAGCGGAAAAATGGAATGTCATACAGGTGAAACGAGTACGTAGATTTGTCATTGAATTTTTTTATTACACTCTGCCAGTATAACATTCTATTAAACACTTTACATAAACATGCCACTAGCTGGTGACTTGCAAGAGTCAAAATTGTATGCAGATTTACAACAGGGGAATGAAACGAGGCACTGATTCCATATGTGCAGTGTGTAATTGATTATGGCCAGGGTGTGTCAACTGAAAGAATATACGAAGCCAAAACTGTTGAGGTACACACGTGTTCACTTGCATCAAATGTCAGGGAAAAAAGCGGAGGGAAACCTTCAAAGAACCCTCCCTCTCTTTCCCTGCAAAGACAAAGGCAGATGTATCAGGACCACACATGACAATCCATTCCTCCCTGCTCTCCTAAAAATAAAAAGAGCATGTCACTTACAGGAGGTGCTGCAACCGTGACCTCCAGCTGGAGCTCTTGTGCAAGAGCATCTTCTTGCTCAGTTGCTTGATCTGCAGCACGCTTCACCAGGCAAGATGACTCGCTAGTCCCTTCCACAGGAAGAGAGTGCAGTGGCAGCGTATACAGCTCGTCCAAGAGCTTTGTGTCGGGGTTCAGAGATCCAAAGAGCTTCAAGCCGAAATTTCCCTGTAAAATGCACAAATCAGATCCGTTAATTTCCAGATTCCAAACTTATTGAATAGCATGAAGGAACCACAGCAGCAATCCCTACCTTGGGTGTGATTAGCTTCCCACAAAGCCGGTCAATAGCGGTCACTGCCAGGATAGTCTGAAAGTAGCAGAAAATAGGAGTGAGAATGCAACATAACTTCAGAAAAATACAGAGTGCTGCTTTGCACGGATCCCACCTGCATGTAGGCCTCAATAAGATCATCCACACCGACACCAAGCCTGTTGAAGTCCCGGCTGTCCATCAGCAGCAACCTGTCTGTTTCCGTTCCCCATGTCCCATCTGGATTCTGCATTCAAATCCATAAGAATAGGTCAGCTGCAATATGGGAGGCAATTTGTTGCATACGGGTTTTCCCGCATGCAGAGATTGGTGGTACCTTGTATGAAAGGTTGGTTCCAAGCATGTCCCAAGAATGAATCCCACTCTCAAGCTTCTCAGCAAGTGGAAGCTTGGCCCTCCGTGCATAGATGGCCACGGGAAAGAAGCCACCTGCCCCGGACCCCACCATCATCCTCAGGTCAGAGGCGTAGATGTTCCCTTTGCTTGTCGGAATGGTCCCCACGTGGTACAGCCTGCCACTCACACTCAGGGAACTCCAGCCGTTGTTCCCAATCAAGGCCTGCAATGACGAGGACAGAATTGAGTCATCTGCAGGAAACTACAAATTCCAGCCAGAAATAGTATGCAATGAATGAGACATGATAGGGACCCATTTTATTGAACATCTCGCCCTTGAGGTACCTGAACAATGAACCGGTCATAGCGCTGCTCAATCGCCATGAACTCCTTCAGCTCTTCGTCGTTTGTGATTGTCCACACGCCCTGACCTGCGTTGGCATAAGGAACCTTCACAACAGCCAAGCCACCCATTCTGCCGACCCAGAGGGGAATCTCCGGCTTGGCGACATCCCAAATGGTCTCAGGAGTGAGGATGGAGAGTCCGGTTGATGCCAGCGCAGCGTTGTGAAGATCGTACGCTTTAGCCCCCACAGCCTTGTTGCGTCCGCCAGCCAAACAAGCAAGGACAGGGTTGAAAATCATGGTCCGCGTCACGGGAGGTATTCTAGTCCATGGCCGCTGAGTCACGTATCTAATTGCACCCCTGACCTGTCGCCACTGTGGCTCTGGAGCATCAAAATCCGTTGGGGAACATTGTTGCTTCCCTTCGCTGGAGGACGAACTCGTGCGTGAGACTTTCGCTGTCATTACAGTTGGCACTTCCTCCTTCTGAGCCTTCTGAACGGCTCCAGCAATGTTGATCTCCAAAATTCCGTCCGGTCGCCACCTCCATTTCGGCTCTAATTCATCCGCGTAGCAGGGAGTGAGGTACACCGCTTCTCCCGTGAGATCAGCCAATGCTGCTGCGTATCCTGAAGCCTCCATTGGGTTCTTGTCGTACAGAACAGCCAGAATTCCCTCTGGAATAGTCTCTCCATTCCATTTGCCGGAATTAAGAACCGGAAGAAAGGCCTTCTCTAGCAGAGTCTTATAGCCGGCGTGCTCAAGGTCTTCATTCTCCATGGGCATGGACTTCTGTCCTGAAGGACATGAGTTTGTCTCAATAACGACGAATCGCTTCTGACCCTTCTCGGTCGTCACAGAGAACAAGTCAGCTCCGCCCCACTGAAAGTACCTGAACATGAAGAAACGATTGGTTAACAATTGACATATTCAAATGGCGAAAATGATATCGAATTTCTACGACGACTCACTTGCACGCATATGAAAGCGCCTCTTGAACCGCCTCTGGTTTTGCTGCAGGATGAAGGTGAACGTATCTCTTGGCGATCCTTTCATTTCCAAGCCCAAGAAACGACCTCACAAGAGGGTGTATCTGTGCATTCAGCACTCGGGGATAGAAATGCGAGGCTGGATCAAAGGAACCCGGCTTGTACACTTCTATCATCCTTAGGTCCTTCTTCAGCGGAGAAGGCGGAGGTGACAGACTCTCTTCCATTCCAGCCGGCATGGTGATCAGCAGAGAAACTCGGATTTTCAGTTACGAAGAGCCCGATGCTAATGTTATTTTAAAGCTAAAGTGACTACAGGAAGCCTGCAGACAAACAAACAAAACTTCGACGGTTAAAATGCGGCCAAACCACGAGTTCTCTAGAAGCAGTCAATCGCCATCAGCAAAAAACCTGTGGCGATCAAGGCGAGCAGACGACAGCCGCAGGATTGAGTGGTCTAAAACCTCTCGAGCGTCTAATATCTGCGTCCGCGAAGCACACGCCAGGCGGAGTTAGTCAGTTTGGTTGGGCATTTTCCTGCGTGACTGGGAGGGATATTCCAGGTTCATTGGAACCAGCAACTCCTCTGTTCAGTCTGTTCGGTCCAGTACTAGTTCAGGCTGCAGTTGGGTTTGTGTGGGAGATTCCCAAGATGCGAATGTCACTTGCAGTTTGATTCCGCTGAACTCGTGTGATTCCTCGCCTCGCCATGCCGGGAATAGCGACTCGTGATGTGGAGCCTGCCACTAGCAAGGTGATACGTTGGTGACACGGCATCGAGTCACACGGGTTGGTCAGACGATTCCAGCCACACGAAGTGGGTGTGGAAATGTTGCGATAGTGAAAACACAAAGCTCTTACACTAAAGAACTTACTACAAACTATATACTGTAGTAGGGGTACAGCAAAGTAACAACTAGATTCACTGGCTGGCTGGAAAACTCAGGACAAAGCTTAGTCATCCCTGTAATCAGATCCATGTCGGCCTGATGTAGCTGCTTCTCCCAATTCCACATCTCCACTCTCATCATCTCCATCCAGGAGCTCATCCTCCTCGTCAAACATCTCCATGAACTTCGCCGTGTCACTGTCCATCCTTCGTCTGAAGAGTGGCCAGGCTCCAGATTTGAGCCAGAAAGCAAGAAGACCAGTGAGGCAGCTGATGCCAGTAACCACGGCAATCACTACAAAGAAAACGTTTAGTAGATTCACGTTGTTCGTGTCTGTGCCCTCAAACTCATCTGTGGAGTTGGTTTAAAAAAAAGGGGGGAAACGGGGCAGCAAGAGAACAAGAATTGAAACAGGCGCACACTGAGCAACTGTTCACAAACTCACAATGAACATGTCACAATCCTACTCTGCAGCTATCTAGCGCACAACTAGGTAATTTCCAAATAGAGCAGCTATTTGTGGTAAAACACAATTCCTCTGAAGACATGCACTTGGCACACTGAACCCGTTACTTAAACCCCGGAAGTGCATAAACCCCCCACAACACATCAGAAGGCAGACCTTTACCCTCCAACGGCCAAGTAGCAAGGGACAAACTACACATCCCCAATCTTTCAACCAGGTGGAAGGATTTAAGTGTGTGAGTGTGTGTGTGTGCATGTGTGTGTGTGTGTGTGTGTGTGTGCATGTGTGTGTGGGGGGGGGGGGGAGGGGGGGGGTGGGTTTATAGCAGCATCGTTAACAAGAAGAGGAAGTGTGCACACCTCCAGAGGACCGTGAGGTTCTGTCAGCGTTGCAATGAGGGCAGACAAACGTCACATTCAGCTCATTCTCCACGAGGCGAGTGAGGCGGCCCGATGGGGCGGGAGCGAAGTCCAGGGGGCACAGGTTGAAGCGGTCAAACGCATCATCCTCTGTCAACGTGTCCGCGTCGTAAAAACCACACTGCTTGCAGTGCGCCTCTGTGAGCTCTGTCAAGGGCTGCAGACCGGGAAAATGCATGGGTGGAAGGTGGAGGAAGCGGAGTACAGCACTTGCTTAATCCATCCGGTCCTCATCGTGGCTGCAGCAGCACTCAGAAGCCATTTGCACTGAAGCACAGCGCAGAACTTGCACAGGGAGCCCAATCTTTGTCAGTAACCACAACACTCAGAAACCATCCCCATTGCAAGATCAAAGAAAGAAAAACCATAGCAGGAGATCACATGCGGAAGGATGGACACAGACACGTTAAACAGCACACAAACCAGTTTGCATGTCATTGGTCGATCGACTGGCCGCAAAATGAAACTCCACACACATTCTTCACGCCATCAACCAAATAGTAACTAAACAGTCATAACCTTCGCTCACCTGGAAGCGCTCACACCGAGTGCCGACCTGAGAGAATTCCTGCAGAGGTCCCACCCGGAAGAACCCCTGCAGAGGACCCACCTGGAAGAACTCCTGCAGAGCACCCACCTGGGAGAACTCCTGCAGAGCACCCACCTGGGAAAACTCCTGCAGTGCACGGTGCACCCACCTGAAAGGGCTCATGAAGAGTGAAATTGTAGCATGCGGAGCACCCACCTGGAACGGATCATGCAGAGGACGCACCTGGAAGGGCTCATGCAGAGTGAAATTGTAGTCCACGTTTGCTCCCACGACACCGTCGAGCTGGTGCTTGGGCTCTCCCTCGCACTGGAAGTACACTGACGGCTTCCAAAAGGGAAGGTCATGCGTCTGGAAGATCTTGATGCGCTGAAGCCGTACCACCGCGGCTGGTGTGGAGTTGGGTGCACACACAGGGAATTGGCAGGAAAGGACAGGAAAGGACATCAGATCGATTTGATACAACGCCTCGAGCAAAAAGCGCCACGCTTTTGGTATCGTCATCTCACCTTCAGAGAGAAAGGGCAGGAAGACGGCGAGAAGAAGGCATGATGTAATGCTGCTGAGTGATGGGCCCCTCATGTCTAGCCCTAATATGCGGCAAGATGCACGAGAATCTGATTGTCACGTTTGGTTGAAAGCGCCGAGTGAAAGGTAATTTGGATAAAAGTACAACTCTGATTCAAACAGGAGTAAGGGGCCTCTAGCGTAAAGTGCTACTTTCATTTCGGTGCGTTGCGTTACACAGGGGTTATGTACGACAACTCCTGCTTACCGTGTGGAAAACCTACTGAACCGTAGTGTACGATCAGCGGGGGAACATCCGCACAAGAAAACCATCCCTCAGAGGCTCACTCGCCCTCCCTGCGTCTGGAATCTGGGTTCTGGAAGCAGAACCTAGCCTCTAGGTTCGGCGAGGACAGACCGAGCCGCGAGGTTCGGGAAAGCGTTGTGAGGCACCCAGATTTCAAGTTTGGGCCTGGAGGAAGTCAACAGGGATCATGTTTCCGACATATTTGGAGCAGATCTCCACATGCTTCCAAGCTAGTCATACATCGAAGCCCGCTGAAACGAGTATCTGACAGGCGCGGGAAAGTTATGTTCTGCTGGTTTGACCAAGCCAGTAGGTTTGAGTTCTTTCGCTGTTCGGCCGAACCAATGAATCCAAACCTGTTCTCCTGCCAACAAACCCCCAGAGGAATACCAAACCTAGAGTCGTAGTCTAGTTTCCGTCAGTTTCTAGGTTCTGATTTGCTTCTTGCTTACCGATTTTAGTTTCTAACCGTTGCTCATTAGTCTGGCACTTTTGAGAGCCACACCGAAACGTTGGGTTGCCAAGCTCACTTGCCATCTCATTGTCAAGCTCGTTTCAGGAACGCATTCCGGCTTTCGTGAGCTGAACTCACAGGAAAAAATGGCTCAAGGATGAACTCTAGCATCCATTATTCTCGTCAATTCAACACCGTCGACACTTTTTCCATTCCCGTTCTGTAGCTTGAGAAAAGGCAAAAACTAGAAACCGTTAGATCCGTTAGCATCATGTGGAGCACATTCCGCAATCTAAAGAACAATATCTCGGCGATCGCGTCGGACGTGCTTGACACCGCGGAAGAACTAGACCCGGGCCTGTTCGGCAGCGGGCCCGGCTCGCCGTCTCGCCACTCGTCTTCGGACTCCTACTCAGAAGGTTCCTCTGCTGACTCTACCCCAGAAAGGCACGGCAAAGCGGGACCCGAGGTAAGCGTGTTACCATTTCGTTCGTATCACCGTTTTGTTCGTGCATCCGTGCGTATGAGCCGGGAAGTCTGTCACCTCGCTTCTGCTTCACTCGCACGACCTAATTCGCCACCTGGTAACCACCTTTCGCTATGTGACAGGATCCTTCGCAGCTGCAATGGCCAGGACAAACAGCATCAGGGTTCCGTGCCAAACGAGGCCCTCTACCTTTCCATCAACAATCAGCCTCTCGCCTGCAAGGCACCCCGGACCCTACTGTAACGAGGCTTCTGCCTGATACATCTCAAGATTCTCCTTCGGACCCGAATTTAGGGGCTCGGGATGTTGCTGCTGAGGCCTCACACCGTGCCAATCCGAGTAGTCACATTCAAAGTAGTCACATTGGAAATCCGAACCAGGTTCCACTCGGAACTTCTCCTCTGCAGCACCCTACTCAACCACCGCCCACCACTGCTGAAAATGCGCCCTACTCTGCGGGAATCGCACCTGCGGGAGGAAAGGGAAACCCCTTTGGCGCGCCCCTGTTTCAAGCCAGCGCTGGAGGAACCGCTGGGGCGAAAGGACAGCCACATGAACCGCATTGGCAGCAGCAGCAGCAGCAGCAGCAGCAGCACCGCCAGGCGCAGCAGGAGGATTCGCATCAGTTGCACCCACAATCTAGACCTGCTACATCGGCTGCAGGCCGTCCCCCACACGGACCTTCCCCACACGGACCCCCACACGGACCTCCCCCACACGGACCTCCCCCACACGGACCTCCCCCACACGGACCTCCCCCATTCGGCCCTCCTCCAAATGGCCCTCCGCCTATCAGACCTCCCCGCAATTCACCTCCCCCGGTGGGACCTCCCCCGTTTGGACCTCCCTCTCATGGCTCCCCACCGTCTGTCCCTCCCCCAGTAAAGCCTGCCCCAGGTGAACCTCCCCCGGGCGTGCCTCCTTCGTCAGCACCATCAGTAACATTAGCAGTCACATCAGCAGTCGCGCTAGCAGCCGTAGCAGGGGTTAAACCGGCAGAATTTGGATTAGCATCAGCACCAGCTGCAGAGGAGAGGGGGAAGGGAGAGGAGGGAAGGTGGCAGGCGGGGGAGAGAGGGGGAGAGGTGGCGAGGTTAAGGGAGGAGAAGCAGAGGCTGGAGGGGGAGTTGAGAGCGGTGAGGGGCGAGATGGAGAGGGAGAGGGAAGCTGCAAGGAAGCTGGCGCAGCAGATGACAGGTGAAAACGCCACTCCCCCTCAGCTCAAACAAACGCACTGGGCCTCAACAATCCTCACCGCAACCCACCCCATTGAGCATCACCGCGCCCTAACGCACCGTACACACTGCACTTCACTGCGGCACACCTTGCCTCATCTCGCTGTGGCTAACTTGGTCTCTTACCCATCAACCTCCATCTGCCTTCTATTCCTTCCAGCCCTTCCCCTTTCGTTCCTGCCACACGTCCACTTACCCCCATCCCTCTTTCATTCTCTGCGACCTCTTTTCCTTCCTTTAGCTGCAACCTCGTTTCCTCCCTCTCGTGTCCCGTCCTGGCATCACGGCAGGTGGTCGAGAGGGGTGGGAATCAGCTGTGCAGGAGTGCAGCATTCTCAAAGCCGAGAGGCAGCAAGTGAGTCAGAGCCACATGCATAGAAGCGTTTCGGGGAAGGCTCTGAACCAAGTTCCAGAATACACCTATTCTTGCTGCTACAGTCACAACAACAAGGTCGAGTCAGAAGGGGCGTAGCCAGCCGTACAGGATTGCAGGCCCTATTCTCAAAGCAGAGAGGCAGCAGATGAGCTGCAAGCAAGCTGGGTGCCTGGAGGTGCGCAAGGGAGCTGAGTAGGATATCAGTTAAAGCCAGACAACAACTGTAGCCTGTATACACCCAGATATGAGCGGAGCGTGTATGAGCAGCAGAGGGGCAGCAGATGAGCTGCAAGCTGGGTGCCTGGAGGTGCACATGGTAGCTGAGCAGGATTTTAATTGAACCTGTACAGCAGCTGTTGCCTCCTGTACTGCACCCAAATTCACCCCATCCCAACCCATCACATCCCATCCCAACCCACCCCACCCCTCCCCACCTCTTTGTACCCCTCCGGCCACCCCAGCTGTTCAGCGACGTGGCAGAGGCACATGAGAAGATAAAACTGGAGGCAGCAGCTCGGCAGCAGGCAGAGGGGGCGCTGAGGCAGGTGGAGGCTCAACTGGCGCAGGCAGTAGCTGCTGCTGACGCCTCCAAAGCCACGTGGCAGGTACTGATGACGTCAGCAGACATGAGGCTTTTCACAGGCAAGAATTGGAAAGATGAACTCCTCGTTATCTTCACGCCCTTTTTTGTCACTTCATGGGTTCACCTCATGATTTCACCACACAACTCGCAAACCCCTCTCCTCTCGCCCCTCTCGCCTCTCACCCTTCTCTCTTCTCGCCCAAACCTGCACTTCCCAGGCGGAACTGCAGCAGCTCTCTCGCCAGCTCGCCGAGGCTCGGGCTGCCGAAGCTGAGGCTCAGCTTCGGGCCGCCTCTGCTGCTGCTCCTGCGGCTGCGGCCGCAGCTCAGTCAGAAGAGGTGTGTGACTTGCATGGGAATGGTAGGACGTCATGTGAGTATGCCTGAGCCACTTTGGAGAATACTGACGTGTGTCAGAAGCGGTATGTACCTTGCATTTGGAATGATGGAGGTCATGTGAGAATGTGGGTTCTTGAGGTCTATTTTTTTAGGCGCCTACAAAAGCAGCTCATTCAGAAGAGGTGTGTACCTTGCATTGGGACTGGTGGAGGTCGTGTGAGCCTGCTTGTGCTACTTGAGACTTCTGTGTCAGCTTAAGAACCCCATAACACTTCCCCATGTCTCCCGCTTTGCCTTTCCCTGCTGCCCCGTATCTCTTCCCCTCCCCACTATACCAGCTATTCCAAGTAAAGTCGAAACTGCATGCAGCAGAGAAGGTGTTTGGGTCAGCTGCAAAGCCCCATACTCACACCATCCCTCTGACCACACTCTGTCTCCTCTCTTTTCTCCCCACTACCGCAGCTCTCCCAAGTAAAGGCGAAACTGCAAGCAGCAGAGCAAGCCCTCTCCTCCCAACGCGCCTCCTTCCAGACCTCCCTCCAACAACTAAGGGAAGAGTGCGACCGTCAGGTGAAAGCAGCAGAGGCCCAGGTGAAAACAGCAGAGGCCCAGGCGAAAGCAGCAGAGAGCCAGGCGAAAGCAGCAGAGGCGAGGAGGAAAGAAGCGGAGGAAGCAGCAGAGGCGAAGGCGACAGCTGCAGTGGTGGCAATGGAAGAGCAGGCAGTGAGAAGGATAGCAGTGGCAGTCAGAGCAGCAGAGAGGGAGGCAGAGGAGAGGAGAGCAGAAGCAGAGAAGGAAGCAGAGGCGAGGCGAAGGGAGGTGGAGGAGGTAGCTGCAGCGCAGAGAGGGGAGTTGGAGGGGGTGCTGAGTGCAATGAAGGGGGAGAGGGACAAGGCGAAGCGGGAACTGGCGAGGCTGAAACAGCACCTACTAGAGCTGGTGAGTGGGTAGAGGGGGAAGTGGGGGGCGGATCAGAGGGTTTGAGGAACGAATTGGTGACTGGGGGGTGCGGACTGTGGGGTGTGGGCCAGGACACAGGCAGGAGGCGAGGAGAAGGGAGGTGGAGAGGGCAGCAGCGGCGCAACAAGGGAGGCACTTAAAAGTGACTTCAATATAGCTGGGGTGCTGGGGTGAATGACGGGACTCAAACCCATAATTGAAAAAGTCTATCAAGGTGGAGCATGAACCTTGTATGCACCCTCTCTCTGCCCCTGCTTTCTGCCCCTCCCTCCCCACCCCACCCCTCCGTCCCCTTCCACATCTTCTCGCCTCCTTTGTTCTCAGGAAAATGCCGAATCAGCCAAGGTGGAGCACGAGACCGACCAAATCAAATCCCTTGAGGCCCAGCTACAGGACAAATCCCGCGAGCTGGCAGCCCTGCAGTCCGCATTAGCAGACGCACGTGCCGGCACGGAAGCTGCCAGGAAAGAGGCGGAGAGCCGAGCCAAGCAGGTGGAGGAGGAGGGAGAGCGGAGGGAGAGGGAGAGGGAGGAGGCGGAGAGAGAGAGGCAGGTGCTTCGGGCCGAACTTGAGGCTCGGGATCAGGAGTTGAACAACCTGCAGGCGGCTCTCGGGCAGTTCTACGCCGAAGCTGAGGCTCAGGTATGGTGGCCCAAAGCAGGTGCTTCGGCCGAACTTGAGGCTCGGGATCAGGAGTCGAACAACCTGCAGGCAGCCCTGGGGCAGTTTTACGCCGAAGCTGAGGCTCAGGTAAGCTTTCTAGACCCATCTAATTCGGTTGTCTATAGGCATTTACTGTTTCGGTGTGTTTTGGTGTGGTGCGCTTTCCCATCCATTTGAACCAGTTGCCTGCCCGTGTTTTTCGTTTTCTTATGCGATCGCCCATTGGTTGTGCAGAACCGGTTGGCAGCAGAGCTAGCAGCAGCAAGGGACGACAACACTAAGCTAGCCGAGCAGCTGCAGGTCAGTGCCTGCTCCTTTCATTTCTCGTTGCTTTTTTCGCTGCTTCCCCGCAGCTGAAAGGCAGGCTGGCAGAACCGGCTGGCAACAGAGCTAGCAGCGGCAGCAGCAAGGGACGACAACACCAAGCTAGCCGAGCTGCCGCTGCTAGGTCTGCTGCTAGCCGGCTAGCCGAGCAGCTGCAGGTCAGTTGCCTCCTCCCCTCTCCCCTTTCCTCCTCCCTCCCTTTTCCTTCTCTCCAATGCCAATGCCAACCTCCCCTGCCAATGCCAATGCCAGTTTCTCGTCCTGCTCCCCTTTTCCCCATCACCTTCCCTTTCCCTTGCCTTATCCCTGCCTTTCTTCCCGTCTTCCGCTTTCTCCCCTTTTTCCGCTGGTTCCCCTGGTTACAAACTAGCGAAGGACCTTGCAAGCAAGAGGGCGGAGGAGGTAGAGGCAGCAGAGGCGAGGGCAGCAGAGGCGGAGAAGGGGAGGGCAGCAGCGGTGGTGGGGGAGCAGAGGGCAGGAAACGAGCTGTCTAAGGTCCGCCAGGCACTGTCTAATGCCTTCCTTCCCTGTTCCCTTCCCCCTTCCCTCCCCTCTCCTCTCTTCTCCTTCCCTCTCCCCTTCTTTCCTTCCCGTCTTCCTTTTTTTTTGCCCGTTTTGTCAGTTGGCGAAGGATCTTGCTAGCAGAAAGGCGGAGGAGGTAGAAGCAGCAGAGGCACGAGCGGCAGAGGCAGAGAGGGGGAGGGCAGCAGCGGTGGTGGGGGAGCAGAGGGCAGGGAATGAGCTGTCTAAGGTCCGACAGGCTCTGGAGCAGTGCATGGTGCGGCTCAACAGGATGTCTTCAGACTCTGACTTCACTGTAGACAGGTGAGAAGCAGAAAAAAGGAACCGCCTTATAAAGGGGATAGTGCTTTCTGGAGCTGTCTAAGGTCCACCAGGCACTTGAGCAGTGTATGGTGCGGCTCAACAGAATGTCCTCGGATTCCGACTTCACTGTAGACAGGTGAGAAACAGATAGTGTAAGGAACTACCTTAGGGGGGGAGGGCAGCAGCAGTGGTGGGGAAGCAGAGGGCAGGGAATGAGCTGTCTAAAGTCCGCCAGGCTCTGGAGCAGTGTATGGTGCGGCTTAATAGGATGTCCTCGGATTCCGACTTCACTGTAGACAGGTGAGGAAAAGGATGCTTAGTGAACCGTTTTATAAGGAGGATAATCTCTTATGGAGCACTGCGTGGTGCAGCTCAACAGAATGTCTTCTGATTCCGACTTCACTGTAGACATGTGCGAAACGGGTAGGGGGGAACTGGGGGGGCTTGTAAAGGAAACATGTTTGCTGGAGCAGAATATGCTGCGGTCGAATTCTGACTTCACTGTAGACAGGTGAGAAGCAGATAGTGCAATGGAAGGGGCTTATAAGGGGGATATGTCTGCTCGAGCAGTGTATGGTGCGGCTTAACAGGATATCACTGTAGACAGGTAAGAAGCAGAAAAAGGTACCGCATTATAAGGGGAATTTGGAAATGCGATTTAGGAGCCGTGTGTGGTGCACTTCAAAAGAATTTCTCGTGAACCAGGTTTCACCTCTCCTCCACCCTCACCCCCTCTTCTGGTCTTGACTTGTTGTCTGTAGTACTGTGTGCCTGTGGAGCAGGAAACTCGTGATGAAGTTTTTTGAGGCGCCCTAAAAATCACCTCATTCTCTCTTCTGGGTTTACCTGTTCTCTGGTAAACTGCGTGTTTGTGGAACTGTGTGCGTGTATGTGGAGCAGGAGAATCGTGATCAAGCTTCTGGTGACTTACTTTCAGCGCAAGCACAGCAAGGAGGTGAGTGAGTGGTGCAGCCGTTTCAGAAGGTGATTTTCAGGTGACTGTCAGTTTTAATGATTTATGTGTGTATCTCTGAAATTCGTTTTCGGTGGGGCTGGCAGCAGCAGGCCACACGGGGGTGGGAGAAGTCGCCTTCATGCTCTATCCTTGTATTTCCCTGTGCTCCCTTGTTCCGCTCTGTTACCCGGTTACCACTGTTAGGTGCTTGACCTCATGGCTCGGATCCTCGGCTTTTCAGAAGAGGACAAGCAGCGGGTGGGGCTGGCAGCAGCAGGCCACATGGGGGCGCTTGCAGGCCCCGTTGGCTTAATCTCTTGCAGGCCCCGTTGGCTTAATCTCTTGCAGGCCCCAATTATTTAATCTCTTGCACTCCTCCTTATTACCCTGTTGCCTACTCATTTCCACAGGTGCTTGACCTTATGGCTCACATTCTCGGCTTTTCAGAGGAGGACAAGCAGTGGGTGGGGCTGGCAGCAGCAGGGCACATGGGGGTGGGAGGAGGCGCCTTGATCTTCTATCCATTGTACTCTTTTGTGTTCCCTGTTACCTGGTTACCACATTCAGGTGCTTGACCTCATGGCTCGCATTCTCGGTTTCTCAGAGGAGGACAAGCAGCGGGTTGGGTTGGCAGCAGCAGGGCACATGGGGGTGGGAGGAGGAGCAGCAGGGGGGGTGAGGGGCGTGTTTGGACTGCCGGGGAGGCTGGTGGGGGGCCTGTTTGGAGGCGGGGCGAGCGTGGGGGGAGTGGGGGGAAGCACTGGCGCCCTGGCAAGCATTGCAGACGACAGCACGGTGAGTGATTGACAGGACAGGGTCTTGTACGCTGCTCCTTGTGGGCTGTGTTTGGGCTGCCTGGCAGCATTAGCGCTCTTGCGAGCATTGCAGATGATAGCACGGTGAGTGAGTGGCACATAGGGTTGTCTCTTTGTGGGGAGTGTTTGGGCTGCCAGGTAGGCTGGTGGGGGGGCTGTTTGGAGGCGGGGCGAGCGTGGGGGGAGTGGGAGGGAGCACTGGCGCCCTGGCAAGCATTGCAGACGACAGCACAGCGAGTGGTGGTTCTACGCGTTTCCAGAGTTGTTTGGCACGGTGACTGACAGGGTTGTTTGGCATGGTGAGAGGGTTGTTTGGCACGGTGAGAGGGTTGTTTGGCACAGTGAGAGGGTTGTTTGGCACGGTGCAAGGGTTGTTTGGCACGGTGCAAGGGTTGTTTGGCATGGTGCAAGGGTTGTTTGGCACTACAAGTAGTTTTAAGGCTTCCTTTCTCCGTTCAGTGCTTCTCTTCGAAGCTTCCCTTTCAGGTGGAAATTCTGTCGCTGCTAACAAACCCTCCCACTGCACCCCTCCACCCTCATTTCTTCCACACTCCCTAATCCCTTCTCTACTGCAGACCTTCATGGACCTCTAGATCGACTTCCTTATCAGAAATCTGGATCAACTTATCACAGCCTTCTTACATTATCCTCTCCCTTCCCTCTGAACTTTCCAATTCTCATCCTCCCCCTTCTGCAGACCTTCACGGACCTCTGAATCGACTTTTTCCTCAGGGAATCTGAATCAAGGGACCGTGCGGAGCTGCCCTCCGACCCCTCTGTATTCACCCCTCACACTGCATCCCTGCATTGTCAACCCCTGTCCCCCTCCCCCCCTCCTATCTGCACACCTTCACGGACCTCTGGATCGACTTCCTCCTCAAAGAATCAGAGTCAAGGGACTGCAGGGAGGCCCAACTGCCATTTGTCACCCCTCCCACTGCATCCCTGCATTGTCAACCCCCACCCCCCTCGCCCCCTCCCCCACAGACCTTCACGGACCTCTGGATCGACTTCCTCCTCAAAGAATCAGAATCAAGGGACTGCAGGGAGGCGCCCTTCAACCCCTCTGTATTCAACTCCTCTGCCCCCTCTCGCTGCATCTTCCCCTGTTGTCAACTCCCCTTCCCCAACCCCTCCTATCTGCAGACCTTCACAGACCTCTGGATCGACTTCCTTCTCAAAGAATCAGAATCAAGGGACCGTGGAGAGGCGCCCTCCGACCCCTCATTACAGTCACACTCGGCCGGCCAGCAGCAGCAGCAGCAGTCGAAGCAGGAACTCTCTAGGTTCAACCAGCACCACCCAGACCACCAGCAGCACCGCCAGGAGTTCTTACAGCAGCAGCAGCAACAGCAGCAGATGCATCAGCAGGACCGACAGGCGCAGCAGCGATCCTCCTCCCACCCCTCCTCCCCCCGCTCCTCCTTCTACTCCCCCTCTCCCTCCAGCCCTCCTCGCTTCCCGGGCTACGCTGCCTTCTCCGTCGCTCCGGGCAGCCCGCCAAAATATTTCCCACCCGTGTCGCCCCGGGCCTCTGGAGGCGGGCTGGGCGGCGGGGCAGGTGGATATGTTTTGTCTCCGAATGCGGGCAGGTGGAGAAGCAGCACGAGCCCTCAGAGGGAGTCCTCCCAGGCTGTAGCACAGTATGTGGCATCTCCGGTTGTAGCAGCAGCACCACCGGCTGTAGCGCTAGGGTTTTCGGTAGCGGGATCGCAGCAGCAGGCAGGAGAGAGCTACAGCTACCGGATGTCAGACTACAACCCAGTTGGGCTTGCTGGGACGGCATCGGCGGCTGTAGCAGCGTCGGCTACAGCTGCTGCTGCTGCTGCTGCTGTTGCAGGGAGCAAGAGCAGGGGCAGAAGGAGGAGCAGGGGGAGCAGGAGGAGGAGTGGGGGGCAGAGGAGGAGGAGGGGAGCTGCCGTTTATTGCAGCAGGGGCCCAGACCCATAGGGACCCTATGCACAGCCTCCCATCCTCTTACCTGCCTGTCATACCTGGTCTCGGCCCTGCCATGATTGGCACACATGGAATGGGCGGCACAGGGGGGATTTCAGGTGCCGGCACAGGTGCTTCAGGTGGTTTCTCAGGTGGTCCAGTCTCCACAGGGATAATGGGTGGAGGCGCAGCAGTGCCAGGAATGTCAGGGGAGCTCTGGAGTGGGTCGGCAGGAGCAGGGAGAGGTATATCTGGAGCAGGTGGGATTATGGGCAGTGGACTGGGAACACTAGTGCTGTCCCCGGGACTAGGGTTACCACAGAGTGGGAGTTGTAACGGCATGTTACAGGGGTATACACCACCGAGTATGCACAGGCAAGGTTCTGGTGGCATGAGCGGTAGCAATGCGCTGTTCAGTGCAAGTGGGGGAGGGATGGTGGGGGTGGCTGGTGATGTGGATTTAGATGGTAGCAGTAACGCGTCTGAGTTTTCGTCTGTACCTTTGAACATGGGGCCAGGACAGAAGGCCACTGCTGCGTTGTCGTCGCTGTCTGCTCGCAGTGGTCAAGTGGTGGTGAGTGCGGCTCGGAACCTGTTCGGGCAACAGGAGAGTGAGTCCGCGCTGCAACTGAAGGCTGGTTTTGAGCTGTGACAGTGTTTTTTTAGGAACGGCTTGTATTCTTGTTTGATATTACCTTTAAAATACTAGTACCGTATTGCGACAAGCAGTGAGCAACATCGTAGTACTTTGAAAGCACTCTGTGAATGATTATTCATACTACAAGTCAGTACTCTGTGAATGTATCGTACCGTATAGCGATAAAAATTGCAGAACGCATTTATGGATGCTCTCGGGGTCGCTATTGCTGACCTGTCGATCGGTTTGAAATTGCGATTGGGCTAAAGATTCAAAAGCCATCGGAAATCCGTGGTTTGCTCCCAGCCTCTAACCACGCGAAAATTCGCACGCGCCAATTCAGGTCCCACTGGCCTGAGAGAAATTCGCCCAGAGGTGTGCTGTTTTCGTTCCGCCAATCAGGCACTGAGCCGTTGGGTGAGGAGCGACCACGTCACGCTCCCTCAAGTGGGGTGGGTACAGTGAAAAGCAAAACCAGGGTCTCTCCACGTGGCGCTCCACTAGCACGAGGTGGATTTTTCCCCTTACCTGGACAAATCAGAAGGGATTTCACTGCCATATTGACTCAGCCCAAATCCTGGGTCCCAGTTTCTGGCAAAGGGCAAGCATCCCATCCTATGATCCCATCCCATCCCGACCCGATTCCCGATCCGATCCTCTTGCATTCATGTGCAGAGCCATAATTTATTTCTATCGCTTGGTGTAGGACGATCTGGTAAGTTCAAGTGCGTTGCAAAGCGGTAAAGCGCTTTCTTTCGTTCGAGACTGATGCAGTGAGTTCAGGACAGCTCAGTGTGCATTGCACTAGGACTTGTAAGCAGCGACAGCTCATCCAAACAGAGCTGAGCAACGAAGAGCAGAGCACAGCAAGGCACGGCAGAGCATAGTAGTCTAGGACTCGAGGACACTGATTCGACAGGGTTGGTAATCACCTGCACATGATCAGTAGGACGCTCGAAATTCAGCCGCGCTGAGGTACTCGCTTCTGGTTTTATCGACGCTACCTCAGCGGAGCTGACCAGCTTCCTATTCACGAATCTGCCAGCGCTGCTGCTAGGGTTCGAAAGGCAATACTCGTCTAGAATTTCCGTCTCGTGAGGTTCCTGAATTGCAGCGAGGGACAGCTGTCGTTTAAGTCGTCAAAAAGCTCTATAATCCTAAATGTCGACAGATTTCATGGCTGCAAAGACGACGAAGGACGGCCGTGCTCTTCTCAAGCCGGTTGTCGTGCGGCAGAAGGCCCAACAGCCAGACACGGATGCTTCTGACCTCGTAGCGAACCTCATAGAGGCAGCGAAGAAAATGCAGATTCGCAAGCTGAGACGAACGATTGTAGACATCAAGCAGAGCAGCAAGAACCTGTCAGGAGGTAGAGCTGCAGGCGCCATGTCGCCAGCGCTTGGCCTCGGAAATGGTGCGTTGTTGCTAAATTGGAGCACCAGTTAGCCATTCTCGCTAAGCTAGGATTCGACGCAGCAACATTTCTTTGAACTGGCATAAAATGTACCGGCAATTTCTGCGTCTACTCTTTTTGGCAGTCTCTGCTCTGGAATCCAGACCACTCAAGAGTCCTCTGGTTCAACCAAGCATCAACGGCACGGACGACAATGGCCGAACGGCTCTCCATTTCTCCTGCGGGATGGCATCTACAGAATGTGCCGTTGTGCTGCTAGAATCAGGTGCAATTTTTACAATTCACCTGCTTACCCAGCCTAATGCACTCGGTGACTGCAGACACGAGACTTGTCAGTGACCAGGCTTGTCTGACACGGCTGACGTGCTTTGCTGGTACAGGAGCTGAGGTGAACGTACGGGACAATGAGGGGTTTACTCCCCTCCACATGGCAGCTGGATACGGTCGCAGCCAATCAGTCGAGCTTCTTCTCAAAGCAGGTGCGACCTTTCTTAACAGTCGATTCCTCCTTTCACCCCCCACTTTCCAAACAATTGCGCTTTTTGTCGAATCTACGCTTTTCTGCCAGAACCAACACGTTCCTATCAAACCTTCGCACGCAGTGACGGAAACAGGAGGAGCAAACTCTGTTGAATGCAAACACACCCCCCACACCCATGAATGTTGCTCAGGAGCTAACCCATTCGTCAAAGACAAGATTGGACGCACCCCGCGGGAACTCGCCGTGGAAATCAGAGACACCGGCATGCGTCACGACGGCTCCTCCGTCCCTCGCGGCGACATGGAGGCCACCATCACTCTCCTGGGTAGCGCGGAGTGGAAAGAGCACCAGGCAGCGAAAGGAAGACAGCACAATGCGATTGGTGGTAATGCGGTGGAGAGCGGTGGTGGCTCTGCTGCGGATGATGGGGCGAAGCGGCCGGCTGCGGGGACTCCGCTGGACGAGCTGCTGGCTGCGGCGCAGGCGGGGGAGGCTGACGGCGTGGCGAAGGCGCTGGCGAAATTAGAAGCGAGGTCGGATGTTACATGGATCGCTGGACGCGCCGCTTCTCTCGCGAACGCTTTCTCAGGTGCAATGGGGTGCCCTTTGTCGTTACAAATTCAAGCCCATTATCATAGCGTTTTGCTTGGCATAATCTTCTTTCAGTATTGGATTACCCAGTCCCTCCTTTGCCGCTTCGTGCTTGGTGCTTTGGTCTTGGAGCATCTTCTCTCCCATGACTCAACGACTCGCTCGCTTCATTCATCCCTCAACCACTCACCCGCCTCTCTCCTCTTCATCTTGCAGCGGCCTGCCGAAACGGCCACGTAGGCATTGCCGAGACCCTGCTCAAATCTGGAGCGTCCGTTGACGCCGTGGACGGGGAGGGAGCCACGCCCCTGCTGGCCGCAGCCGACAGTGGCTTCGCCAAGTAAGTGCGGGGAACGAGCTGTGTAAGAGTCTCACAATAACACGTCTCAAAACGGAAACACTGTGGACGGGGAGGAGCAACACCCCTGCTGGCCGCGGCTGACAACGGCTTCGTCAAGTAAGTGCGAGTGTGGGGAAGCTGCTTGCCGATTAGGTAATTATGGAAAGCGCGCGCTCGCGCGCGCACACACACACAAACAGACGCACACACACACACGGACGCACGCACGCACGCACGCACGCACGCGCGCGCGCACGCGCACACGCACGCACACGCACACGCACACGCACACGCACACACGCACACACACACACACACACACACACACACACACACGCACGCACGCACGCACGCACGCACGCACACACACACACACACACACACACACACACACACACACACACACTCACTCACTCACTCACTCACGCACGCACGCACGCACGCACGCACGCACGCACGCACGCACGCACCAAGTTATGGAAAAGAACAGAAAGCACCTGATTTAACACGACTTTGTTGACTCATAATTATTCAATGCTCCCCAATCCTTCCCCAGTCCTTCCTCAATGCTTCCCCATTGCGCCCCAACTTCTCCCGCATTGCTTACCAACTCTCCCCGCTGCTCCGCCAATTTTCCCCAACTGCTCTACCAACTTCCCCCAACGCTCCCTCAATGAACACTCATTGTTCCCCCATGGCGGTTCTCTGCATGTGTCCCGATTCTCCCCCACTGCACCCTTGATGTGCCCCTCTGCGCGTGTGTCTCATGCAGCTGCGTGCAACTCCTGCTTGAAGCTGGCGCTCAGTCCAATCCCCCTTCCACAGTGATTTTCCAATGCTCCATTACACCAACGCTCGCTCATTTCTCCCCCAATGCCGCCCCATGCGCGTGTGTCTCACTCATGCAGCTGCGTGCAACTGCTGCTTGAAGCGGGCTCTCAGCCCGACGCCAGGGACAAAGTGGGAGTGACGCCCCTTATTGCAGCCGTAAGTCGACTGTAGTTGAAAACTTGAACTTGGAATCTCATACTTGTTTTGATTGACTACTTGTCTCGAAGTTGCTGTTGCGGCTTCTGAGTCAACTCAGAGGCCTCACGTGTCACGTGTGTCTCTCCCACCCTTTCACAGGCATACAACGGGCACGAAGAGGCTCTCTCAGCGCTCGTATGCCACGGAGCTGGTGTCGGTGCGAGGTCAAATCTGAACCAATTTAAAAGCACGTCATCTGTAGGGAATTAACGTCGCACCACGTGTCTCTCCCACCCTTTCACAGGCGTACAACGGGCATGAAGAGGCTCTCTCAGCACTCGTGCGCCACGGGGCTGGTGTGGATGCGAGGTCGCATGGAGGCGTGACGCCGCTCATTGCTGCTGCTGAGGGCCGCCATGCTTGCTGTATCCACCTGCTCGTCCAGGTGAGCATCTCAGCTGCCAGAGACGTTTGGGCTTTGTAGGCAGGAGTTATATGGGGGGATGTGCACGCGTCAGAACGTGCGAGGTCGCATGGAGGCGTGACGCCGCTCATTGCTGCTGCTGAGGGCCGACACGCATGCTGCATCCACCTGCTCGTCCAGGTGAGAATCTCAGCTGTCACTGTGCTCCTTGGAGCTGTATGGGGGTAGTAGCAGACGCATCAGAATGTGCCTGGTCGCATGGAGGCGTCACCTCTGATTGCCGCTGCAGAGGGCTGCCATCCAGGTGAGAGCAGCAGCTGTCCACGTGTTCTTGGGGGACTGTGGAGGACACGAGCTGTGAGTAGTGAGATAGGAGCAAACGTGACTGCACGCACGTCAGGTGCCAAGACAGCACTGATGCATGCAGTGGGGCGGGACTCAACTGGATGGTGGCTGAACAGTGAACAAGGACCCCTGCCCCCTCTCCTCACTCCTCGTCTCCCAAGCAGGCAGGAGCAGATGTCAATGCGCGCACGTCAGAGGGAAAGACAGCGCTGATGCATGCAGTGGGGCGCAACTCAGTGCCGGCAACAGAGGCTCTGCTGGCGGGAGGGCGGTTAAGCTGCCAGTCACTCAGTGGAGTGTGGCTGAAATACCAATCATTCCATTTTTTCGTGCCATTCCTTCTCTCCCAAGCAGGCAGGAGCAGATGTCAATGCGCGCACGTCAGAGGGCAAGACAGCACTGATGCATGCAGTGGGGCGGGACTCAGCTGGATGGTGGCTGAACAGTGAATAAGGACCCCTATCCCCTCTCCTCACTCCTCGTCTCCGATGCAGGCCGGAGCAGACGTGAATGCGCGCACGTCAGAGGGCAAGACAGCGCTGATGCATGCAGTGGGGCGCAACTCAGTGCCGGCAACAGAGGCGCTGCTGGCGGGAGGCGCGGACGTCAGTGCTGTGGATGGAGAAGGCCTGTCCGCTCTGCACCACGGTGCTCGCCTCGATGCATCGGACTGCGTGTGAGTCTCGTTCGTATCTGTATAGAGGTTGCAAGGGACGGATGTTGGTGAGGGGAAGGGGAAGGCGGCGGTGCTGGCTGAAAGGGCGGACGGACAATGCTGTTGATGGCGAGGGCCTGTCTTCTCTGCACCACGGCGCTCGCCTCGATGCATCGGACTGCGTACGAGTTCTTTGAATCGACAGGCAACTGCTTTCTGTTCATTTTTTTTGCTCAACGTTGTCGATGGGAGGCGTGGATGGGATGTGTTGTTATGCATGAGCATGGCCAAGAGGTGCAAAGAAGAAGTAGAAAGGAACATCCTTCTTCTTGAATGTTTTGTCCTCGGCTTGTGTCCTCCTGCAGTGAGTGAGTTGCTGTGTGCCAAGGGCGCGAGCATGACCAAGAGGTGCAAGGAGGGCAAGAGCAAGACCATGGGTTTTTCCTCTCAGTACCCCTTCCTGTCTCTTGTCTCTTACGTGTTCCTACCCTGCAGTGAGCTGCTGTGCGCCAGGGGCGCCAGGGGTGCGAGCATAACCAAGAGGTGCAAGAAGAGCATAATCACTAATCTGTGAATCACCGCTGTTTCTGAATCTCGTTTGTTGTTGTGTGTCCCCCCCGTGCAGTGAGCTGCTGTGTGCCAAGGGCGCGAGCATGACCAAGAGGTGCAAGAAGGGCCGCACTGCTCTCATGGACGCACCCAAAGGCTCCGCCTCTGCTGCCATCCTGGTGAGCGGTTGAATTAGCAGTGAGTTGTGAGTCGAGCAATAAACTACTCAGGGCGTCTCAGCGTTCTCTCTCATGTATCCTACTTTACTTTGTTTTCGTCGGTTTCTCTCTCACTTCACTTTTGGACTGAATCCGCTCCATGGGCCACAGGTGTCGGGGGAGAAGTGGAGGTGGTAGCTAGGCTGTTCAAACATAGACGTGCAACCAACCCAACCAATGGCCTGCCTTTGTGTCTGTGCATGATGTGTGATTGCAGGAGGAGAAGTGGAAGGCGTTAGAAGAGGAGGTAGCGAGGCGGCAACTGGAACTCCTGGAGCTGTTCGCTGATGATGCCTCTGATGCCGCCTCAGCCTCCTCCAAGACAAACGCACCCGCAGCAGCAGACGCCAAGAGCGGCAAGGACAAGAAGAAGGCCGGGAAAGGCCGGAGCAGGACTCCCAAGGGGACCGCCTCCCTGACCAGCAAGTTGCAGGGGCTGGCAGAAGGGCCAGGCTCGGCCGCGGGCTCGGCGGCAGGTTCGGTGGGCTCTGCAGGTTTGGTGGGTGATGTGCAGAATCTGGTGGTGAAGACCCCAGAGTCGTCTAGCCGACCTAGTATGTCTCCTGCGAGTTCAGTCTTGGACTTTGGTCAGACCACTGATAGCTCTGGCATGAGCACTGCAGAAGATGAGGAGGGGGAAGGGGAGGGGGAGGACGGGGGGAGTGAGTATGACTCGCAGGATATTTTTGAGATCATGGCAGCTGCTAGCAAGAAGGGCTCTGGTGGGGGTGGTGGCAGGGTTGGTGGCGGGGTTGGGTCTGGTGCTGGGGTTGCGGAGGGTAATGATGGGTTTATTCCGGTTGGGAGCGGTGAGAAGGCCCCGAACAGAGTGAGTGAGGTGAGCGGGTGGCTGTCTGGGGGGAGCTACAGCAGGAAGGCTGCAGGCGAGGCTACAGACGCAGCAGCAGCACTGCTCAAGAAGAGTGAAGGCACTGCGAATGCGTCTTATGCTGCAAAGGCCGCGCACAAGAAGAGCCCTCCTGCTGCCCCACCGAGCCACACACAGACGCCGCAGCAGCAGCAGCAGCAGCAGCCAAAGAGCAAAACTGCTCTGGTAAAGACAAACAAGGCGCCAGCAGCGCAGCAGGCACAGCAAAAGCTTTCTCCTCCAGCAGCAACACCAGCAGCACCACCAGCTCCAGCAGCTGCCCAGCCAGCAGCAGCACCAGCAACGGCAGCAGCGGCGCATTCAGGAGCCTCACCGTGGATCCGTGCCCTTGTGGGTGGCCAGGCTGCTTCAGCCCCATCTCCCACCATCCCTTTGGTTCAGATTCCACCTCCCGGCCCTGGCAGCAAGCCTGTTTCCTCCACTGGCTCCCCTACTCCCAGTGCGGTGCGGAGCGGTTCCAATGGATGCACGTGCAAGCAGAGCCAGCAGCACTGTGAGGAGAACACGGGAGAGCTTGCACGGCGGGTTGCGGAGCTAGAGACAGAGCTGAGAGCCGCCAGAGCTGCAGCAGATGCGGCCAGGGCTGTTGCTGCAGCAGAGAGGGCCAGGGCGGCTCAATTGGAGCAACAGTTGATCAGCGGACGGAAAGCCGCTGAGATAATAAGCGCTCGGGACAAGTCTCAGATTCAAGTTTTGCAGGTGGGAAGATGGAGCTTTTCCTGCCTGCCTCGCCCCGCTTTCTCTGTCCTCACTCCTCTCTCCCGCTCTTGAAAATTGAGACCTTTGGTTGTGCTGTTTGGTTAATGTGTGCGGTACGGATCGGTTACGGTAGAAATGGGTCTGGCGAATATCAAAACTGCAAAGCACAAAACTTTTTTAGACTGTATTCCCGGTTCTGAGTCCCCCCTTTTTTTTGTCCTTCCTGCATTTTCCCTTTTTTTTGTGTCGTGCGCTGTGTCCTTTCTGCAGCCTTCGTGCTGAGAGAGAGTGAGGGCTGCAGCAAGGGACTCCCGCAAGTGTTACCTTGCAGAGCAATCACTTGCTCGACAAGACAACATATTCTCGCAGTCTTTAGCATCCCGCGTGCTGTCTTGCCATGCCTTGTCGCTTATAAGGACGGATTCAGGCCGATCGGGGTCTTATCGTCAGATAGGCGCATGTGGAGGTGTTTGGGTAGATGGAGATGGGTGGAAGGAGATGCTGTGCTTCCATTGTTACCCTCTGAACCTGATTTGAATCATGCATTTTTATATCCATCACCATGGGAATCGATTCCAGATTTTCTTGCCTTGTCAGATTGTCTTCTTGTTTGTTTGTTCTTTTCTTTCTTCTTTCTTCTTCCTTTCCTTCTCTTCTACTTCTTTGCTTTTTATTCGTGTCCCCCTCCCACTGCCTTCTCTTCCCTTCATCCGCTTCCTCTCTTCCTCTCCCCATTCTTCTCTCTGTCCTCACTTCTTTCGCCCTGACATCCTGCTTTGCTCTTTTCCTCTCTCCCTCCTTCTCTCCCTCCCTCGCTGCCTACCTCCTCCCGCCTTCCTCCTCCCTCAATCCCTTCGTCCCTCCATCCCTTCATCCATCCTTCCCATCCCCTCAACCCCTCCCCTATCCCACCTTTCCCCGTCCCAGCAATCCCTCTGCTCCCAGTCCATCTCTCATGCAGCAGCCACGGCATCAGCAGAGGCCTCTCGCCGCGCGCTCGCCTCCTCCCACTCCGACTGGCACTCCCAGCTGCACCGCATCCACTGCCAGGCTGTAGCGGCTGCCGTCACCGCCGCTACAGCCAGCTGGCAGGCTTGGGGGAGCTCCCAGGTTCGTCCGAACCTGGGTGTTGCTACCTGTGGGGGTGGTGGTGCAACGAAAACAACAGCAACAGTAGAAAAAGCAGCAGCAGCGGCGGCGGCGGCAGTAGCAGCTACGGTGGGTGGGGAAATGGGAAGCACAGGTTCAAGCCTACCGAACCTGTCGTACATACCGAGCCTGTCTAACCTCCCCGCTCCTACAGCTACAGCTGTACCTGCTGCTAAAGGTGTACCCGCAGTCACATCAGCAGCTGTTTCCCCCGTTTCCCCTTCCTCTTACAGCATTATCGAGGTGGCTCTGCTGTGTCAGCAGCTGAGTGACAGCACTGCTGCCAGCACGGGTGTACCAGCAGAAGCGGATGCAGCAGCAGGAGCGGCAGCAGCATCAGCAACAACAGCAGCAGCAACAGTAGCGGGAGCAGCAGAAACAGCAGCACCAGCAGCGCCAGTGCCACGCCTCTCTAACCACGCACCAGAAGGGCCTCACTGCAAGCCCTCCACCACTGTAAATCCTGCAGCGGACTGCCACATTGCTGCGTTGGCTGCTGAGCCAGTCTCTCACGACCCCATGCTTTCGTTCAAGGCGTCCCTGCTTGCTGGAAAGACTGCAAGTGCGGTGTCTGGTACTGCAAGGGTTGCTGCTCCCGAGGTTGGTGTCTCAACCAAGCCATCCTTCAATTCTGGGAAGATTGGCCTAGATTCGCCTTCTCAGGGTGATGCAGCTGCGTCCCTCAAAGGCTCGTTTCTTTCCGGAAAGCTTCTCAGCAACTGCACGCTTGACCGCTCCAGCAGCCTGGAATTTCTGCAAGGGATGAAACCAGGGATGAAAGTAGGGCAAGAAAGTACTCTGGAGGCGTTTTTATCGTCCCCGCACCACCACCACGATACAACAGCAAGCATTACGCGGAAAATAGGCTCGGTGCCAAACCTGCAGTCACTGGAGCACACTGCCACTCTGCACTCCCCTTCCCCGCTCCGAACCTCGGGATTTCCAGGATTTCGGAAGGTGGAATCTTTTCCTGATTTCCAGCCCTGGAATAACGAAGGCTATAGCCGACCTGGTAACACTTTACTCAGCTACAACTCACCTGGTTACCACCAATTGAGCAGCGATCGAGCCAGCTACAGCCAATCCAGCTACAACCAACCCACCTCCAAACACCTCATACCGACTCCTTCAGACCACTCTATACCTCGGCACTTTCACAGCCCCATCCAGCCAGACACATTCGTGGGGAATTTCCACCGCCGGGTAGATTCATACCCTGATTTAGCCCATGCCGGGCTGTCTTCTACCCCCGGTCACGACTCCCCGTTAGTTGCCCCGCCGCTCAAGTCCCAGAGGCCGCTAGACCGAGTGATTCAGTCGCCTAGAAAGAAGCAATCCTCTCTTATGCACCGATCTTCCAGCGAAAGCTGCTTATCCAGCCTAGCTGGTTCGGGATTATCAGGCCAGGGGGAGGGGAAATTGCTGGGGAAGGCGAGGAGGGGGGTTGGTGGTGGTCCAGCGGATGTGATTCCTGAGAGGAGCAGCTTGCTTGCGTTTGAGAGGCTGCCGTTTGCCCCCAAGGGCACGTGTGAGGCGCAGAAAAAGGCTTCTGGATGGTTTAGTTTGGTTCCCAGCCCTGACGTTGAGTGAGTGGACTGAAATGGGAGAGTGACAGGTCAATGGGAGGGGAAATTGCCAGGGAGGGCGAGGAGGCATTTTGGTGGTGCTGCAGAGAATGTTGTTCCTGAGAGGAGCAGCATGCTTGCATTTGAGAGGCTGCCGTTTGCTCCCAAGCAGGGCCCAAAATAGGTTTAGGGGCACTCTTTCAAATCAGGGTGGCAGGCCCTCCGTACCCTGACTGTTAGGGTATTTTTTTCCGTACACTGTTTACAGCAGCCTAAAATTTCTGGTACACTGAATTCAGCAGGGTATTTTTTCAAATACACTGTTTCTTTCACGGAATCTTATATTCTGCTAACAGTCCATACACAATAAAATGCCACGAAAGCAAACACACGAGCGCGCTTGCAGCCGCACTGCTTCTACGTGGGCGCGCCAGTGGGCATACCGTACAAATGGTCCAGTGGGACTGTGGTGAATTTTGTCTTGGCGCGCACTGTGGCGGAATCCTCGGTAAAAGTGTAGTTGGGCCCATACCCTGATACAGCCAGTGTAACCGAAATTGTCACCAGAGTAGTTTACAACGAATCCTGATTTCATTAGGGTAAGAAATTTCATAGCCTGATTTCACAAGGGTAACTGCCAAAAAGCGGCCTACCATCAGGGCAAAAAGGGTATTTTACCCTTGAAATTTGGGCCCTGCTCCCAAGGGTACGTGTGAGGTGCAGAAAAAGGCAAGTGGGTGGTTCAGCCTGGTTCCCAGCCCTGACGTTGAGTGAGAGCAGGTGGGAGTTAGGGTATGGTGAGGTGTGCCTGTCGAGCCTAGCTGTTTTAGTGTCAGCAGGTCGACGGTTGAGATAAGAAATTGCTGGGAAAGGCAAAACAAAAGGGGGGTTGGAAGTGGGAATGCGGATCTATTCTCGAAATTAGTAGGTTGAAGCTCTCTAGCGGTGTGGAATTCACGTTACATCAGGTGAGTTGAGGATGATACAAATAATTAGTTTGGGGTTCACATTCAAGATACCGGCGAGTGCTTGAAATCTAGTTTGGAATAATTTGTCGCTTCAAAACGTCGAAGTATATCGTAAAGAGGATACAACTACAGGTGGCTTGTCGGTGGTGGTTTATGCTGGTGATGTGGCATGTGGCGTGGGGTGGAGGATTCTCGCACAGTACCACACCGATGAATGACGGCTGGATTGCATTCCCCAACCACCGACCACGAGTTTGTTGAAATTGGCGTGTGCTATTCATGCGGTACGTAGCCACGTAGGCATGAACGAGAGCCACGTCAAATTGTTCGCAACGGAAGTTGAAGCCCGTGGAACGCGACCAATTTTCACATGCGCATCCAGACGGTGACCTCGAAGAAAAGCAGCGCACATCGCGCTCACGCACCAAGTGGAATTCTGGTTCGGTGAAACTCTAGTATAACGACCAATCGCGAATTCGGTGACATCGCGGTTCGGGAGCCACCCCACTCATCACGCTCCCCTCCCTCCCTCCCACCCACCAGCACTCACATCGCGATTCGCAATCCAACCGGTGCTTATAGGCCGCCATTTTCTCATCGAACTCAACATTCTCACCAGCTCACACACCCTACCTTGAAGTTCAACATCTGCGCCTCTCGCATCCTTCTCGTCTCGCTTTCATCATGGCCCGGGTTTCCATCCTCGCAACGTCGCTCGCGTTTCTGATCCTCGCTATGGCTAGTAGCAGCGCATTAGCGCGACACTACGCCGGCACCGCGGCCGTTAAAAAACCTGCCCCGGTCGCCTGCACCAAGTCTACTCTGGCGCCATACACGAAATCCGTCCAACTCACAGCTGACGGGTACGTGATTGTTTCTTAGTTAAGCATAAGTTCTCGGTGCTAAACAAGCAGCGGCGATTTTGAGTCCCATTTTGCAAGTTGCAAATTCTCCCCCGCTTCTCACACGGCCGACTCGCATTCTCGCGTCGCCCTTTCACCAACCTCAGACTGTTTCTCCTGCACTAGTGCACCACAGAAAAGAGCGACGAATTTATCGCAGCAACACCAACTTCGTCTTACACTTGCCCCATGCTCCCTCCCGCCAGACTGTTTCTCCTGCACTGGAACATCACAAAAAAGAACGACGGAATCATAGCCGCGATCGAGGCGAAGCCAGGCAGCGGCGCGGAGACGGGCTGGATGTCCATTGGCTGGACAGCGAAAGCTGGCCTCATGTCTCCCGCTGACGCAGTGGTGGGAAATTTGGCCGCGGCCGCGCCTAACAACGTGCTGGCTTACACGATGAGTGGCAAGACCTTGAACAAGGTCAAGAAGTCACCTGCAGTGAAGCTCTCGGCGAAATCCGTGGTTACCACTGCTGACGGTGGCAAGATCGTCAAGTGAGTTCCGCCATCCGCTTTGTGAAATGAGTTATTTTTTTAGACGTTTCCATACTCCACAAATTCGCAAGCCATTATGCCGCCTGTTCATTCAACTCCGAGGTCGTTTCCACTTGTAGATTATGGCGTTACATTCTCCGTACTTAACCCGTGCGTTTCATCTCATTTCAGGTTCACTCGTATGGGCAAGGGCGGTGTGGCTCCTGTCAGTTACACGGGTAACAACAACATGATCTGGGCCTACTCCAGCACCCAGGCTTTCACATCCCACACCAATCGGTATAATTCTCAAACCTTTAAGCCAAACATTTCCCTCTTCTTTACTTCAGTTTATGTTTTCTACACCGTTTATGATTATTTCTGATTGACCTATTTCCTCGATTTGCTGATCCGCTGCATTTTTTTCCACCAGGGGTGGCATTGTCATCAACCTCGGATGCAAGGTGTAATGGCGTTTTGTGCTATTAATTAACATGATGGCTGCCTTGGCTTGAATCATCTCCTAGGGTGGTAGTAGCAGGGTGTGACACCGTTGCTGCTATAGTACCGTAGCAGAGAGAGACAACGTTGCGCATCAAGAATCAGCACCAAGGGTGTGACACTGCCGCTGCTGTGTTGACTCGTTTAGGCGTATAAAGGGTGTGTTGTGTAGTGTACCTTGTTGCTGATTGTTGATGCAATACATTTTGACCAGTGTAAACATGACCTACTGCAAACAGCCTGCTAAAAAAAAAGCATGCCTGTAAAACGAGAAGAGACCTCTTCATACAACAATGTCTGTCTGTCACTCCCTCAGATTCGTTTGTGCTAACTCAAGCACCAGAATTGCAGAATGGTTTACATTTTAAACCATGGGAGAGCAGAAGCATATGGAAATAGAGTACAAATTAGAAACAACACAACTAGCAACCGTATTTTAACGACAGCAGGAGCCGTCGCTCACTGCATAGATGAAACGCGCCCTACTACGAAGGGCAGCTTATTCCCTGACAATTCAAAGAAGAAAAGTAACGAAAAAGAAAGGGAAAAAAAAAGCAGGAAATTGACTTTGCCTAGACGGTGCCTGTTGAGCACTCCTCTTCAGAAGTCTTCACTGAAGGATATAGAGTTGATTTATCTTTCAAGCCACTCCACGTTCGAAAGCAGCTGCTAATAGCAACTCTTGTCCTCCCGCTCCCCTCTCCTCTCCGATTCCCTCCATCTTCTTTTGTTGTGAATCCCGATCACAACTTGAAGTGCAATCCGCTGCTGGTTGCACTGGCAGCACATGACTAGGAGCACCACAGTGCTCCTTCTCTCTCCCACACGGCTGCCACTCCCCTTTTCCCCTTCGTCTCTCACCCCACTCCCCTCTTCCCCCTCTCTTCCCCCCCGCCACCCACCACCTCTCCCCCTTCCCCCTCTCTTCCCCCCCGCCACCCACCACCTCTCCCCCTTCCCCCTCTCTTCCCCCCCGCCACCCACCACCTCTCCCCCTTCCCTCAACTGTAGAACACCCCATAGTAGACACAATTGAGTGTCAAAGCAACTGTCGCTAGGATACAAACAAGAAAAGGCCTTGCACTTAGCAGGCCCGATTCCCCCCCTCCTCCACAGCTTCCCTACCCTCCTGCTGCTATGGGGGTTGGTGCTTAGCAGGCCCAACTCCCCCCTCCTCCTCCACAGCTTCCCTACCCTCCTCCTGCTGCTGCTCCCCTTGCATTCTCCCTTAAATGAAATCCAAACACCCGTCCAAAAAGTCCCACGAAGCTCCCTTCATATCGAAACCCATGATCCCTCCCCCCGGTTCCCAGGCTCTCCCACCATCTCCGTCCCATCACCCCCCTCCCCTCCGCTCTCCGCCCTCTCCTCTGTGAGTGACAGCGGGGACAGGCGGCCAAAGCAGGAGAAGGGGGAAGAGGCGGAAACCCCTGCTATCCCCCCCACCATCTCCTCCCTCTCGTCCCAAAGTCGTGGCTTTTTGAACGGCCCGCCTAGGATCTCATCGTCTATTGCATCTACGGCTCTCGCGGCCTCGCCTTGCTCCCCCAGCTGATCTCCACCGTCCATCTCGAGTAGATCCGTAAGATCAACGTTGAGTGTCCGGGATTTGGGCGTGCATGCTGCTGCTGCTGCTGCTCCTCCTGCCGCCATTCCTACTGCTGCTGCAGCCTCCCCTTCACATGCCCCTGCTGTGGCGTTGTAAGGCGATGGGAGCATCACCTGCTGCTGTTGCTGTTGCTGCTGCTGTTGCTGCCACTGCGGTTGCTGCGGTTGCTCCGAAGCAGTAAACACAGCAGCAGGATCAGCAGGCGTCACCACACCACCACTAGGGAAAGAGTAACTCCTGTCTTCCCCTGCTCCCCTCTCCATCCCTCCCTCTGCTGCTACTCCAACCCCAAAACCCCCATCTCCTGCCCCAGAAACACCACCACCAGCAGCAGCACCAGCAGCAGCAGAAGCAGCAGCAGCAGCACCACCAACAGCATACGAGTCGTGAACCGAAGCTGTAGTGTTCCCACCACTGTTGCTCTCGTTGTGGCTATCCCTGTAACCAGCACTACCGGACCCAACGCCAAGACCCATGCTCCCTACCGGACCAGGAGGGGTGAGGGTATTGGTGTTGGAGAGACCGGAGCTTCGGTTGTAGCTGCTCACGTAGCTGCTGGTGGGGTTGTAGCTTGAATAGAGTGCTTCTGGATGCTGCTGCAGCTGCTGCTGTGACTGCTGCTGCGGCGGTTGCTGCAGTTGAAACTGCTGCTGCTGCACGCTAGGGCTTGTCCCTCCTGCTTCCCTTCCTTCTTCTCCTGCCGCTCCAACTGTCAATGACTGCTCAACACCAGATGGGGCTGGACCAGATAGCTGGGAGGGAGGGAGAGTGAAGGAAGAGACTGGGAGCATCTGGTATCCGTTTGAATCCACAGCCGCTGGTGTGAACTGCCCCGCCTGCTGCTGCTGCTGATATTGCTGCTGCGACTGCTGTTGCTGCTGCTGCTGCACCGGTTGCTGCTGCGGCTGCTGCTGCTGCTGCTGCTGCTGCCACTGTTGCTGGTACTGCTGTTGCTGCTGCGATTGCAGCTGAAACGGCTGCTGCGGCTGCTGCTGCTGCGGTTGGTGCATTTGACACTGGTGTGGCTGCTGCGGCTGCATTTGCAGATTTCGGTTACCCGAGGCTGAAGGCCTGGCCATGCCTACAGGCATGCTCAACTGCTGCTGCTGCCCCTGCTGCCCCTGCTGCTGCTGCTGCTGCTGCCCCTGCTGCTGCTGCCCCTGCTGCTGCTGCTGCTGCCCCTGCTGCTGCTGGTGCCGCACTTGCTGCTGCATGCATGAATGCCCCTCTGAATACTGCTGCTGCTGCTGCTGCTGCTGATGTGGCATGCCACCTGGCAGCCTTAACATGCCAGCCGAGCCAGACGACACAGCACCCCTTTGCGGGGACCGAGCGCCGCCGGCTGACGTGGCAGCTGCTGCTGAGACGGCACGGCCAGCTGATGTGGCAGGGCCGGCAGACATGGATGACGTGGCAGGAGAAGCGGTGGGGATGGAGAGCAAGCGGATGGAAGGACCCCCACTAAGTGCAGACGCACTGGGAGCAGCACTTATGTAAGTGTTGGCAGGAGAATCGCCCCAACACATTCCTCTCCCCCCACCCATACCAGTAGCAACAGTTGTAGCAACACCGGTGGCAGCAGGTACGGGAGGGGCACCCATCGAACCTGCAGGTTCGGCAGACGAGGGCGCAACGAAACCGGAGCGGGAAGGCGTGGCAGGCACCTGACCTACAGCAGAGGTCTGGTATGGAGTCTGGTAGGTTTGGGAGGCGGAGCCAGGTTCGGTAGCAGACTGATTGTGCTGTTGCTGCTGGTATTGATTGTGCTGCTGCGATTGCTGGTATTGATGGTCATACTGCTGCTGCTGTTGTGGCTGCATCTGCAGCTGCTGCGTCTGCTGCTGCGTCTGCTGCTGGTGCTGCGTCTGCTGCTGCGTCTGCTGCTGGTGCTGCATCTGCTGCTCCGTCTGCTGCTGGTGCTGCATCTGCTGCTGCGTCTGCTGCTGGTGCTGCATCTGCTGCTGCGTCTGCTGCTGCTGGTAACCAGAGAGAGCCAAGACAGCAGCGACAGCAGGAGCAGGAGAAGCACGAGTACCAGCAGCAGGGGGCGAGGCGTAATCAGGCGCAGGGGCAGGGCGGAGGGCGGGAGTGGGTGCGGGGCGGAAAGCAGTTGAGGCGCTGCTGACGGGACTGGCAGGAGCTTGGCAGGTGGGAGGGTGAGGGGCCATTGACTGCTGATGCTGCTGCTGCTGATGATAATATTGCTGTTGCTGTTGCTGCTGCTGCTGCTGCTGCTGCTGCTGCTGCTGCTGCTGCTGCTGCTGCTGCTGCTGCTGCTGCTGCTGCTGCTGCTGCTGCTGCTGCTGCTGCTGCTGCTGCTGAAGTTGCTGCTGTTGCTGCTGCTGCTGCTGTTGCTGCTGTTGCTGCTGTTGCTGCTGCTGCTGCTGTTGCTGCTGTTGCTGCTGCTGGTGGTATTGCTGTTGCTGCTGATACTGCTGCTGCAGTTGCTGCTGCTGCTGCTGCTGCTGCTGCTGATGCTGGTAATTCTGGTGCTGCGAAACTGATGAGGCAGGAGAAGAGGCGTGGTTGACATGAGGGGAGAGCCGCCCTCGGGAATGGGAGTGAGAGATGGAGTGAGAGTGAGGTGAAGGATAGGAGGAGGGTTGGGATGAAGGGTGAGAGGTGGGGAACGACTGGGAGTGGGTAAGGTGTGGCAGCACATGTGGACGAGCAACCCCGCCCACCTGCTGCTGCTGGTTTGGAGTTTGGGAGGGAGGATGGGGTAGAGATTGCGAGTGTGAGGGAGTGTATGAGTGAGTGTGACTGTGAGAGTGAATGTGAGCGTGAGGCATGGAACCATGCAACGGGCACTGATGCTGGTGCTGGTGTTGATGCTGGTGCTCCTGCTGCTGGTGATACTGCTGCTGCTGTTGCTGCTGCTGCGGCTGCTGCTGCGGCTGCTGCTGCTGCGGGTTACCACAATGTGCCTGCGCCTGCACCTGAAGACCGAATCGGCTCATGTTGTTACCAGCGCCGCCACTCGCGCCAGCATTGGGTGCAGCGTAGGTAGCAGGGGAAGAAGCACCACTGCCACAACCACCACTACCACAACCAACAGCAGCGCCACCAGCAGCAGCTGAAACCGCAGGAGAAGAAGCAGCAGAGGGACCAGCAGGAGGACCCATGAAGTGTTGAAGCGTGGGAGCAGCAGGAGTGGTGGGCGTTTGAGCGGCAGCGGGCGTGACTGCAGCTGGTGTGACATAAGACGGAGTGGCTATGCCCACGGGGAGAGAAGCAGCAGAAGCAGCACCACCGTTAGTTGCACCTCCGACTCCGTTATTAGCACATCCGATATTGGCACCAGATGAACAGTCAGCAGCCGCTGCAGCAGCAGCGGCAGAGGCAGCTGAAAGCAGCATCGACCCATGCGCAGGCGCAGAGGCAGAAGTGGTCAGGACCCTTCCTGGGAGAAGCGGGAGAGTCGCTCCCCCTTGGTTTCCCCCTTGGCCTCCCCCTTGGCCTCCCCCTTGGCCCTGCACCTGTCCGCCTTCCTGCAACGAATGCTGCATCATGCTTCCATAGCTGCTCGCGCCTCTGTTAAAATGCCCTTGCTCCTTCCCCGTGGTTGCGTTTGCTGGGCTTGCAACAGCAGAGAGAGAGAGGGACCGGGAGGGTTGCTGCTGCTGGGGGTTGGGGAAGGAAGCAGCGGCGGCTGGGAGAATGCATGGCGAGGGGCAGACGGGAGGAGGGAGAGACGCGGGTGTGCTTGTAGCGGGGGTGGCGGCAGGAGTGGTGAGGTGGTTGGGATGGGTTTGGGGGTGAGTGTAAGGAGTGGACGGGTAGGGGCGGAGGGCAGGGGTTTGTGGGGGGTGGGAGGGGGGGTAGGAAGGGGAAGGTGCAGAAGCAGGGGGAAGGGTGGCGGGGGGTGCGCGCGGAGGCGGGAGGGGGAGGGCGGGATTGGGGAGCGGGGTGAGGGAGGGGAGTTGGGAGATACGGTGGGCGGGATTGCTGCTGCTAGTGGTGGTGACAGACGATGGTGTTGAGATGTATGCTTGCTGTTGTTGTTGCTGCTGCTGCTGCTGCTGCTGTTGCAATTGCTGCTGCTGTTGCTGCTGTTGTTGTTGCTGTTGCTGCTGTTGCTGATAATGATAATGCTGCTGCTGCTGTTGCTGCTGCTGTTGCTGTTGTTGCTGTTGCTGATGATGCTGGTGCTGCTGATGTTGCAACTGCTGCTGCTGCTGCAGCTGCTGCTGGTTCCCCCCCCCAGCCCCTTCCCCAGACCCCCCTGCCCAACCCCCAGCGCTTCCCCCTGCGCCTCCCCCTGCGCCAACCCCTGCCAACACCCCTCCGCCTCCGTCTCCCCCTCTTGCTGCCGCCACATTTCCGCCCAACCCATTTCCGCCCCCTGCATTTCCGCTGTCCCCATTTCCACTCCCCGCATTTCCACTCCCCACGTTTCCAACCCCCGGAGAAGCAGCAGCGGCAGCAGGGGTGGGCACGGCGACTTTGAAGGACTGAAGAAACGAGGCTGCCCGGGAAAAGAGTGAGTTCTGGGATAGCTGCTTCAGGTGAAGCGCGTCGCCAGGATTCTTCGAATCAGAAGCAGCAGCACCAGGTTGACCAGGTTGACCGGGTTGACCGGATTGGCCCGGTTGACCAGGTTGACCAGAAGGAGCAGTGCTGTCACTGGGTACTTGGATGGCAGTGACAGCTGCTGCTGATGCGGCTGTAGCAGCTGTAGCACCAGGAGCAGAGGCAGCAGGAGCAGCGGCAGGAGAAGCAGCTGTAGCGGCCGTTGCTGCGGCATTCGGAGTGGCAGCACTGACGCTCGCAGCGGCTTTAGCAGCGGCTTTGGTGGCGGCCGTAGCAGCTCTAGCAGCATTCCTGCCCGAAGGAGTTGCCGAAGCAGATTTGCTCCGAGCCACGCCCCTCCGGTTCGTTGGTGGTTTACCACCCGGCGTCACCGCCGCCGCCGCAGGAGCAGCAGGCGTAGCAGTAGCAGCAGCAGTTGCAGGAGTAGCGGCAGAAGCAACAGTTTTAGGGGTCCGACTCCCTTTTGTATTCCCGTTTTGCTGGTTCTGCTGCTCCTGCTGCTGTGGCTGCTGCGGCTGTTGCGGCGGCTGCTGCTGTTGGAACGGACTGGAGGCTTGAATGCCGTTCCCAAGGGAGAACACAGGCACAGGCCTAGAATCCAGAGCCATGGGTTCAGGCCCGGTTGCTGCCGAACCTCCTGCCGAGCCTGACGTGAGAGGATAGGAGGCGGAGCGCTCGAAGACGGGCTCGGGTTTGATTGGAGGCGCGGTGCGGGGTGCGGTGAAGGCAGGGATCGGGGGAAGCGCGGGGGAGGCGGGGACGGAGGCGGAGGGAGCGGGGGAGGAGGGGACGGGCGGAGGCGCAGATGGCTGCGCGCTCTGGGAGGTCTGGATGAAAGGATGCAGCAGCGCCTGGGTAGCACAGTGGGCGGGGAGGGCAGAATACGAAAAAAAAAAAAATCATTAGAAAGCGGATGGTCGAATTCCCTTTTGGTTTTGAGTGCATGTGTACAGGTCTTTGCGAGGATATACGGGTGCAAGGGAATGAAAATGCGGGACGAAGCTCACCTGCTGAGCAGAGGGGCGTTTAGCTGGGTCGTACTCCATCAGGGAGAATATGAGCTCCGCCATGAGAGGATCGTGTTGTAAGAGCATTCGGCCAAGTCGACCACGCCTGCGAAAAAGAGGAAAGGTAGGAAAATAGGTAGGAGAGTTAGTAAGGAGATTAGAAGAGGTGCTTGTGATTTGGAGGTTCTTGCGGGTTCTGTGAATTAGGGGGACTAGTGTTATTGAAATCGTATATTTTCGCAAATTGACTCGCGCTACTGCTTCTCAGCCCTCGTGAGGTTCGGAAAAAAAAATCGTACATTTGACGAACTTTACGCGAAAAGATACCCCATGCGCCGCGAAAAGTTTCCACCCCCACCAACTGCAAATGTGCAATCCTAATCTCGAATTTCTTTTTAGACGCGTCGCGCTTTCCGCGCCGCCAATCCAGATTTCCAATCCCTTCCTCCCCCCCCAGCCGGTCGTGCGTGAAAAATGATTTTTGCTACCATTGCCCCTATCGTTTCTTACCGAATTGTCGCATGGTTCTTCTCCGCTGAGTCGTCGTCGCCCGCAGCCTTCCCGCCCTCGCCATCCGCATCTCCTGCGATCTCCTCCAGCTGCTGCGACGGGTACACACGCGCGCTCCTCGCCAGCTGCGGAAAGAGCTTTCCGTTGCGAAACAGCTTCGCGGGAGGCGGTAACCCGAGCATCTCCACCATCTGGCGAAGCAGCTGCGATGGCGAATCGCAGACGAAAAGCAACCGGCCAATCGCGAGCTCCGAAAGAACACACCCCAGCGACCAGAGATCAATACTCTTATCAAAGGGCAGCCCGAGCAAAACTTCAGGTGCCCGGTACGCGAGCGTCTGAACATCAAAATCCCGACACAAATCCTTCACCTGCCGCTGCATAAACGAATTCCCAAAATCAGCAAGTTTGATATTCAGCGGCGCCGGCCGCGGCGAATGCACCGGGCAAACCCGCCCCCCCGAACCCGGCGCTCCTGCAGCAACCGCAGCTGTTCCGCTAGGAATCGGCGCAGCGAGAAGGATATTTTCAGGCTTGATATCCCCGTGGATGAACCCGATCGAATGGACCGCCGCGAGCGCCGTGAGCACTTGGCGCGCAACCGCGCGGACGTCCTCCACTCTGTCGGGGAACGCAGGCGCGCGCGCAACTGGCCCGCTCCGCGCGCCCTCCGCAGCGGGACTTTCCGCGCAAGTGCACGACGCGGACGCGCCGCCGGGAGACGCGGCGGCTGATGCGGCGGGCTTCGCGGAGGCGTCTTCGACGGCCCGGCGACAGAGGTAATCGAGGAGCGACCCGTGAAGCTTCTCCAGCACCAAGCACATATGCCCAGAAAAATCAAATCCTCCTGGTTCAATCAGTCGCACAACTGGACAGCCGTCAGCTTCTCGATCCCCGTTCTCCGCGCTCCCGTTCTCTGCGCCGCCAACCGCGGCCGGCAGCAACGAGTTGAGAATATGTAGCAGCTGTAGCTCCTGCCGCCCTACCTCACGATATTGCCGGTGCATGGCCTTTATCACAACGGTCGGCTGTAGCTGACTCCGATTTTGGTTCTGATTCGACCCCCGTTGGAGATCAGACGCAGTTGGTAATCCCCCGAGCGCGCCTCCTCCGCTTACGCCAGCCGCGGAGCTGCCTGCGGTATCCACCGCCTCGAACACGCGCGCAGACCCGCCCTCCGAGATCGTTGCGCGGAAGCGGAACCGTCCGCCGAGTAGGGGGAGATGTGAACCAACGCGCAACCGGCCCGCTGGAGTCGTGTAGTTGGCAGTAGTGGTCGGCGGCAGGGCGGCGGCGCCCGCGGTGTTCCCCGTGGAGCTTGCGCCAGCTGCGCCCGTTCCGCCAAAAGGGAGTCCACGGACGTTGTTCGCAAGCGAAGGAAGGGGGCGGCCGAGCGACGGAACCGATGGTGCGGCGGTGGCGGAAGAGTTGAGGCTGGCGGGGGGCGGAAGCAGCGGCGGAGGCGGCTCCATCGGCGGATGGATCTCCGCGGGGGACTTGGAGGACAACGAGGGCGGAGAAGCGAGTGCCGGGGGTGCGGGGGCTTCTGAGAGCGCGGGAAGGGGAAGGTGGAGGAGCGGGGGCACGACGGGCTGCTGCTGCTGCTGCTGCTGCTGCTGCTGCTGCAGTTGTTGTGGCGGCGGCGGCTGCTGCTGCTGCTGCTGCTGGCTGATGGGAAGGGTACTGCTGCTTTTGCTGCTGAAGTTGTTGGTACTGCGGATGCTGCGGCGGCTGCTGCTGCTGCTGCTGCTACTGCTGCTGCTGCTGCGAGTGTGTATGCGTGGACTGCTGATTACCGTTGGACGGGGAAAGAAATTGCGCGGAGGCGGAGGGTGCCGGTGCGCTGCTGCCTGTGACGCTTTGAGGTGGCGCGAGAGGGGGAGCGGTAGGCGGAGCGAGAAGAGACATCGACGACAACGACGAGTTGTCTTGCGGGGTGTGAGGCATACTCGCGTTACCATTGAGAGAGAGAGGGTGCAGCGACGGCGGGTGCAGAGGCTGTTGCCCCTGTTGCTGTTGCTGCTGCTGCTGCTGCTGCTGATACTGCTGGTGATGTTGAAATACTGGAAGAGGCTGCTGTTGCTGTTGCGGCGGCTGATGCGGCGGCTGGTGCTGCGGCTGGTGCTGCTGGTATTGGTTCTGTTGACCTTGTTGCATCACCATCCCTTGCGGAAACGTCTGCTGCTGCGAATATTGCGGCGGGTACTGTGGCGGGATTTGCGCGGGCTGGTACGACTGTGGCTGTAGAAACTGCGGTTGTTGCTGCGCTAGCTGCGCTGGTTGCGCCTGTCCCTGCTGCTGCTCCGTTGCCCGCACGCCTGACTGCTCCGCGGGCGCAGCGCCTCCCGCCGCCCCACCCATTCCCCCGAACCCCGACCCATAAATCGGATTGTGAACATTACTGCCTAGAGATTCTGTCTGGTGACCGTTGAAAACCCCGGTCTGGCCCGCTTGCTGCGGCGCCTGCTGCGGCGCCTGAAGCGGCGCCTTCAGCCCCTGCTGCGGCGCATGGAGTTGCGCTTGCACGCCCTCCCCGTCGCGCGCCTGGAGAAGCTGCTGCTGCTGCTGCAGGGGCACGGCGGAACCGAACAGCGCGCCGTTCGGGAGGGGCATTAGCGCGGGTGCCTGCGCGGAGGGCGCGGCGGAAGGCGCATGCGCGGATGGGGGTGCATGCGCGGAAGGCGGCATGTGTCTGCGCTCCTCGTCTTGAGATTCCGCAAAACCGAGAGGCATCCGCCCCTCGATACAATCACCACCCAACTCGTCCCCACGTCTATTATCTCTATGCTACAAGTCGTGCTGCTACTTCAGTCACCCCAAAGCATGGAAACGCGAGAGATATTGAGAGATTTGGGGCCGCTGTCTAGTTTCGTTGTTCAATCCTAAAAGCGTACTGCATTCTTGCTCCGGGTATAGCGTACGCCGCCGCATGTATCGCGTCCCTCGCACATCTAGCGACAGTTTGCCTAACTAATCTAGAATATTACGCGCGTCTGCAATGCGGTCCCGAACACGTGAATAATCTCCTAGGCTGACGGAAGATTCGCGCCTCTCGTGGTTCTAAAGCTCAGACTGGCAGATCAAGCTGTACGACAGAGACACTCAGAAGCGTAATGGCATTCGATGACAGGCTAGCCAGAAGGAAGACAGGCGGTGGCTTGTGTGGGACGCTTGGTTGGTTGATCGCCCCTGCGTTCTCTGCAGCGCACCTTGCTTCCCGTCCTGTCGGGCTAGGAGAAGCAGAGGAAGTAACCTAACTGAGGGACAGGATTGACCGCCAGACTGCCAGTCGCATGACGTCGGAATTTGGCGGACGGGCGACGGGGCGGGTCGTGGTCATGACTCATGAGCGAGAAGGAACGGGTGATGAGATGATGAGTGGGTTGGGGAGGTATGGCTTGGGTTGCGTTTGGGTAGCATCAGCGGCTCAATGGCTGCTTTGGTGCTTTGCCGCTGTGGTTTGAGTGGCTGCGCATGGTGCATGGTTTTCCTTGCGCCGTGCGGCGTGGTTGTGCAAGTTGTCGTTTGAAATGAATTGGAACGTGGTACAGGTAATAAACGTAGGGTTTCATTACGGTAATAATGAGCGATTTTGGCAGTTGCGTTTCGGGAAAGCCATTTGAGAAATGCGTTCAAATTTAGCCGCAGCGGAAGATTGCGGGAGGGGCGAATTGATAAGAATGTGGGACAGGCGGTCGCACAAGCCTCATCCCGTCGCAGCCCGTGCGATATGCTCCCCACCGAAAAGGGGCTGATCGTCGACGTGAGCGACGTTTGCGACAGCTCGGCTGGAAGAAGGGAGCTTGAACGACAGTTGCGGCTAGAAAAGGCTGCGACAAACTGTCTCCACGTCATCTGTCGCGATGTCTTACGACGACTTGCGATCTTGTGGTAGTCATGCGATGGATTTCAAATCTTCGACTCCCCGGTGCGGGGCGCGGGGCGCTCGGCTACCAATTACGTGCGCGGGCAACTCGTTCCCGCTTTCGGGTAGTGGCCGATTCGATGAGAGAATTCGCGAACCGGCAACACGAACGAAAACGGAACACAAAACAAGTCAATGCAGTCCGAACAGCTGGGGAACCCAAAACGACAAAATTGACGGCCGAGTGTACGGCTCTGCCTGGACCGTCATCACGAATGCAAGCATTTTGAATGTTGTGACATCCCCCAAGTAAGTTTTGCTCGCCTTTTTTTGTGGTAACGTTGCCGAGACTATTCCTCCTGGCATTCCCAAGAAAGTGAACCTTCATGCTGATGAAATATACATGCTTAGGGCGTGTATCGGGAAAGGAAACGGAAAACCATGATCACAAAATTGCAGTGCTTATGGCCGACAACCTGAGGCCTTGTCCGTTTCCACTTCGAATCGCCCACAGTGATACTGTACCGCCCCAAGGACAATTGTACTTTGACCTCAATTCATTGAGGATGCGTATCCTTCTTGTACAGCTTCAAGCAGAAGTATCGTTACAGAAATAAGGTCAGCTGATTAAACAAATGTAAAACAAGAGATGGAATGGCACTAACATAGTGTATGGCATCACAACCCCAAGCGCATAAGAACCTCGTCAAGGAAAATCATGAAAGGAGCTGAAAACGCAAGCAGAAGCAGGAGACCGTACACAACATTCCTCGGCAGTCCACAGATGCGCACATCATCGTCATCGTCCCCATCCCCTCCTCGCTTCTTCCTCTTCTTCCTCTCCAGAAGTTTCTTCCGAATTGCTGCGTCGCTCAAGGCGGCCTTTGGCTGCAATGGAAGGCGCAGCAGGGAAAGGGGAGATGAATGGACGGGTAAAATCAATAACACATATGCACAACACAACATTCATCATTGATTTCTGCACAGAAGAAAGGAAGAATGGACTTACCTTGTCTCCGTTATAATCATCCTCCTCCCCTGACTCCTCTTCTTCCTCTTCCTCCTCCTCCTCCTCCTCCTCCTCCTCCTCCTCCTCCTCATCCCCATGATCCCACTCCTTCGCCTGCCTGTACAGCTCAGCAGCACGCGGGATCGCCACGTCACGCAGGGCCATCGCCACGTCAGCCTCCCTCTCCAGCAACTCAGAGGCCGACAGGTGGACCGCCTCGTCACCAGCGAATGCCAGGTGGCAGCGATTGTTGTCAAACAGCTGGAAGAAGCTGTAGAGAAGGTTGTGCAAACGGGATGGGTTAACAGGGGGTCCGTTTGAAAGCCTATAGTTGCACGTTTGGTGGTCAAATCCTGATTCGTCCTGACTACAAGATAATCAGCAGCAACCAATCAGCACCAAGATACAGAAGATTACTTGCAAAACAGATAAAGACAATCCAGCAGCCTCGTACCTCAATGGAACTTGGGGAAGGTGGCACCTGGCGCAGGCGCTATCTGGATAATCGCAGGTGGTACCTGCGGAAGGTGTTGCCTGGGGCAGGTGGTACCTGGGGCAGGTGGTACCTGGGGCAGGGCTTGACTCGCAGCCGGCCTTTGCTGTCCTGCACCTCTTTCAGCGTCAACTCCATCCCTTCCTCCCACACGATCGGCGTCCTACACTCCACCCGAACCAACGCCCCAGCCTCGGCACCCGCCGAACCTCCTGCCCCGGCGCCGCCGCCACCACCACCAGTGCCTGCCCGGGTACGAAAAAAATACGCCTTTGAAAGCACGCGATTGGCCATCCATTCCTTGCATCCGGGCAGGAACTCGAAATCTATCACAAAGCCGGACTCTCCCTTCCCACACTCGGCCTTCTCACCCTTCCCTCCACCTCCTCCCCTCTCCCCCTCTCCCCCCTCCTCCTCTCCCTCTTCTCCCTCCTCTCCTCCCTCTCTCCCCTTAAGCGGCCTCCAGCGGATATCAGAGAGGTGTGCGAGGAGGGGGTGGTCGCGCCGGCGAATGGTTTCGACCAGACAGGGCACGGAGCGCAAGACGAGCAGCCAGAAGCGCGGAAGGCTGGCGAGAGAGGGATCGCCGCTGTAGAGGGTTTGGAGTGGGAAAAAGGGTGGGAAAGACAAGCAGCCAGAAGCACGGGAGATGGGCGATGGAGGTGTCTCCACAGCAAGGGGAAGGGTAAGACCCTATTTGGATCTGCCTGCTCACCTGTCGAGGGCCTTGGGACCAATAACCACACACCTGTGAAGGGCCTTGGGACCAATAACCACACACCTGTGAAGGGCCTTGGGACCAATAACCACACACCTGTGAAGGGCCTTGGGACCAATAACCACACACCTGTGAAGGGCCTTGGGACCAATAACCACACACCTGTGAAGGGCCTTGGGACCAATAACCACACACCTGTGAAGGGCCTTGGGACCAATAACCACACACCTGTGAAGGGCCTTGGGACCAATAACCACACACCTGTGAAGGGCCTTGGGACCAATAACCACACACCTGTGAAGGGCCTTGGGACCAATAACCACACACCTGTGAAGGGCCTTGGGACCAATAACCACACACCTGTGAAGGGCCTTGGGACCAATAACCACACACCTGTGAAGGGCCTTGGGACCAATAACCACACACCTGTGAAGGGCCTTGGGACCAATAACCACACACCTGTGAAGGGCCTTGGGACCAATAACCACACACCTGTGAAGGGCCTTGGGACCAATAACCACACACCTGTGAAGGGCCTTGGGACCAATAACCACACACCTGTGAAGGGCCTTGGGACCAATAACCACACACCTGTGAAGGGCCTTGGGACCAATAACCACACACCTGTGAAGGGCCTTGGGACCAATAACCACACACCTGTGAAGGGCCTTGGGACCAATAACCACACACCTGTGAAGGGCCTTGGGACCAATAACCACACACCTGTGAAGGGCCTTGGAACCAATAACCACACACCTGTGAAGGGCCTTGGAACCAATAACCACACACCTGTGAAGGGCCTTGGAACCAATAACCACACACCTGTGAAGGGCCTTGGAACCAATAACCACACACCTGTGAAGGGCCTTGGGACCAATAACCACACACCTGTGAAGGGCCTTGGAACCAATAACCACTGCCTTGCGCCGAGCAAAGATGCCGGCAGAGCGTTCACTCAGAGAGGCGCGAGCAGCAGCAATGGCCGCCTCCTTTGCCCGCTCTGCCTGCTGCTGCTTCTGCTGCAGGTGCTTCAACGCTCTGATGGGAGTGGAGGGGGAAAGCAAAGGAAGGGAGAGAGTGAAGATGCCGGAAGCACGTTCACTCAGAGAGGCGCGAGCAGCAGCAACGGCTGCTTCCTTTGCCCGCTCCGCCTGCTGCTGCTTCTGTTGAAGGTGCTTCAACGCTCTGGTCGGTATACAGGGGGAAGAAGTGGGAAAGGAGGGGAATAAATGTGCAACAGACGCATGAAACATGTTTCTGTGGATGCACCCACCCTAATGCACAGAACATTGCATATACACGCTCTGTTGCACGTGCACACACACTCACACAGACACAAAACCCTCAATATCCGCCATTTGCCAGCACCGCACCTGATCCGGCGCCGAACCAGCCGATGAGGTCCGGAAGGTGGGCGCCGAACGTGCTCGTACCCCTCCTCATTTGCCACGTCAGCATCATCATCATCACCATCACCACCACCCATGCCTCCCTCCCCCTCCCCAAAGCCCGTGCTCGTGAACAGGTCAGCTGCCCTGGGTACCACCTGTGGTGTGGGGTTGTGTGTGGGTAGTGGGGGGAGAGGGGGGGTTGGAGGGTTGGGATTACGTGGAAGCATCCTTCGCAACTACCCCCATGCCGCTCTCCTCTTCCCAAAGGCTGTGCTCGTGAACAGGTCGGCTGCTCTGGGCATGACCTGGGGGGTTAGAGAGAGAGAGGGATGATGGGTAGAGGGGAAGGAAAAGGGGAAGCAACACAATGTTTCGAAATTATTCAAAAGCTTCGTGTGAGTCTGCAGAAGCAAGACTCAGCAAGCTTTCATCACCACCACACCACTCCATCAAGCATACATGTGACTTTTGAGTCGACTCAAAAGTCACTTCCATCACTACCACACCACCACCATCAAGCATGCATAGTCTGCCTCGTTACACAGTGCCGCACCCGTGTTTTGAGGCGCCTCAGAACAAGGCTCGCAAGCTTTCATCACCACCACCACCATCAAGCATGCATAGTCTGCCTCGTTACACAGTGCCGCACCCGCAGCCTTACCATGGCATGGCATATACACCTGGCTACATACCACACACACGCATAGAATTGCATCGCACCGCACTGAACCACGACCATTCACATCAGTGCACAATGCCTACTCAGCCTCCTCCTTGGCACCAGAAAACTCCCGCAGCACAGACATACGTCTCGTTGTTAGCCACACAACCCCACTGCACATCATTGTACCAGGCAGCAAACCATTGCACCGCACTGAACCGGCACGCACCTCGTTGCACAGCGCCTGCCAGACGTCCATCTTGCCATCAGATAACACCCGCTCCTGAGGCACCTTCAGAACCACCTCCCCCAGATCCTCCCCCCCAAACACAGGCATACCCTCCAAACCCTCCTCTCCTCCCTCCTCCCCTTCCTCCTCATCCCCCTCCTCTCCCTCGTCTCCCTCCTCTCCGTCCCCTCCTCTACCCCTCCCCCCCTTGCTGCTGTGTTGGGCTGTGGCTTTATTCCCTCGCATGTTGCGCGAGAGAGTGAAGAAGTTGAAGAAGGAAGGGCAGGGCTTGGTCTTGACTGTTGAGGGAGGCTCGGCTTCCCTACCTGCTCCTTTCTTCCCCTTACCTCCCTGTGATAGGAAGGGGGCCAAGGGCAAGAACAAAGGGAACGGGTTTGCAAGAGAGAGGAAACGAGGGAGGGAATGGTGAAGAAGTTCAAGAAGGAAGGGCAGGGCTTGGTCTTAACTATCGCGGGAGGCTCGGCTTTCCTACCTCCTCCTTTCTTCCCCTTGCCACCCTGTGATTGAAAACAAGGGGAGAGGAGGAGAGCAGGGGGGGAAGAAGCAGGAAGGTAAAAGAAGGAATGGCAGGGCTTGGTCTCAACTGTGGCGGGAGCCTCGGCTTCCCTACCTGCTCCTTTCTTTCTCTTGCCACCCTGTCATAGGAAAACAAAGGGACGGAAGGACATGAAAAGGAGGGAGGGGGTTCAACACGATCAAATGTTCGGGTTCGGCAGGCCATCATGAGTTTCATTCTCAAATAGCCTCCGTGATCGATCAGTTTTGGAAAGAGAGTTAGATTGTTGTGGCTGCAATGGAAGCTCGAACAAATTTCGAAGAGATTGTTGATATGGCTCAAAGCTGTCGACATGCAACCAATATACGATGACGAAGAAAGATGGCTCATTTTGTTTGATGCCTGTTTGTTTGATAATCGGACTTTTTTTTAGCACTTTATCATTGATCATCAACAATCGTCATTGTATTTTGGTTGCATGCCGACAGCTTCGAGCCATATTAAAAATATCATCGAAATCTGTTCGAACTTCCATTGCAGTCACAGCAATCCAACTCTCCTTAAAAATACGATCGATCACGGAAGTTACTTGAGAATGAAGCTCATTAAGGCCTGCCGAACCTGTAGTAGAGGTGAACACGGGACAAGCCAAGCCAGACTCCCTCAAACGGCGTGACAGTTGAATTCGTCCCAACGACGTGAACCGGGCGTGCTCGGTCCTTCAGCTGCGATATCACTGTCTTATAGAATTTTGAGGTGCCTCAGAAGTTGAATTTTGAGTTTAAATTTGAGGCGCCTCAATATTCAACTCAATTTGTCATAATGGCGTGAACCGGGGTGTGCTCGATCGATAAGTTGCAAAATCACTGTCCTGTAGAAGAGATGAGCACGAGACAAGCCGAGCCAGGCTCGTTTCGAGCCGGCTGTGGCTCGGCCTGCCTTCAAACAGAGTCGAGTCAAGTAAGCCAGCAAGAGCCGGCTGTGGCTCGGTCTCGAACTGGCTGGCTGTTCCAAACAGAGTGGAGTCAAGTAAGCCAGCAAGAGCCGAACTGTGTCGTCAAGCAGCTCATGACTTGAGCATTATACCCGAGCCGAGCCAGTGTAGGGGCAAGAGAACAAGAACGCGAGGGTGCAAGGGATTTGAAGGAGGAGACCATCTTGATCCCTCCTTGATCAATCAGGACATGGTCTTGATTGCGCCAAGGGCCTCAACATCATATAATTTATCCAATCAACCCATTTCAACCCCTCTCTCCAACCAGCATCAGATAGTATATCCAATCAGCCTAACTGATCAATCGACCAGGCCCAACACATCTCCCCCTTCCTCCCAGCCTTACACACAATTTGCCTCATCATACAATAGTCCATCCAGGTAGCCTGAGGACTATTTCTGAGGCATCAAATAACTTCGTCTTGGCATGCATAGTTTATCCAATCAGCCTGGCTGGTCCATCCACCCGCTATACCCAAAAAGCAACCAAAACGCACCCGGCACCCAACTCACCTTTCCCTTCTTCCCAGCCTTCACAATCTGTCGCAGAGTCAGATTTTTCTCAACGCCCTTCCACTGAATCTCCGACACCTCTTTCACCACCACCACCGATCCTCCCCCTCCCCCTCCGCCCCCTTCCCCCTCTTCTTCCCCCATTTCCCCCTCGTCTCCGCCTCCTCCTGTAGCCACCTCCACAGTCTCGATATAGAGCGATTTGTTAGAGAAAAACGCGTTGGGGCCGAAGTGTAGTTCCAGCCGCGTGACTGTACCGCCTGTGCCCTTATCAGAGGCACCCCCGCTATTGTCACCAGCAGCTTTGACAAAGCGAACCCGCACGTCCCTTAGGCTCTCCAATGCCTCCTCATCCCGCTTGTGAATGAACTCCGCTACAGCATCCTGTGAGAAGGGGGGGGGGGGGTGAGGGGGGAGGGGGGGAGAGGGGAGAACCAAGTGAAACCGATCTATATCCCTGTAACCCTGTCATCTCAGGCTCTCCAATGCCTCCTCATCCCGCTTGTGAATGAATTCTGCTACAGCATCCTGTGAGGGCGGGGGGGTAGAGAAGAGGGGAAGGGAGTGATGAGAGAAAAGGGAGGTGATAGGGAAAGGGAGAGTGAGCGGCCAGAGGAAAAGACAAGTCTGAGGCCTTCAGCAGCTCTTCACACAAGTGTGCAGCAGGCCTGCACGTGGGGATGGTGTGGTGGGTGCGGGGTGAGAAACAACCAAGACAAAGAAACATGACGCCTTCAGCAGGTCTCCCAACAATATACAGCTTTCAGATGTCTAAAAAAAAACAAGCCCACGTACATGTTTCTTCAAGACAGTGAGCCAAAACTTGGGCACGCCTTTAGGCTCCTTCACCACCTTCCCTCCCTGCTGCTGCTCCCCTCCTCCCTCCTCCTCTTCTCCCATTCCCTCCTCATCTTCCTCCTCTGGGTATGCAGCTGTCGCTTCCTCCTCTGTAGGCTCTGACTCGCCACACACGATTTGCTTCCGCCTCTGAAATGCACGGACAGATGTTGACAGATGGATGAAAAGCTAACTGGATTGACGGACGGATTTCCACGTCCACGATAACAAAACACACGAGAACAAGACATGTAGTCAAGACATGCATGCATATGATAGATCAATGAGCCGGAAGTGGGGGATTCAGGGATTCGTGTGGGGGATTCAGGGATTGATTGGATGAAATCTGGGGATGCCCGGAGAGAGATTACCTCGAAGAGCGGGTCGCATGCTCGCTGATAAGCCTTAAGAGCCTTGGACACATCCGCGTTATAGACGGATTCGAGTTTGTCGTACTCCTCCTGTGGGAAACAATAATAATATAACAAAAGAGTGACACAAAAATGGTGAAACGAGGAGATTTAAGTGACGAAACAATCGTTGACCCAGATCGGAATCAGATCAGCGACTCAATACAGGTAGCGACTTCCACGTGCGTCGTTGCTCGATAAGCGAAGCTCCTCTAGCAGTTGACGTAACTTGCAGCTTCATATGCCCGTCTACTGGACTTACGGCTGCGCCTCCGCGCCTCAACTTCACGCCTTGTCGAGACAGAGCAACGCAAGCGACCGCGTAGTCGACTCAAAAACCGATCGAGGGTGACAGAGGGCTGGCCTGCAGCCTCATAAGCTCGTCTAGCAAATCCATGTAAGCTGCTTCACGCCTCGCCTTCACGCCTCGTCGAGATAGAAAAACGCAAGCGACTTCGAATTTAACTCGATAAACAAATCCGGGGTGACAGAGGGCTGACCTGCAGTTTCATAAGCTCGTCTAGCGGATCCATGTCTGCTGTTTCACGCCTCGTCTTCACGCCTCGTCGCGACAAAGCAACGCAAGTGACGGAAGATTCTGATTCCAGATTATATTTCCAGAATTCTGGTACCGAGCAACACGGGAAAGCCGAGAAATGGAGGGCGGTATTCGAGGCAGCGTCCTGAGGGATTCCGTTTCGGAAAAATGAAATTTCAGGTCGTAATACAATAAAACTCAGTAAACTGAACTTCCGCGTGGTAATCTGAACGGCCACCTCAAGAGCTGCCAGAAGATTTTTCCGCTGAACGCACGACTGCCATCTGCTGCTAGATTACAGTATCTCTTTCCAGCGACAAGCTTTTCTATGCATCCATGGTTGTTCAGTGTCCTGCATCCATCACAGTGCTCCAACGCAATCCCAAAGTATTGAAACATGAAAACAGCGGACTTGAAAAAAAACTAGCGAAGCAGCGAACATGGAAAAACTAGTGTTGCCCTAACACATCCAAGGGTACGATTGGAAATGCTCTCAACATCGTGTTTTGTGATTCCATGGTGTTTCCAAACCATATTGTCACAAACGGCAACGTAGATCGCTTTCTGGTAGAAAATTTCACGGCCAGTGCCGGTAGGGTAATTTACGGCTATTAGCATCCTGAAAACTGAGATGAGTTCCATCAGCCTCTCGGAAAGGGTACACCAGAAAAACAAACAGAATGTGCCCCGCTTCCAACCTCCGCGTTGCCAGTCGTTCTTTTGCAGTTCAGCAGTTTCATACATCATACTACAAGTCTTAGCAAGGCAAGCTAAAGCGAGGACTTGACTTAACCAACACTATGTATATACAGCAGACACACAACTTTCCACTCCAATTCTAATCTAAAGTATGGAAAGCAGGAAGAGCAATGCAGCACTTCTGCTTGTCCTTCAACAATAGGCACTGGCCTACTTTGTCCCACTCCAAATCACAAACAGCCATGCCATCCCGCACTCGAAATGTAGATGCTGAGCTACTACTCACCCTTTCCTTCTGTACTACTGCCTCTGCTGCTCCAGCACCATCAACCCCTTCCGTGCTCCCACCGCCATCAACCCTTTTCTTGCTTCCACCATCGCTTAATTTAACCGGCTTCCACGTAAATAAATGTGGTGTACCGGAGCAGAATGCAATGCAAGGAACTGACGGGTGCCAGGCTGCCGCTCTGATTGGCTGCAGCTGCAGCAGCACCGCCGCCAGCTCAAACTTGCGCCGCGCCGCCCAGATCCAAAGGACGGTCGGGATGTCATCACAGCGCGTGGCTATATACTCCCCGTTGGCACTCCACAGTATGAGGCCTGGAAGGGGGAGAAGAGGAGGGGTTTGAGGCTGTTGGTTGTATGGATGCGTGGGGTGTGGCAGGGGGAATAGGCAATGGCGCAGCGATTGTGGTCCCCTGCCACCACAACAGCACCGCACAGCACAGCACTGCCGCCAAAATGAAACTTGCGCCATGCCGCCCAGATCCAAAGGACGGTGGGGATGTCATCGCAGCGCGTGGCTAGATACTCCCCATTTGCACTCCACTGTATGAGACCTGGAAGGGGGAGAAAAGGGGGTGACAAGAGAGGGGTTGGGGATGAGTGGGCTGCTTGGGAGAAGCACAAGCTGGGCAATGGCAGAGCGGTTCTGAGCCCCTGCCGCTGCAACAGCACCTCGCAGCACCACACAGCACCGCACAGCGCAGCACCGCCGCCCAGATCCAAAGGACGGTCGGGATGTCATTGCAGCGCGTGGCTAGAAACTCCCCGTTGGCACTCCACTGAATGGGGCCTGGAGGGGGGAAAGGGATAGTTGAGAGGGGGTCATATGAAACGAATCGTCAACATGGATCCACAATATGGTCCGAAGGTCAACGAAGCATGTGGCTAGATACTCCCCATTAGCACTCCACTGTATGAGACCTTGAGGGGGGGAAAGAAGAGGGGGGAAAGGGGGAGGAGGGGAGGGTGGGGATCGATGGGGTGTTGGGGATGTCATCGCAGTATGTGACCAGATACTCCTCATTGGAACTCCACTGTACGAGGCCTGCAGGGGGAACAGAAGAAAAGGGGGAGGGGGAAAGGGGGAAAGAGGATAGGGGAAGGTGTTCGGGGAGGTGGGATGTTTAAAAGAGTTGAGAACTTGATTGGCAGAATGGGCAAGCCACTGCCACTGCTATAGCACCGCACAGCACAGTTCAGCTGCAAGCCCAACTTCGGCCGTGGAATGGGCAATGGCACAGTGGTTCTTGGGACCCTGCTGTTGCATAGCACAACACAGGAGCCAATTCCAGCCAAACTCAGCCACCCCCGGCCACGCCCAGCCACTATCAGCCCCGACTCTTATCCAGGAGGTGTTTTTGTAGATTCTTATCAGACTTAAAGCACGGACTTACCGATTCCTTGTTTTGGGTTGGGCTTGTCCGCTGGAGGCTTCTGGACGGGCAGCTGAACGGGCAGCTCAAGCACTCGGTATGAAACGATTTCCTCATCTTCCTCCTCGTGGGCTTCTGCAGAATGAGAAACAGTTTATGGAAAAGGACATGTAAATCTAGCATCGTTCTCTTTACAATATATGTATATTATGTGTATAGATAATTCTCCCCAAAATATACTATGTTATAGGAAGTCCCGACAAGCCATGTGTCTATGTGAATCAAAACAAGGACTGCCTTGACAACAGGTCCATTGAGCCCAGAATTAACCTACATGGTAAAACATCACATCAAGCATGGAATCAGGATCACATGGAATCAAATCACAAGTGGTAGAAGATCACAAAATGGTACCAGGGAACACAACTCACCAGGTGCCATGGTGGTGGCTGCTTCCGACACCCCAAGGCATTCCTGAGGGGCAGGGGAGGCGAGAGATGAAACGGATGGGGTGGAAAGGGGTTGAAAGGGGTGGGCTTTGAGTCGACTCAAGAGCCATGGTAGTGGCTGCTTCCGACACCCCAAGGCATTCCTGAGGGGCAGGGGAGGCGAGTGATGAAACGGATGGGGTGGAAAGGGGTTGAAAGGGGTGGGCTTTGAGTCGACTCAAGAGCCATGGTAGTGGCTGCTTCCGACACCCCAAGGCATTCCTGAGGGGCAGGGGAGGCGAGCGAGCAATGCATAGGAAGAGGCGGAAAAGTGTGCGGAAGGATGCGAAGTCACGGGATGCGAGAGATCCTATCATTGCGTTTTGTTGCAGCAAACGTTCTAATTCATTATTGTGTGATTCTGTTTGTTTCAAAAGCTTTCACTTATTCTACTGTACTGTGAGAGTGAGCATTTCCCAGGAAGGAAGCACACACCTGTCGCTCTCTCTCACATACCCCATACACACATACCCCACTCTCCACCCACCTCGTACACCACAGCAGCAGCAGCCAGTGGAATTTTGACAGCTGGCGCGTGCGGCAGCTCCACTACAGGCCGCCTGTCCCCCGCCCGGAAGACTCGCAGCAGGCGGTCGGCCGAACAGCCCACCGCCACCAGAGCACCTGAAGAGACACCTGAAGTGGCACCTGACAGGGCACCTGAACCGCCGCCTGTGCTGCTGCTGCTGTTAGCATTGCTGTGGGCAATGGAGCCAGGATCAGCGCCAGGTGAAAAGCCAGGGGAGGGGGCAACAGCCCTGACCCCTAGTCCTGGCCAGGGCAGCTCTATGCGTGCTTGAGGTTCGCCAGAGGGAGAGAAGAGGAGCAACTGGTGGGTCAGAAGGGGGATGTGGGGGGAGAGAGACAAAAAGACAAGGAGGGGACGGGGACGGGTGAGAGGTGTTGCAGGTCAAGAAGGGGTGCATGCGGCCAGGGCCAGGGATGGTCAATGCGTGCTTGGGGTTCGCCAGAGGGGGAGAAGAGCAGCAGTTGGTGAGGGTGGCTTTTGAGTCGACTCAAAAGTCACCATGCTCAATGTGTGCTTGGCGTTCGCCAGAAAGGGAGAAGAGCAGCAGTTGGTGGGGGTGATATGGTGAGAGCAGGAGGAGGAAAGATGGAGCGGAAATGAAGGAAATGGGGGATAGGAGTGGGGGGAGAACGTGTTGCGAGTCCTGGAATAAGGCAAGGGATTGGGAGTTCCAGTCCTGGCCAGGGCAGCTCTATGCGTGCTCGGGGCTTGCCAGGGGGGGGAGAAGAGCAGCAGCTGCCCAAGATTGGCCACGTACCCTGAACTCCATGGGGTGATCCCAGACGATAACCCCGCTGCCCTCAGCCGCCCATGCCACGTCAGCAGCGTCCACAGTGTCCGTGCGGAAGCAAACCACCTCCTGCCACGTGTCACAGGCGTACAGGCCCACCACGTCACGACTCTGTCCCGCTGCTCCCCCTACCCCTCCCCCTCCCCCTCCCCCTCCCCCTCCCCCTCCCCCTCCCCCTCCGCCCACTACTGCAGCAGATGCTCTTCTAGCTCCCCCCTTCGCCTCTGCTCTGCCTCCTTGCACCCCTCCCAACCCAACAGCAAAGCTCTCACTCGTTCTTCTAGCATTGGCACTACCAGCACCAGCAGCACCAGTAGCACCAGCAGACCCAGATTCTGTAAACCCAGCAGCAGCAGGGGTGGTAGCGGCAGGTGGCATGCTCTGATTGGATGGGAGCGAGTGGAGGGCTGCTAGGAGGAGGTGGTTGGGGGAGAAGGCGAGGGCGCGTATGGGGTGCTTGGGCAGGGGGATGTGCACTGGAGGAGACTGGCTGTGGGAATTAGCAGGGGAGGGAGAAGGGAAAAAGAAAAGATGATTTGGCAAAGGAACAAAGGAGGTAGTTGGAGAAGAAAGGCGAGGGCGTTCAAGGTGCTTGGTTAGAAAAACTTGCACTGATATTCCAGACAGGCCCCCAACAGTGACATTTTTCTTAGTCACGTGGGATTAACTTTTAAACTTAGTCAGCTGGAAAAGAAATTGCGTGTAGTCACCTGGAACTAACGTTCCATGTATACCTGAAAAAGGCTTCCCATGTAGTCAATTAGGCAATACATTCTACACACTCGTGTAGAAGTCACACTCCGTACAGTCACCTGAAAATGACGTTGCATACAGTTACCTGGAAGTCACATTCCATATTGTCACACGCAGCCTGTGGTCCGAGGAGAGCAGCAGGTGAGTAGAGTCCGGGGCCCAAGAAGCGTGCAACAGGCCTGCTGTCTCGTCCTCGTGCACTGTAGAAGTGCTATTCAATATAGTTACCTAGAACTCCCATTCCGTGTAGTTACCTGGAACTCTCCATATAGTCACACGCACCATGTGGTCCGAGGAAAGCAGCAGGTGCGTGGAGTCCAGTCCGGAGCCTATAAGGCGTGCAGCAGGCCTGATTCTGAGAAATCTCAAAAACAACCAGGCCTGCTGTGCAAGAAGTAACAATCTGCATAGCTAAATAGTCACCTGGAATGGAAGCCACATCCCGTATAATTACCTCGAGGTGACGTTCCATATAGTCACACGCAGCCTGTGGTCCGAGGAGAGCAGCAGGTGAGTGGAGTCCGGAGCCCATGAGGCATGCAGCAGACCTGCTGTCTCGTCCTCACGCACTGTGGCGGACCAATCAGGGAGAGCCACGGCCCACACCTGAGGGGAAGGAGCCGAAGGGCAAAGGCGAGGGTTGGGGTGTGCGTGGGTACTGAGGGACCCATGAGGCGTGCAGCAGACCTGCTGTCTCGTCCTCACGCACTGTGGCGGACCAGTCAGGGAGTGCCACGGCCCACACCTGAAGGAAGGGGTTTCATACGCGTAGAAAGTTTTCAATGGGATACGAAGAGGGTCAGGTGTGTGTGTGGGGAATGAGGGACCCATGAGGCGTGCAGCAGACCTGCTGTCTCGTCCTCACGCACTGTGGCGGACCAGTCAGGGAGTGCCACGGCCCACACCTGAAGGGAAGGAGCCGAGGGGCAGAGGGGAGGGTTGGGGTGTGCGTGGGGAATGAGGGACCCATGAGGCGTGCAGCAGACCTGCTGTCTCGTCCTCACGCACTGTGGCGGACCAGTGAGGGAGTGCCACGGCCCACACCTGAAGGGAAGGAGCCGAGGGGCAGAGGGGAGGGTTGGGGTGTGCGTGGGTACTGAGGGACCCATGAGGAGTGCACCAGGCCTGCTGCCTCGTCCTCGTGCACTGTGGCGGACCAGTCGGGGAGAGCCACGGCCTACACCTGAAAGAAAGGGGTTTCATAAGCGACAAGGGGTAAAGAACGAGATAATGGGAGGGTCAGGGTGCGTGTGTGTGGAAAAAATAAGCACTTTTGGCGTGCAGCAGCATGCTGTCTCGTCCTCCTGCACGTAGCGGATCAGTCAGGGAGAGCCATGGCCCACACCTGAAGGAAAAGGGTTTGATACGTGGTGGAAGGCCACATGCAATAAGTGGAGATTAAGGGCCAGGGTGCCTCTACTGTAGTTTAAGGTCAATTATCGACTTATACCTACCATAGATAACATGAATCGTTTTCAATTGCACGTCAGCTGCGGCTTACGTGAACTGAAGCTTGTGAGTAGCAAGCTGCGAACACCATTGTGGAATCAGGTGCCCATTCGACGGCTGAGATCGGCCCGGTGCAGGTGCACGTTCGGAGATCCTGCAGGTGCACATAAAAAAGACAAAAGTTACAGATTGGCAGGCAGGGAGAGAAGGAAGTGGGGGCTTGGAACGAAATGAGTGAGACTAATTTTTGCATTCTCAAAAAGCTCGTTCGATATGGGAAAATTTGCCTATAAGCTACAGGACTCAAAAAGCTCGTTCGATATGGGAAAATTTGCCTATAAGCTACAGGAAACATGTGACGAAAGCGCCTCTGACTGATTAGACTACCTAGTGCTTATATCGGCATCATTCAGATCTTTCAGACGCATCAGAAACAATTCGAGATCGCGGGTTCGAAGTGTCAGTACCAGCCAGCTATCGAGGCAAGCATGGGACGGCTATACGAAACAGAGTACTCGCCTCGAGAGACGGTACGGAGCGCAAGTGTAGCTTCTTCCCCTGCGCGACGGCGAGGCACCGGCCATCGGGAGACAGGCTGCAAGCGCCGGAGTGAGGCAACACCTCTGCTACATCCATTACAGAGGCAAGAATGCTTGCTTGTAGGCAGATTCGGACAAGGATGATTGACGAGTAAGATTATGATATTCAGTGAGGCGACACTTCCGCCATGTCCAACGGAGTTGGATCAGGACAATGATGCTCGAAGGGGTCGGAGGATCTTAGATTTGGTCTTACTTTCTTGATCAAACTACCCGGACCTAAGACAGTCTATGTTGAATTCACGAAATTATTCGGCGGGAACTGATGAGGAAGACTATCTGCTCTTATTTGCGAGATTTAGTTGCTCCCAAGAAAAAACGTCGGAATCCCCGAGGGAGGTGGAGGGGAACCGGAGCGCGTGTTGCGGAATACAGAAATACCAGCGAATCATCTGTTCTTGGGAATACCCAAGACCTCCACCTAGGATTCAAAAATTGTTGAGAAGTGCGCGAAGAATGTGACTGCAGCGAGGGAAGGTGCTGTCAGAGCGGGACAAACCTGTTTGCTGCTAGATGCGTTAGCGGCGTAAGCATGTCCGAGCGGAACGAAATGTATAGCAATTATTGTTTCGTTCTCCTAAATATGAGTGTATATAATCACTTCAAACAGTCAGCAAACAGAATCACTACTCCAATGAAACTATAGATTACATAATTATAACCTTTTTAATTTCATTTAGTCTTCCCGGACGCCTACACAATGTATCAATTGTCCCCTTTCACTGTATATTAACGCCACAACTGCACAGATGTGTTCGTATGCACTATCAGCACTTTGCTTTCTAGACAGAGGCGGGTTAACCTATGATAAGGATGGAAAACAGGCAAGGCGAGCAGAGCAGTTCCCAAGGCGCTCGCTCTCTCCAAGACTCCAACTCACCCCCGTGATATCAGGGCCTTCGGAGAATCTAGGGCGCTCGCTACGAGTCTCCATTGCAACGGCTCTGTCTCCGTGACTGAGTGAAATAGCATTGTCGCCGACGGACTGGTTCGAAGGGAGTGTCATAGCGTACCAGCGCTCAGCTAGCTTCTGCAACTGAATGTGTACCCGCCGCTATGAGCAGCAGCGTCACGAGCGCAGCTGGATTATAAGATTTTCCAGCTCACTTTATCGCGTGTTGCTGCCATCGCGTGCGAAGCGCCAAGAGCTCTATTCAGTTCTTCGGCAGCGCAGTTTTGATTGCATGATCATGTGGCGTATCGCGTGTTGCGGCCAACGCGTACGCCATGAATTTAATTAGGTTCTGACAATTCTCGCTTCCACTCATCGCATAATCAGCCCATCGCGTGCGCTGCGCCATGAGCAGCGTTGAGCCTTTCCGTCGGTACGTGCGCGCTCGTGTCTCCTCTCTGTTTATCTCGCTATTGTCACAAGCATCGCCGCTCGCTGTTGTCTTCTCTGGACACGGCGCAACGGCTTGTGGAAATAGAATAGACCAACGTTTGTGCCTGCTTTCTTGGACCAATCACTCCTCATGAGAGTTTTCAGACTTTTCGAAAGTGATGCAAGTGCAGGCTCATCGGACCAGTGGCAATACAACCAGATTCTCATTCCTCGACAATTGTTATTTCTTTCTGCCCGCGCTTTTTACTCTTGCAGGCTGGTGAAGCTAGTGGCTCGTGAAATTATTCCAATTCTGTCTTTCTGTGTCTGCCCGTGCTCTACCCTTGCAGGCTGGTGAAGCTAGTGGCTCGCGCATTTTACGACGACGATGTAACAGATGAAAAAGACAAAGATAAAGACAAGGAGAAGGAGAAGGAGAAAGAGAAGGATAAGGGCGGCAGTCGCAAGGCAGAACGGATATGCGGAGGCGAGACCAAGGGACTCACTATAGTCGTCCTCGATGCCCTTACAAGGTACAGGTTGTTTGCATCCTTTTGTTTTAATTTCTCTTCTGGCTTATGAGATGATGTGGGTACATCGTCATAGCTTCATTTTAAGAACCCCTGGCCTGTCCCCTCAACCTCCCTTCAAGAACCTCTGGCCTCCCTTCCCGAATCAGGCAGGCGGCAGCAGCAGATGCGAGAGGAGGAGCTGGCACAGTAGCTGCGTCTGCATAGCTTATATGGCAAGGCAATACCTCCCTCTCCCTTGTTTGCGCCTCGTTGCCCTGTCTTCTACATTCCTCTTCAACCAGGCAGCAGCAGATGCGAGAGGAGGAGCTGGCACAGTAGCTGCGTCTGCATAGCTTATATGGCAATACCTCCCTCTCCCTTGTTTGCGCCTCGTTGCCCTGTCTTCTACATTCCTCTTCAACCAGGCAGCAGCAGATGCGAGAGGAGGAGCTGGCACAGTAGCTGCGTCTGCATAGCTTATATGGAAATACCTCCCTCTCCCGTTTCTGCGCCTCGTTGCCCTGTCTTCTACATTCCTCTTCAACCAGGCAGCAGCAGATGCGAGAGGAGGAGCTGGCACAGTAGCTGCGTCTGCATAGCTTATATGGCAATACCTCCCTCTCCCTTGTTTGCGCCTCGTTGCCCTGTCTTCTACATTCCTCTTCAACCAGGCAGCAGCAGATGCGAGAGGAGGAGCTAGCGAGGCAGCTGCATCTGCAGAGTTGGCTTGGCTGCTGCGCCCCCGTCTTTTGCAAAACCCTCCTCGCTCCCTTCCCTTTCTCTCTCCCTTCCTTGCCAGACGGCAATGGATGCGAGAGGAGGAGCTAGCGAGGCAGCTGCATCTGCACCCGAAGCAGCTGAGGCGGACGCTCAAGATGCTGGAGGAGGAGATGATGATCGTGAGGGAGCACAGGAAGGAGGTGAGAGCGGTTCTGAGGAGTGCTGATGTGTTACGGTGCGGTGTGGTGTGGTGGGGTGGGGTGGGGTGGGGTGGGGTGGGGTGGGGTGGGGTGGGGTGGGGTGGGGTGGGGTGCAGTGAGTGGTAGCCACTTGAAGCAGCTGAGACGGACGCTGAAGATGCTGTATGAGGAGATGATGATCGTGAGGGAGCACAGGAAAGAGGTGAGAGCGGTGGAATGCGGTAATGGAGGAGTAGGTGTGTGTTACAGTGTGGTGGGTTGGGGTGGGGTGGGGTGCAGTGAGTGGTAACCACTTGAAGCAGCTGAGGCGAACACTGAAGATGCTGGAGGAGGAGAGATGATCGTGAGGGAGCACAGGAAGGAGGTGAGAGCGGTGGAGTGCGTTATTCATTGGAAGAGTGCGTGTGTGTTATGGTGCAGTGCAGTGTGGTGTAATGTGGTGCAGTGAGTGGTAACCACTCGAAGCAGCTGAGGTGGGCGCTGAAGATGCTGGAAGAGGAGACGATGATTGTGCGCGAGCACAGGAAGGAGGTTGGCTGCGGTCTTGATTTTCTTTGGAGGAGTACTTATGTGTTTCGGTGTGGTTTGGTGTGGTGAGTGGTAAGTAATCACTTGAAGTGCTGAGCTGTGCAGAGCAGTAGAGTAGACAAGAAGTGTGAGTAGAGTAGCTTCCTGTGTGCGTTCGTGTTGATATATCATCCCTCTTCTCCTCTCCCTCAACGTTTACCCAATACCCCATCCTCGTCTTCCTATGCAGAACACGAGAGCAGCAAAGAAACAGAAGCAGGAGGGGGAGGAGGGGAAGGAAGGGGAGGGCGAAGGCGAGGGGTCGAAATGGGAAGGGAAGCCAGGGCAGAAGGCGAAGCAGCACTCCCACTCCTACTGCTGCCTGCACTACCCCCAGGTGGGTATTTTGCATGTAACAGCTTTTCTTACAAGCCTGATTGTTATCGAAACGGGAAGGGAAGCCGGGAAAAAAGCCGAAGCAGCACTCCTACTCCTACTGCTGCCTGCACTACCCCCAGGTGGGTATTTTGCATGTAACAGCTTTTCTTACAAGCCTGATTGTTATCGAAACGGGAAGGGAAGCCGTGAAAAAAGCCGAAGCAGCACTCCTACTCCTACTGCTGCCTGCACTACCACCAGGAGCGTATTGTAAGATCCTTTCTTACATACATCACTCTCCACTTGCGCATATGACATTCCGAGTGTCTGCAAATGTGGCAGATGTACAAACATTGAGCGGTACTGCATGCATCGAGAAACTTTTGGGAATTCTCAAAAGTCACTTGCGTTTATGACATTCTGAATGTTTGCAAAGTTGGCAGATTAACAAACATTGGGTGGTACCGTACTGCATGCATCGAGAAAAGACAGACATCAGTCAAGAACGGGCTAAACACATGGATTCTGTTCTGGGGAAAGTTGTCAACAAGTTTTGAGGCGCCTCAGATGGTGGCAGGTTTTACAACATTGTGCAATGCCACGTGCATCATCAGGCAAAGACAGACAGCAGTCAAGAACAAGCCAAGCACACGATTCCGGGTAAATGAATGCTTGTGCAGTATCGCGTCCACCGGGCAAAGAAAGGGGTTTGTCTAGAATTTAAAAAAATCCGGGTTTTATTTAGAATTCTAAAAACAAAACAAGTGGGTATATGGATCGTTGTGTGGTATCGCGTCCACTGGGCAAAGCAAGTGATAGAAGATGAGAGGTGAACACCCAACGGAGCCTCTGTCTGTTCCTCCCATCCATTTACCTTCTGTCTGTACCCCATCCTGCCAGATCTATGACGTTGTGAGGTACCGGATACACCAGGCGAAGAAGGCAGGTCATGTACCTGCTGTGCCCGGCACATTGACCGTCCTCCTGCTCCTCTCCTCCCGCTTGCATGCCACTTGCATGGCTCTTGGACCCCAACATTCCAGATCTACGACGTGGTGAGGTACCGCATTCACCGGGCTAAGAAAGCGATAAAGGACGAGCTGGACAGCCGCAAGGAGGTCATGTACCTGCTGTGCCCCAACCCGCACTGCAAGGCCCGGTGAGTGTCTCTCCCTCCCTGCTGCGCCCACCGTTGCTGCTGCTCCGTTGTGTGCTGTTTGGTAGGGTGCCCCACTGTGCCTTGAGACAGTGTTTGGTGGGGTTTCCCACCTTCTTGAATCTCACTGCTCGACGGCAAGGAGGTCATGTACCTGCTGTGCCCCAACCCGCACTGCAAGGCCAGGTGGGGTGTGTTTCATTGCTCTCCCCATTGCTGTTGCTCCACTGTGAGCTGTTTGGATGAGAGCTGGACAGTCGCAAGGTTGTCATGTCATGTACCTGCTGTTCTGTGCCCAAGCCCACACTGCAAGGCCAGGTGGGTGGGGAGAGGGAAGGGGGGAAGGGGTTGGGGTAAGGGGAGGGGAAGGGGACTGAGAAGGGCAGTCAGTATGGAGAGGTGGGGAGAGGGGGAAAGAGTGATTTGGTTGACCCTATGTGTCTGTCTGTCTATTCCCCCTTCCTCTCCATACCTGTCAGGTACTCCACACTTGATACAGACAGATTAATCGACCCAGTGGACTTCAATCTCAAGTGCGAGCGCTGCCACTCAGAGCTGGAGGCCGAATCTGACATGCTGGGAGGTGGGGGAGGAGGTGGAGGTGGGGATGGGGAGGATAACACGCGGAAGAAGAAAAAGGAAGCGCTCCAAGACATGCTGGCTAGATTCGAGGTGAGTGGATGGTTGGGAAGGGAGAGAGGAAAAGCGGGGTGGTGAGATGGAGAGGAGAGTGGGAGTTGGAGGGGCGATGGGGAGGATAACACGCGGAAGAAGAAAAAGGAAGCGCTTCAAGACATGCTGGCTAGGTTCGAGGTGAGTGGATGGTCAGGAGGGAGGGAAGAAGATGGGGTATTGGGGTGGTGATGGGATGGGAAAATGGGGAGCAGGAATGGGAGGTGGGGATGGGGAGGATAACACGCGGAAGAAGAAGAAGGGGGCTCTTCAAGACATGCTGGCTAGATTTGAGGTGAGTGGGTGAGTGGTTGTGAAGGGAGGGAGGGAAAATACAAGCAACAATGGGGAGATGGGGCAGGGGAGAGGAAAAGGGGGATGGGGAGGACAACACGAGGAAGAAGAAGAAAGAAGCGCTTCAAGATATGTTGGCAAGACTCGAGGTGAGTGGATGGTTGTGAAGGGTGGGAAGATGGCGAGGTGGGAAAGGTGGGGAAGATGATGCGCGGAAGAAGCAGAATACGCAGGTGTCTCTTCAAAACGTCCTGGCAGCCTTGAGGTGAAGTAAAAAGGATCATATTTGGCATGAAACACGAACTGAACCCGAACCTGTTCCACCTGAGACCAGCTTGGATGTCTTTTCTGTCCACCCTTTGGCCCTTCTCCCCCACCCCCAGCGTCAGCTGAACTTCAGCTGCTGAAGCCACAAACTGAGCAAATAGTTGAAGTGAAGGACCTCACGCCGCCCTACTTCGGGTCTCTATCCGAGTGGGAGGCCAAGGCGTCGCCACCCCTGTTTCCATCCCCACGCCCTGCCTCCGCCCCTTCTCCTCCCCCCTTTCCAGCGTCAATTAAAGCCCCTGATGGAACAGATAGTGAAGGTGAAGGACCTCACACCCCGCTACTTCGGGTCTCTATCCGAGTGGGAGGCCAAGGTTTTGGTTTCCTTTACCCTCACTGTTCCCATCCGCATGCCCTGCCCTGTCCCATGCTCCTTCCCTACCCTTACTCCAGCGCCAATTAAAGCCCCTGATGGAACAAATCGTGAAGGTGAAGGACCTCACGCCGCCCTACTTCGGGTCTCTGTCCGAGTGGGAGGCCAAGGCGTCGCCACTCCTGTTCCCATCCCTTTGCCCTGCCCTGCTCCCTGCTCCCTCCTCCCCTCCGCCTCACCCCTTTCCAGCGCCAGTTAAAGCCTCTGATGGAGCAGATAGTGAAAGTGAAGGACCTCACGCCGCCCTACTTCGGGTCTCTGTCCGAGTGGGAGGCCAAGGCGTCGCCAGCACAGAGGGCAGCAGCAGTGGGAGGGGAGATTCCCAAGGCTCTTCCCCGATTGGCGGGGCCGGGAGGAGGGGGTGGAGCTGGGTCGACACCGCTTCCCTTCATGGGGGAAACAAGGGTACGTTTCTTTCACTTGTGTGGGTGGGATTGACAGAGTAAGAGTTCAAGCCTCCAAGGCTCAAGGCGTCGCCAGCACAGAGGCAGCAGCAGTGGGGGGGGAGATCCCCAAGGCTCTTCCAAGACTGGCTGGGCCGGGGGGAGGGGGTGGAGCTGGGTCCACTCCGCTTCCTTTCATGGGGGAGACACGGGTAGGTGGATAAGAGTGGTCAGCTGGTTAGGTGTAGCCGGCACAGAGGGCAGCAGCAGTGGGAGGGGAGATCCCCAAGGCTCTCCCCAGACTGGCTGGCCCGGGGGGAGGGGGTGGAGCTGGTTCAACTCTATGTTGGAAAAGTCGCGCCCAGCGTATTATACGCAAGCGTATATACGCTTGCGTATAATACGGGATGCGCAGAATGGGTGACTCAAGAATACGTGAAAAATACGCTGCCCGGGCAGGTAAAACTTTTTTCCGGTCAGGCGGGACTAGAAACCTCATTAGTCGCACTCGCGGGAGTGCCAGTGCCAGTAGGGGGCGTCATCGTAGAGCTGCGAGGTGATCGAGAGAACTGGAGAAAGAGCATTACGACGTGACTGATGAGATGTTTTAGGGTTGGGAGGGATTACCTTTTTGTCCTCGATGAGAGGTGAGGTAGGCTGGTTGGAGACATTTGTGTAGCTGAGTTGGAGTTGCGGGGTAACGGACGGTGCAATGCGGTTGATTTGAATACCCCCTTGCCAAATTTGTGTGTTGGGTGGGGTTGACGAATTGTGATGTTGCGAACAATTTGATGTCGCGACGCATTTTCCAATTTCGTGCGCGAACTTTTTCTCTTTCTTTTTTTGGCTGGGCAGCCCGGATTTTTCCGAACGAATGTACGTGCGTATTGCGTACAGCGTATATTCGTCTACGTCTATACGCTGTACGCATGCCCAGGCTGGCGACTTTTCCAACATAGGTTCAACTCCCCTGCCCTTCATGGGCGAGACACGGGTACGTTTCACTTGCCTGTGTTCTTCAGCAATGGTGGCGGTTGTGCTTTTCTGAGTGGGAGTTGATTCTTTCAAGGCGTCGCCAGCACAGAGAGCAGCCGCAGTGGGGGGGAAGTTTCCCAAGGCTCTCCCCCGATTGGCTGGGCCGGGGGGAGGGGGTGGATCTGGGTCGACCCCCCTTCCTTTCATGGGGGAGACACGGGTAAGTGGATGGGAGGGACACAGGTGGGTGATTTAGAGCTGGCGGGGCCGGGGGGGGAGATCCCGAAGGCTCTTCCCCAATTGGCGGGGCCAGGGGGGGGGGTGGAGCTGGGTCCACTCCGCTTCCCTTCATGGGGGAGACACGGGTACGTTTCTTTCACTTGTGTGGCTGGGATTCACAGAGTAAGAGTTGAAGCCTCTTGCCTCTAAGCCTTAAGGCGTCGCAGGCACAAAGAGCAGCAACAGGGGGGGGGGGGGTTGGGAGATACCCAAGGCTCTCCCGAGACCGGCTGGCCCGGGGGGAGGGGGTGGAGCTGGGTCGACCCTGCTTCCCTTCATGGGGGAGACACGGGTAAGTGGATAAGAGTGATCAGCTGGTTAGGTGTAGCCAGCACAGAGAACAGCAGCAGTGGGGGGGGGAGATTCCCAAGGCTCTTCCGCGACTGGCGGGGCCAGGGGGAGGGGGAGCTGCTGGGTCGACCCCCCTTCCTTTCATGGGGGAGACACGGGTAAGTGGATGGGAGTGGTCAGCTGGTTAGGTGTATGTTTCTGAGTGGGTGGGAATGTGGGGGTTCAACTCAAGCCTTCCAAGGCGTCGCCAGCACAGAGGGCAGCAGCAGTAGGAGGGGAGATTCCCGAGTTGATTTCTGAGTCGACTCAAAAATCAACCCAAGGCTCTTCCACGGTTGGCGGGGCTGAGGGGAGGGGGGGTAGTTGGGTCACCGCCACTTCCTTCATGGGTGAGACAAGGGTAAGTGGATAGGAGGCCTGCATAATAGTGAGTGGGTTTTGCTTTTCGAAGGGGAAGGGGGAGGGGAAGGGGCGTTGACCAAGCCAGCAGAAATCAACGCCCTCTCGAAGGGCTTTTTTCAAATGGGCCATACGAGAGGGCATGGTGCTGACTGCTGCGCAGAGAGGAAATGGTGCTGACTGCTGCGCAGAGAGGAAATGGTGCTGACTGAATCACTGAATCTCTACTACCCCTGTCTCCCATGCCCCACGCACCCCATGCACACATCCCATGCACACATCCCATGCACGCATCCCATGCACGCACCCCATGCACGCATCCCATGCACGCACCCCATGCACGCACCCCCAATATACAGGTGGAGTTTTCGATTGGAGGGGAGGACGTGGGTGCTGCTGCTGGTGGGGCAGCGGGAGGAGGAGGAGGAGGGGGAGGAGAAGGGGCGCTGACAAAACCAGCAGAAATGAAAGTTATTCCCAAGTGGGCGATACGAGAGGGCATGGTGCTGACTGCTGCGCAGAGGGGGACTGGTGCCTGTGCTGGTGCCGATATTAAAGCCCTTGTTCCCTTTGCCCCACCCACCCCATGCTCCCCCAAACACAGGTGGAGGTTTCGATTGGAGGGGAGGACGTAACTGCTGGTGGTGGTGAGGCGGCAGGGGGAGGGGGAGGGGAAGGGGCATTGACCAAGCCAGCAGAAATGAAAGTCATTCCCAAGTGGGCCATACGGGAGGGCATGGTGCTCACTGCTGCGCAGAGAGGGGAGGTGGAGGAGGAGAAAGCGGGGGGTGAAGGGGAGGGCGGGGAGGGGGGAGCAGGGGAAGGGGGTGGGGGAGCAGGGGAGGGCGCGGCGGGTGGAATGTCTGCAGAGGAAGAGGCAGAGCAGCAGAGACTACAGGTAAGCTTTGGTATATACAAATAAATGTATTTCTTACACATACACACATACGCATACAAACATAAATGTATATATGAATACAAATATAAGTATAAATGTAAATATACCTATAATTTTACTTTTAATTTTAAATATAATTAAACATATATATATATATATATTAATTTAGAAGTATAAATATATTATAAATGAATATATCATTCACCCAAACGTGAAGCACGTGTCACTCCACCCTTCTATCATGGAGCATGCAAGGCCTACTATGCTGCATTGCTGCAGCAATTAGGATATCCGTCCCAACCTATCCCTCAATCACAATATGCCCCACCCCCCTGTTCCCTCGCCCTCGTATGATCAGGAATATTACAAGGCTTACTATGCCGCGTTGCTACAGCAGCAACAGTTGTATCCGTCCCAACGTATTCCCCAACTTCAACCTGTTTCTCTCCTCACTTTCCCCCACCCTCATATCATCAGGAATACTACAAGGCATATTATGCAGCATTGCCCCAACAGCAACAGGTGTATCCGCCCCAACGTATTCCCCAACTTCAACCTGTTTCTCTCCTCACTTTCCCCCACCCTCATATCCACCAGGAATACTACAAGGCATGTTATGCAGCATTGCTACAACAGCAACAAGCACAAGCAGCGGCAGCTGCAGCAGGGGGAGCTGATACCACTGCCCCTACTGCTGCTGCTACCGACTTTAACCTATCCCTCCTCATTTTTCCCCACCCTTGTATCACCAGGAATATTACAAGGCATATTATGCCGCATTGCTACAACAGCAACAAGCACAAGCAGCTGCAGCAGCAGGCGGAACGGATACTACTACTGCTGCTGCTACCGTCACTGCCACAGCTACAGCTGCTGCTCCTGCTGTCGCTCCTGCTGACGAAGCAGAAGCAGCAGCAGGGGAGGGAGATGAGGAGGAGGATGTTACATGGGAGGAGGGGGACGCAGGAGTATATGCCACGCCTCCTGCTCCTGCTACTGCTCTCCCTTTCAACACGAGTCAAGCCCTCCCCACTACGCCTATAGCAGCAGCAATACAGGAGGAGGATGAGGAGGCGGATTATGAGTGGGAGGATGGGGATGGGGTGGATGGTGGGGTGGGAGGGAGTGGAGGGGAGGTTGGAGGGGACGGGGGCGGGGGAGGGGTGAGTGGAGGGGTGGGGAGTGGGGGTGGAACAGGGGATGGGGCTGGTGTTGCGGTTACCCCGGAGCAGGTGGGGGTAGGAGAGGCTGAGGGTGATGATGAGGAGGATATTGAATGGGATGGGTGATAGAATGGGACTACCTACTAGTTGCTTTGCTACAGTATGCAGTAGTACCTTATGGTCTAGGAGATGTGTACAATAATACGGTGACACCTGGTTGGACAGCCTTACTGTAACAACACCTGGGTGAGGGGGGGGGGGGGGGGGGGGGGGGGGGGGGGGGTTTCTGGTCTGGTCTGGTTGCATCTTCAGTCTGTATCAGACGCACGATGGGCTGACTTGAATGAGAAATGTTAGCTGGTCTTACCATAAGGCAATTTTGGCTGTTGGCTCAGAATGGTAGCTACCGGCTCTCATGACGTTCTCGCACGTGGCAACGTACCGTCATCGCCCGGATATAAGACATATATGTCTTATCTCGTACACGGGAAAAAATGCTTGAGTTATCTTATAAACGGGACGCTTTAGGGTGTCTTATAAATCTTATACCGTATCGCCCCGGATATAAGCGCCGTCCAATTAAAGGCGCCGGCGCTTCTATCTGGAGCATGGCGCTTATGGCCGGAACTCGATTATAAGCGCCCCCCCTGTGAAACCCTGATTTATTATAAGCGCATCCATAATATTATGTTTCAATCCTGATTAAAGCGGTAACGAGTTTTGAATTTCAAGCGAGTCAGCACCCATTTTCAGTTTGTTTGACTTTCGCGGTCCTGACTGCTTTCGCGTCCAGTCAGGATGAGGTGGCAAGCTGGCAAATTGACGTGTCAAAATCTCTGTGCACTGTGCAGCGTCAGAGAATCGCCCTCACGCGATTCAGATTCTGGACGCTTTAAAATATCGACTCGATTGAACTACCGAGACTGAAATGTGTACATTTTGATGCGTTTAAGTTGTATATCTGTACTTGTCATTATATAAGCGCCGGCGCTTATGGCCGTGACTCAATTACAAGCGCCCCCCCCTAAAAAAACCGGTTTTATTATAAGCGCACATGCGCCTATATCCGGGGTTATACGGTAAATGGAAACTTTTTAAACTACTTAGAAATATTTTCCGTACTTCTTGAAAAAGAGTTCCTCATAATGAGTGTGGATGTTGCGAAGGTGCCACTTCGGCAACCACTGCCCGGGACGCCACGTCATGGAGAACACCTGCAGAGGCAAATTTGGTAGGTCCTGGGTCAGCGCGTGGAGAAATTCGCGCTTCGCAAGGGTAAAAATGTACGCGTTATTTCAACTTTCGCTATAATATATTGAAGTTTCGATTATAAGACATATATGTCTTATCTCGTACACACAAATAGGTGTCTTATAATGAGGCTAGCCTGTTTATAAGAGACACCCGTATAGTAGACAACCCCTGTCTACTATTCAACACTGTCTTATATCCGGGCGTTTACGGTATGTGATGAGTTGAAGTTTGGTGGTGCTTCTGCTGCGCAACAAAGTGACTCATTATGTGCACTGGCTTTGGCTATTACAAATACGGAAAGAAACACAAGCTTTGCATTTCTTGAGAACAGGTACAAGAGGATCCAGGCAATTAAAGCCCGCTCTTTGCTGTACCCAGCACGAGTGGCTTAGAGGGCAGCTTATCCCGATCATGTGCCTCGGAATAATCAATATTCCGCCCGATCGGGCAGATGGCGAAAGGATTCAGGGCGTTCGGGCTGCAGAAAAACTTTTTGCGGATGTGAACCATGTTCACAGTGCTGGCGATCCCGGGCAGCTGGAAAACTTCCTTGGTGTAGTTGAAAAGATTGGAGTACTCCTGAATCATCCTCTTATTACAGTTAAAGTGCCCATAATACACCTGGGAAATTGGGGAACATGCAACACCAGACAGAAACACCCAGGTATGGTAAGAAAATGAGAATATGTGGGAAGAAGCAGACTGGGGATGGAATCAGCAACATAGCGAATATAGAAAGCAGCCTTGAGAATGGAGAAAGCAGCGTGGGGTGTGAAAGAATCAAATCTACAGCCGTACCTCATCAAATCTAATCAGATCCACAAACAGACGAATATCTGCCTCTGTGAAGGTGTCTCCCGCCATGTAGCGCTGCTGTGAGAGAATGTCCTCACAGCGATCCAAGGCTGAGAAGAGGGTGGCTACGGCCTGGAGTGGGAGAGACAGGGACAGGGCAGAAGGAGAGAGAGGACAGGGGAACAGGAAGGGTGGGTGAGCCTCTGTGAAGGCCTCTCCTGCCATGTAGCGCTGCTGTGAGAGAATATCCTCACAGCGATCCAAGGCTGAGAAGAGGGTGGCTCGGCCTGGGTGTGGGAGTAGATGGGGAAAGGAGAGAAGGCGAGATGAGGAGAGGGGAGAATGTGCGTCAGCCGCTGCGCCCACAAGAGTGGGCGCAGGCAAGAGTGGGCGCAGGGGAGCCGCTGTTTTTCCAAGAACACTCTCACCTCATCCCCACCCATTCATCCCAGAACATCATAGGCTGCTTGCTCCTTGGCAAATCCACTATTCAATTACGCCGCTGTTGATGGCAGGGCCAACCCACTCGTTCACCCCGTCAATAGCAAGCACCCACCTTCCCTTCCCATCAATCGCAGCACCGTTCCCAACCCATTCTCACCACATCATGAGCCGCTTGCTCCTTGGCGAATCCGCACTTGAACACGCCGCTGTTGATGGCCGGGCCAACCCACTCCCCTATCCCTTACCCCCTATGCCAGCACCCGCCAATCCCTTACCGCATCATAAGCTGCTTGCTCCTTGGCGAATCCGCATTTGAACACGCCGCTGTTGATCGGCGGGCCAACCCACTCGTTCACCCCGTCAATAGCCCCCCGCATCGCCGCAGGGTAAAGGTCCACGTGGGGGTTGGCGGCGACGGCGTTAAATTCCGAGTTGAGCATTCTCATGATCTCCGCACTCTCGTTGTTCACAATCGTGCGGGTCTGCTTGTCCAGCAAGATCTGCAACGGTCAAAAGCAGGGAGGGTAACAGTGGAGGTCAGTGGAGGTTAGAGCGGTGAATGTTGAGCATTTGCATGATCTCTGCACTCTCATTGTTCACAATAGTTCGTGTCTGCTTGTCCAAGAGAATCTGTGACAGGAGGTCAAGCAAATGAACGGAACGGTAGAAACCAGGGAGGGAAACAGAGGTCAGTAGAGGTCCACGTGGGGGTTAGCGGTTTGTGAAAGGTGATCTGGGATGGGTTAAAAAGTGGATTAGATGAACGTTATTGCCTTGATTGTAACTATTATGGTATTAAGTTTCTGGTTGTTCCAATAAGGATCTGAACAAAGAGCATATGACATGCGTATGCAAGTGCAACTTTTATTTATCCGGTGTACTGTACTGTACATACCGGCACTGAGAAGGTCTTGTACGTGGGATCCAATTTCTCGTAGATATTGCGGACGAAGCGAGCACCAAAGATCGGGTCGGGCTGCGCCCCCGGCTCCTCCGCGTCCCCCTCCGCGGAACGAAAGCCCTATCCGTAATGCCATTTGAAGCGCTCAAAGATCGTTTGTTTTGTAACATTTGATGTATGTTGTACATACCGGCACAGAAAAGGTCTTGTATGAAGGGTCTATTTTCTCGTAGATATCGCGGACGAAGCGAGCGCCGAAAATCGGATCAGGTTGTGCCCCTGGCTCCTCCGCGTCGCCCTCCGATGAAGGAAACCCCCATCCGTAATGATCCTCCCCCTCGCGCGTTCGCACCCACGTTGGGTTCACCACCTGCCACGTCAGCAGGGATGGAGTGGTGAGGCTGTACTCTGTATAAGGCTGCAGCGTTTGACAACGCCATGGGATTAGCGGCACAGTGATGTTTGTAAACTATGTGCTTACAGTCACGGAAATGGGCATCGTCGAGTCCTTCGAGCTTGAGCGGGGATTAGCAACACAACCGTCCTTGTAAAGAATATGACTATACCGGGTACTGCTTACAGTGACGGAGATGGCGTCGTCGAGTCCTTTAAGCTTGAGCGCCATGAGGCACCGCGACGCCCAGGGGCAGGCGTAGCTCACGTACAGGTGGTACCTGGGGGCGGTCGGTATGGTGCAGAGGATAGGACCATGGTTAGCGGGGGAACGACAAAGCACCAACCAGGCACGCTCAGGGACAGGCGTAGCTCACGTACGTGGTACCTGGGGAAGGTCGGTACGGTGCAGAGGGAGGGAGGGGGGAATAATAGTTAGCGGGGGAATGACAGAGCAGAGCAGAGCAAAAACCAGGAAAGCTCAGGGGCAGGCGTAGCTCACGTACAGGTGATACCTGGGAAAGGTTGGGGGAGGGGGAAGTGGGGAAGGGGGAGGGGGGAGGGGGGCCCCGGGACAGTTGATACAGCAAGGAGGGAGGGAGAGGGGGGAGGGGCGGCGCCTAATAGAAAGCAAGGGAGAGGGGAACTTGATACAGCGCCGTACCTTCCACTCACCTACAAGCAATGCCTTCCGCCGTACCTTCCGCTTTCCGCGGGGAAGCCGCTGGAGCCGTCCGCCGTCACATGCTGGCGGAACGGAACCGCTGCCGGCGCGGAAGGCGGAGCGCTTGCTCCGGCGGAGGCCGCGGCGGCAGTCGCGGTGGGCGGCATGATTCTGGCTGCGGCGGCTAGAGATCGGTTGACGGTTCGACTGGAGGCTTGTTTTGGAAACGTGCGCGCTACTACCGAGGACGTAGTGTATTGAGTAATAGAGTGGTTGCTGCCAAGAAAAGTGGAAGGTAGGCGAGAGAACGGGGAGGAGACGAGGAGTGTGGGTGAGTTTGGGAGGACTGCGAGACGGTGTGCGCACGACTGAAGGAGCACCAGCGGCATTAACGCTGCTCTGCCTACTTCTAAGGTGATCTTCGCTAACGCTCGGGAGGTGATCTGCTGTGTTTCGCTGCTCCGCGCTGCGATTCTCTGCGCGATGCGCGGGTCTACCTTTCGCTTGGCGGTGGTGCTAGTGGGGCAAACCAGCTAGAGATGCTAAAGAGGGACGCTCGGGATACTCAGAGTCAAGGATCGTTTAAATAGCTGCGTCGTGTCCTGGAACGTGTCGCGCTGGAGGTCCCCTCGATCCCTCCGCCAAGCCCGGATCTCCCATCGTTTATTTCTTTCAACCTGCCCGGATGCGCAGCAGATCGCTAAAAGTTTTACAGGACCGACCCTCGCTGAAACAGTACGCGTGAAAAGCTACGCACCCTTGGGAGTAGGGAGGTATTGCCGCATAGTTGTGGTTGCTAGCCTTGCATGCCGCACGGAATGCGTTGCTGCCCGCCGAAAGAAAGGAAGGTCTCATCGCAAACACAGAACCAGCCACCCGACCAATCATGGAGCAAAGACGTGGATTTTAAGTCTGACAGACGTCGAACGCTCGAAGGTCTGAAGGCTCGAAGACTTGTCGCAATTGGGGAGTCTATGCCACGCTGGCAATGCGATCAGCTCGGATCGCGCTAGGTAGGTGAGTTTAGTTTCTTCCGCAGCTTCGTAGGTTTAGCGAAGGAGCGAGCGAAATTGCGTAAGACCAGGCTTGAACTCTTTACAGATAGCTCCGTCTACAAATAAGACGACCGCAGTCCATCTAAAAGAGCGCCGTTACTAGTGAATTGCTTCCTCCCCTTCGATATGAACAGACATGATCTATCGAACGAGTGCGTCCCCTATACGAAGAGAATTGGTACAGTTCAGAGATTCGAGAAACAAGACGTACAGCAGTTCCAAGAAGCTACAAAATTATGTGCACCTTCTCGGAATTGTCCCTCCCTTCCTCGGGTGACTCGAGAACATGTAGCCATGCGAAGGTGGTTACACACATTTACCCACATTTATCCACACATCCCACCCGCCAACGAAGAACGTTGTATTTCGCCTAGCTCACAAGTTCCTCGCACCTTAGAATTCTCTTCGCGCATTTCGTACAAGCCATACTTTCATCCATTTCTCATCACCTGCAAATCCAGCAGACATAAACTCGCTTCGCGGCAGATTATCTGCCATGCATTCTGATTCCTTATTTTGCTACACTTTTTGCGGCTAGTCTCCTCTTCTCGCTTCTCGCACTGCTTCAGCTTCACCTTTTCTCCTCGTGGTCCTGGTTCTCATCGTCTTCGTCGTGACAGTCTCTCAGTAATTCCCTGACAGAACAGGCAGGAAGCGCGGGTAAGGCTAGTGGCAAGATCGAGTTTCTTTTCCTTCTTCGTCTTTCCTTCTCTCCTGAGCAATAGCGTAAACCAGCCGAAACCATCCATGGCGGCTGTTGCGTCGTCAGCCCTTCGTCTGCCGCTGTCCGCGCGTCTCGATGTCTACGTCACGGTTATGAGTCTTGCTCAACGCCGCTTTTCGCCTTCGCCTAATTTTCCTAGTACTTTTGCTACCGCCTCTGAACCCTGCCGCCTCCAGCAGCAGTTTCGATCGAGTACAAAGAGCGTGTGTAACTCGACGGTCCCTCCAGCTCCAAGATTTGCGAAATTTACGAAACTCGCGAGTGACGGCCAGGCCGCAAACGACTCAACCAGTTTTCTCTTCCAACAATCCTTGCTCCCGCAATTGCCGCGCCTGCCGAAGCAGCAGCACCAGCCTGCTAGTCGTCGCTTGTTCCTTCGACAAGCCGTCGCGGCGACTGCGAGAACCTCTTCTGATCCGGTCTCCACGTCAGCAGATCCCGCCACGTCAGCGGATCCCGCCACGTCAGCAGCAGCGCCCGCCATGGTGGTGACGGCGATTCAGGAGACGAGCGCGGACGGCGCGTACAAGCGCACGCCCTCCGCCTTCCGCAGCGTCATCACCGCGGATGAATCGAGCGGTTTCCCCGCCGTCGCAGGCAGGTACGCTCGTACGGGTGTTTTAAAAAATTGAAAAGTAAATAGGTAGTTTATAGCGCGGACGGCGCGTTCAGGTGGTGCATGCCCTCCGCCTTCCGCAGCCTCATGGTTCACCGCCGATGGTTCCAGCAGTTTCCGTGCCGTCGCCGTTCTTTTTTTTATATATATAAGAATTAGATGGATGGCTTATAACGCGAGCTACGCCTGTTCCAGTGCACCGTATCCACTCACCCTTGTTGCTCTCGTCTCTCTCATCCATCCATATCCACCGCCCCCAGGTACCACCTGTACGTGAGCTACGCGTGCCCCTGGGCGTGTCGCTGCCTCATGGCGCTCAAGCTTAAGGGGCTCGAGGACGCTATCTCCGTCACTGTAAGCAGTACTCGCTATAGACACTTCCGCTATAAGCATTACAGTGCCTCATGGTGCTCAAACTCAAGGCGCTCGAGAATGGTGGCTGTCTCCGTGACTTGACTTTTGAGGCGCCTCAAACAGAGGCGCCTCTAAGGCTCGACCTCCATCTCTGTGGCTCGTCACAGTGGTGACTCTCACTCAAGTCTCGACTACTCGACAACTCTAAGCACTTCTCCTTTTCGCATTCCCCGCTTTTGCTCCCACTCGTTCATTCATGCGCCTTTCTGTCCCTCACTGCTCCCATTCTCCTCCTCTCTCCCACTCCTCACAGGTGGTGGAACCCGTGTGGAAACGCACAAGGGAGAGCGACGACAACGTTGGCTCGCAGTTCGTGGCGACATTCATTCCCCTCTCCCTTGCCCTCATTCTCCCCCAACCCTACTCTTCAGGTGCTGGAACATGTTTGGAAGCGCACAAGGGAGGGGGACGACAACGTGAAGCACGAGGGAAGGGACGCGAAGGTGGCAGAGGCAGAGAGCGACCCTCAGTTTTCCACCATAATCCAACTCTCGTCCCTGCTCTATCCCTCTGCTGCCCTCTTACACTCTCATCACAGGTCGTGGAACCGGTGTGGAAGAGCACGAGGGAAGGCGACGACCACATGGGATGGAAGTTTGTCGCGCCGGGAGGGGAGGCGGAGGTGGCAGGGGCAGCGACACTCATTCCCCCGTCCCCTGCCCTCATTCCCCCCCTACCCTACTCACCTACTCAGGTGGTAGAGCCGGTATGGAAGCGCACGAGGGAAGGGGACGACCACGTGGGCTGGCAGTTCGTGGCGCCGGGAGGCGAGGCGGAGGTGGCAGGGGCAGAGACCGACCCTCATTCCCCCTCCCCTCACCCCGCTGCTTCTTTCTCTCCTCTCAGGTGGTGGAACCTGTGTGGAAGCGCACGAGGGAGGGGACGACCACGTGGGCTGGCAGTTCGTGGCGCCGGGAGGCGAGGCGGAGGTGGCAGGGGCAGAGAGCGACCCTTTGAATGGCGCGTTCTTCCTGAGGGACGTGTATGAGAAGGTGGACCCGCATGCAGTCAAGTTCATTGTCCCTGTGAGTGGTGAGAATGGGAGTGACTGGGTGTGACTGGGTGTGACTGGGTGTGACTGGGTGTGGCTGGGTGTGGCTGGGAGAGGTGCACCCCTGTGCTGCCAAGTTCATTGTGCCTGTGAGTGGTGCGAGTGGGAGTGCGAGTGGGAGTGCGAGTGTGAGGGAATGCGAGTTAGAGGGTGCGTGGGATTGCATTGTGAGTTCCTGAGAATGCTCATTGCACAAACTTTCTCTTCCTGCTTCATGCTCTCCTGTTCCCCGTTTCAGGTGCTGTGGGACAAGCAGACAGGCACCATAGTGAACAACGAGAGTGCGGAGATCGTGCGAATGCTCAACTCAGAGTTCAACGCCATTGCCAAGAACCCTCAGGTGAGCCTACCCACCAGTGCCAGGTGAATCCAGCAGTGCCAGGTGAATCCAGCAGTGCCAGGTGAATCCAGCAGTGCCAGGTGAATCCAGCAGTGCCAGGTGAATCCAGCAGTGCCAGGTGAATCCAGCAGTGCCAGGTGAATCCAGCAGTGGCAGGTGAATCCAGCAGTGCCAGGTGAATCCAGCAGTGCCAGGTGAATCCAGCAGTGCCAGGTGAATCCAGCAGTGCCAGGCGAATCCAGCAGTGCCAGGTGAATCCAGCAGTGCCAGGTGGTTCCAGCGTGTCACCAGCCACGCCCCATTCTCTTCCCTTCCGCTTCCCCTTTTTCATCCTCATCCTCTTCCCCTTCCCCTTTCCTCTTCCCTAGGTGAACATTTACCCGCCCCATCTGCAAGCCACTATAGATGAGGCGAAGGAGGGGGTGTATCCTGCAATCAACAACGGCGTCCCTCTTCCTTTCACCCTTCCCACTCGCGCCTTTCGGTCACCACTCCTCCTCAAGTCGACCTCTACCCGCCCCACCTGCGAGCAGCAATCGACGAGGTGAACGAGTGGGTGTATCCCGTAATTTGCAACCAGCCATGCCCCCATGCTCTTCCCTTCCGCTCCCCCTTCCCCATCCTCTCCCCTTCCCCCTGCCCCTTCCTCAGGTGGACCTGTACCCGCCCCACCTGCGAGCAGCAATAGACGAGGTGAACGAGTGGGTGTATCCTGCAATCAACAACGGCGTCTACCGCTGCGGCTTCGCCAAAAAGCAAGGCCCATACGAAGAGGTGGGACTCTGCTTTCTTTCTTCTATGTGCATGGTTTCTCTTTCCTGGTACACTTTCAGTTTCATCACTCCATATCCTACCCCTTGAACAAGTTTGATGTTATTCCCCATATAAAACCAATTCCTTGTACAATACTTCTCAGAAATGGGATGATTGTGGTACATCATGGTTCATTGTATCTTCTGTTTTTGAGACGTCTCAAAAAATGTATCCTCTGTATGAATTCCTCCTGTGTTTCCAATACCAGGCATTCACATTAACATTCAATCTCTGCTTGCTCCCGCTTTATCTCCCAACCCACTCCCAGGCGTTCAAGGAGCTCTTTGCTGCTCTGGATCGCTGTGAGGACATTCTTTCAAAGCAGCGCTACATGGCAAGAGACACATTCACAGAGGCTGACATTCGGCTGTTCGTCACACTCATTCGATTCGACGAGGTACGCCTTATAACTTGTAAACCCCTCAGGCTGTTGGTTGTTAACTTGAATTTCCAACTCTCTTGCCAGTCCTGCAATTTTTCCAGGACTTTCTAAAGTTGGTCTGGCATTCACACACACACACAGACACACGCGCGTGCACACACACACACACACACACACACACACACACACACACACACACACACAACCCACGCACTTTTACACCCCACACGCTCGCACCCTTGTTCCTCCAGGTGTACGTGGTTCATTTCAAGTGTAACCGCAATTTCATCCGCGAGTTCCCCAACCTCTTCAACTACACCAAGGAAATTTACCAGCTGCCCGGAATTGCCTCTACAGTGAACATGGGGCATATCAAGGCGCACTATTTCCGAAGCCATCCTTCTATCAACCCCTTCGGCATAATCCCTATGGGTCAGGGTACCGATTACAGTGCTCCTCATGATAGGGATAGGTTGCCTGGTGTTGCTCTGCCTTGTGGGAAGGAGTGAGGAAGAGAATTCATGTAGAGTACCATGATAATGGTACGGTATTATCCATTGATCCAGTGCACAGTCAGTGCGTATCAAGGTGCACGATTTCCGAAGCCACCCGTCCATCAACCCCTTTGGCATCATTTCCATGGGCCAGGGCACTGATTACAGTGCGCCTCATGATAGGGAATAGGCTGCACAGTGTTGCTCTGCCTTCTGGGAAAGAGTGAGGGAGTGGGGAGATCGATTGTAAGCCAATGTATGTGCCATAACTAGTGCAATTTTGTTCCCTAGTAATGTGCCCCTGCGTGCTTTGTGTTGGGCTGAGAAAAGCCCTTAGGATCTTTTGCAGGGGTAAACTCTGGTAGGAACTATGTAATAGCGGAAGCTTTAGTGAAGAGGTTTGAACCACCTTGCGCTGGTATGTGAGGGCAAAGTAGATTGATTATTACAAAGAGGTACATGTCAAATGTTGTAGCCTATAGTGAGGTTTGTCTTAGGGGGTACAAAACTTAGGGTTAGCTATATGTACCCCAACCAACATCAATGCATCATTCATTCCTCATTTTGACATGGTATCAGTTAGGTTAGGATCCTGTGGGATCCCGTTTCTCCGTTCTCCGATCGTACCACCCGAGCCTGATCCTAGCTCTCGTTTCGCCCGTCTTGCCCGAGCCTAGTGCCGGCCCGATCTAGTCCCGTTCGTTCGTTACCGCTCGTTCTTCCTCCCGATCTAGCGTAGCCCGATCTAGCGTACCGCTGCCGGTCGCGCTGCGCTTTCCCCCCCTGATCCCCGTCGAGCCGCGCTTCCCCCCGCTGCCCGTCGACCCGCGCTTCCCCCCGCTGCCCGTCGACCCGCGCTTCCCCCCGCTGCCCGTCGACCCGCGCTTCCCCCCGCTGCCCGTCGACCCGCGCTTCCCCCCGCTGCCCGTCGACCCGCGCTTCCCCCCGCTGCCCGTCGACCCGCGCTTCCCCCCGCTGCCCGTCGACCCGCGCTTCCCCCGCCGCCCGTCGACCCGCGCTTCCCCCCGCTGCCCGTCGACCCGCGCTTCCCCCCGCTGCCTGTCGACCCGCGTTTCCCCCTGCTGCCCGTCGATCCGTCGCCCTGGCCCGCGCCCCAGCCCGTCTCCCCAGCTCGCGCCCTAGCCCGTCGCCCTGGCTCGCGCCCTAGCCCGTCGCCCAGGCCCGGCGCCTTTGCCCTACCCGCGCGCCCGCCACACCTGACCTACCCGCCCGCTCTTGCCCGCTCTTCCTGCCCGTTCTCCCTTGCCGCTGCGCCCTGCTTTCCCTGCCAATTCCGTTTGCACACTATGGCGACCCCTCGCGTCCTTCGTTTCGATGCTGACGGTCGCCCGCTCGATTTCCCAGTCTGGCTTCTTCGCGCTCGCCGCCTGTTAGAGAGTCAGGTCCAGGCAGGCGAGACCCTCTGGGCGCACGCTACTGGTGCCCTACCTGCGCCCCCCGACCCTACGCCTTTAGGACCTGCCCCTGACGACGCCGCTAGAGCCCGCTTTGCCACTCAGCGAGCTGACCAGACGGCTTGGACGTCACGTGACGCTGCGGCCTGCATCGCGCTCAGCAGCCTCCTCCCTGAGTCTGAGGAGGTTCACTTCACTCAGGTTCGCACCGCTGCTGCGTACCTCACTGCGATTAAGGCCCGCTACTCTACTCCCGCTGCTGTCTCTCTTGGCCGCCTGTTCCTCCCGTTCCTGTTTCCTGACCTAGCGTCTTTTGAGCGCTCTGCTGACTTGATCGCTCACCTCCGCTCGCTCGACGCTAGTTACCGCGCTGCTTGCACTGAGGCACAGCTTGCACTGCTTCCTCCCCCTATGGCGATTACTATCTATTTCATCGCCACTAGCCTCCCTGACCGCCTTGCCTCCGTTCGCGACGCGCTTCTGCTGAAGCACCCTAGTGAGCTCACCGTCGAGGTCCTTGAGTCTGCACTCAAGGACGTCGAGAGCAACCTTCGCTCGGTAGCCGCTGCCTCTGGTGCTGTGCCCCCCCCACTCTTCCACGGGTGCACAGTCCCGCAGTTACCCACCTTTACTGCCTCACTTGCCACTGCCGCTACTGACGCGACTGCAGCTGCTGTTACGACTGCGTCGCGGTCCCGCGGTAGGAGTGGCAAGAAAGGCGGTTCTGGTGGTGGTAGTGGAGGTGGAGGCGGAGGTAGTGGAGGTGGCGTTGCGCCTGGCGGCGGTGGAGGTTCAGGGCCTGGAGAGGCGCCTCGTGCAGTGACTGGTGACTCCACTGCGCCTGCTGGTGGTGGCGACGCCCGAGTTCGTCAGTCGCCTCCTGTACTTCCTGCCCCGGTTGGTGGAGCAGCGGCGTGGTACCAGGCTCAGCGTCAGCAGCAGCTTCTGCAGCACCAGCAGCCCCTCTCCTCCCAGCAGCCTCAGCAGCAGCAGCGGCAGCAGCTGGCTCCAGGGTCGGGGCTGCGTCAGACCCAGCGCGGTGCTGCTTACACTCCCTGCACCTACCAGGTTCTGACAGGCCCTCGTCGTGGCCACCCTTGTGGCCGGTTTCACCCCCCTGGTCAGTGCTTTGCTCAGCTCACTGACACGGTTCGTTTGGTCTACGGGGTTGGTGCTCCTGCCCCTGACTGGCTGCCTCTTGTTCAGCGCTACGGCTCCGCTCTGTGGGGCATGTCTGCTGAGCAGTTAGTTGATCTGATTGGTACTCCCCATGCTATGTATGCTGTTGTTGACTCTAGTGTTTCTGACTCTGCTTACTCTGGTGTTGTTAGCTTAGGTGCTAGCCTTGCTCAGTTGCCTGTTGCTAGTGTAGGTTCTTGTGTAGACTCTAGTCCAGCGGCTACCTCAGAGGACGGTTCGCTGTCGTTCACGCTGGACTCTGGAGCTTCTCACTGCTTCTTTCGTGACAGCACGACACTTACGCCTCTTCCTGCGCCTGTTTCTGTGGCGCTGGCTGATCCCACTTCGGGACCAGTCACCGCGCGTCACACTACCACCTTGCCGTGTCCGGCTGCTCCTTCTGGGTCTCTCACTGGGTTTCACGTCCCCTCGTTCTCCCGGAACTTGGTGGGCGTGCGACCCCTCGTGAGTCAGCACGTGGGTGTGTGGTTTGAGCCTTCTGGAGAGACTGCGGTGTGTGTTGACGGGGACTCTTACCAGCCCCTCGCCACTTTTGCTGCTGAGCCGGGCTCCGGTCTCTACACTCTTCACACTGGCCCGCGCGCTCAGCAGCGACTGCAGCAGCAGCAGCAGCCGCAGCCACAGCCGCCCCTCCTGCCCCCGGCCCCTGTTTTGCCTCCCGTTCGAGTCCTCGCGTCTCACCAGGTTGCTCCGTCCCCCCAGGTAGCTGTGTCTTGTCAGGTTCCTCCGTCTAGTCCGGTCGCTGCGTCGTGCTCCTGTCGGTCGCTTGCCCACCCCACCGTTTTGTGGCACCACCGGCTGGGGCACCCTTCTCCTCCTCGTCTTCGCGCTATGTCTCGTCAGCGTCTTGTCTTAGGCCTCCCGCGTGTCTTGCCGTCGCTGCCGCCGTCCCTTGCACCACCGTGCGGTCCTTGCGTCGAGGGTAGGCTGCGCGCCACCCCTCACTCCTCCTCCCTTCGTCCGGCCACCGAGCCTTTTGAGACGCTGCACTTGGACGTCTGGGGCCCCTCTCCTCGCCCTGGCCCTGAGCGTGAGCGTTTCTTTTTGGTGGTCGTTGACGACTACTCCCGCTACACCACAGTGTTCCCCCTGGCGAGGAAGTCTGAGGTGACTTCTACGCTGATCAGGTGGTTACTTACCACCCAGGACACTCGTGGTCGTCGTGTCAGCTGTCTCCACTCCGACCGCGGGGGCGAGTTTCGCTCCGGCATTCTCGCTGGATTCTGTCGCGAACAGGGCATTCGTCAGTATTGGACGCTTCCGGAGTCCCCACAGCAGAATGGGGTTGCTGAGCGTCGCATAGGCCTGGTCATGGAGATTGCCCGCACCTCCTTGACTCACGCCCGTGCCCCCCATTTCCTGTGGCCATACGCGGTCAGGTACGCCGCGCACCAGCTGAACCTCTGGCCACGCGTCTCTCGGCCGGAGGCTTCACCGACCAGTCTTTGGACAGGGTCCCCTGGTGTCGCGTCGAGGTTTCGTGTCTGGGGGTGCTTGGCTCTTGTCCGCGACACCTCCGCGGACAAGCTCTCGCCTCGCGCCGTTCCTTGTGTCTTCCTTGGTTTCCCTGAGGACTCCTCTGACTTCACCTTTTACCACCCTCCCTCTCACCGGTTCTTTGACTCCCGTGACGTCCGTTTCGAGGAGTCCACCCCCTACTACGTCAGGTACCCCAGTCGAGGTCTCCCGGTCCCTCCCCCCCCTCTCTTCCTGACCGCCGCTCCCCCGCCTGCTCCCCCGGTACAGCCTCCCCCCCCTGGTCCAGCCCCGTCTGGTGTGTCTCAGGCTAGCCCTCCCCCTTCGGTAGCCCCCCCTGTACAGCCTCCCTCCCCACAGTCTTCCTCGCCGCCTCCTGCAGGTGCTCCCTCTCGAGAGGTTGGTCCTGCGACTGTCCCTGTACAGGTCTCTGGTTCTGGGGGTGCTGGAGTTGGAGCTGAGCCGCGGGTTGCAGAGGACTCTTGTCTTCCGGGGGCTGGTACTGGTCGTGCGGAGTCTGGGGGTGCTGGTGCGGAGTCTGGGGGTGCTGCGTCTGGGGGTGAGGGTGTCCCTTCGGTTTCTGGAGAGCCTGGGTCTGGAGCTGGTGTTGGTGCTGCCTCTGGGGGTGGTGTGCTTGGTGCTTCGGAGGTCGACTCTGGGGCTGCCGCTGCCCCGGACACTACTCCTTCCCCCCACCCCTACCCGACCAGGTTCCAGGCTCGTGTTCGCCGTGCTCGTGAGGAGCAGCTGGAGTTGGAGAGAGAGGAGAGAGAGTTGCAGCGGCTCGAGGAGCAGGAGCGACAGCAGCAGGAGCAGCAGCAGGGGCAGCAGCCGCTGGAGCAGCAGCAGCCGCAGCAGCAGCAGCAGCAGCTGCTGCCGTCTCCTCCTCCTGTCTCGGGTCTTCGGACCCTTGGTCTCCCCTCTCCCTCTCCTTCCTCCTCCCCCTCTCCTCCCGTCTCTGGTCCTCCGCTTCCTCCTCCTGACCCCTCTCCCGCTGTTTTCCCTCGTTCTCAGTCTTCGTTGTCTCCTCCTCCTTCTCAGACTTGGGCCTCTCGTCGCTCCCCTCGTGCTCGTCCCTCGTCTCTTGTTCCCTTCACTGACCTTCGTACAGCCTTCCTTTGTTCTCGTCCACCGCACGTACCGTCCTGTTCTCTCTCGTGTTCTCGCCTCTCTTGTTACCCACCCTCGTGCCTCTGTGTCCTCTGTGTCCGCTCTTACTGCCGCAGTCACTGAGTTTGCCTCTACCCGCCGCCTTGACTTCGCCACCGCTCTTGTGGCAGCTCCTCCTTCCAGTCCTCTGGCCGTCGGGGGTGTGTCTGCCCTTGGCTGTGACGCCCTAGAGGACAGGCAGTTTGAGCTAGAGTTCCTGGCCGCCGCTTCCCCTCATCTCTGTGCCATGCTCCTCGCCCCTGAGGGTGACCCCGACGCCCTTGACATTCCGACTCCTCGCACTTACGCTGAGGCAGTGTCAGGGCCTTGGGCCTCTCAGTGGAGAGCTGCCATGGACGCAGAGATGGCCTCCTACAGATCCACAGGCACCTACGTCGATGAGGTTCCCCCTCCGGGGGCGAACGTAGTCGACGGCATGTGGATCTACAGGGTGAAGCGGCCACCGGGATCTCCTCCGGTCTTCAAGGCGCGCTACGTGGCTAGAGGTTTCAGTCAGCGCGAGGGAGTTGACTTCTTTCAGACCTTCGCGCCCACCCCGAAGATGACCACTCTTCGGGTGTTACTACACGTAGCAGCACAGAGAGACTACGAGTTACACTCTCTCGACTTCTCTACTGCTTTCCTTCAGGGCAGTCTTCACGAGGAGGTCTGGTTGCGTCGTCCCTCTGCCTTCACTGGCTCTTTCCCTCCTGGGACCCAGTGGAGGCTGAGGCGACCGGTTTACGGACTTCGTCAGGCTCCTCGTGAGTGGCACGACACCCTGCGTTCTACCCTGTCTGACCTTGGGTTCCAGCCGTCTTCTGCTGACCCGTCGCTGTTCGTTCGTCGTGGCCCCACACCTTTCTTTGTTCTGGTCTACGTTGACGACCTTGTTTTCGCCACCCCTGACAGGGTTGCTTTGGCACACGTGAAGTCCGAACTGCAGAAGAGACACACCTGCACTGATCTTGGTGAGCTGCGCCACTACCTTGGCCTGCAGATCACCAGGGACAGAGCTGCTCGCACCATTACACTTTCACAGTCGCACATGGTGCAGCAGGTCCTTCAGCGGTTCGGGCTTCAGCACTCCACAGTACAGCGCACACCTCTTGCTGTTGACCACAGACTCACTGGACCCTTTCCTGACGAGCCGTTCGAGCCTAGTGGTCCCTACGCTGAGCTTGTGGGTTGCCTCATGTACCTGATGACTTGTACTCGCCCGGACCTCGCCTTCCCTCTCAGCGTTCTTGCGCGCTTTGTTGCGCCAGGGAGACACCGTCCTGTTCACTGGACAGCAGCTGTGAGGGTGGCGAAGTACCTAGCGACGACGTCAGGCGTGGGGCTAGTTCTTGGAGGGCAGCAGTCTGTCGTACTTACTGGTCACTGTGACTCCTCTTACGCTGACGACGCTGAGACTCACAGGTCTACTCAGGGGTACTGTTTCAGCCTGGGTTCTGGAGCTGTTTCCTGGCGGTCCACGCGCTCCTCTTCGGTCTCGACCTCTACAGCTGAGGCTGAGATCTACGCTGGTGCCATGGCGGCACAGGAGCTGCGTTGGTTGACCTTCTTGCTCACCGACCTTGGTGAGCGGCCGAGCTCTGCACCGACCTTGTTCACTGACAACAAGGCGTCTATTCTCCTTTGTCGAGAGCCACGACTGGAGAGCAGAGTGAAGCACATTCACGTCAGGTACTTTCTTCTGCGAGAGTTGCAGAGGCGTGGACAGGCTCGCTTTGAGTTTGTGGAGTCCGAGGCCAACACTGCAGACATCTTCACCAAGGCGCTTCCGCCTTGTGACCACCAGAGGTGCTGTGTGCAGTTAGGCCTTGTTGACACTGGTTCTCGTGTTGCTTAGACTTGAGTGTACTGTTTACTTTGCTTTCTATATACCTCTGTTACTTCTTGGACTGGCCTTGTGGCCACTGTTGTTTGTGCTCAGACTGTGTGGTGACGTTGTGATCCACCCTGAGCTTCGTTTCTTGGACTGGTCTTGTGACCGTACTCGTTTGGTTCTGCTAGACACCCCTCACTTAGGCTATGGGGGTGTGTCAAATGTTGTAGCCTATAGTGAGGTTTGTCTTAGGGGGTACAAAACTTAGGGTTAGCTATATGTACCCCAACCAACATCAATGCATCATTCATTCCTCATTTTGACAGTACAAGATTATATAATAGTACAAGGAATACGAAAAGATGAGGTTTTACTGTTGCTGTTGCGGTTCGATACAGTACGACTCGGGCAACTGCTCTGTAACGAGTCAGTTGTGTGTCCTTAACTGTCGTGCTGCACTTGTCAGGTCAAAGGTCGCTGACCTTTGACTTTCGCGTAACCTCCAGCAACCTCTCAACCTCCGAGGGTTGACTCGCGCTTGCTTCGATATGGTTTGCTTCGCTTCTGGTGCGGTAATTCGACACGACAGAGGCGCTTATGTTTCACTGTTTCCAACACTTTGAAGCTAGTGAGCCTCACGATAGGAACAGGCTGCTTGGTGCACCTTTGTCGGTGCGTCATCTGTCCCTGCGTGCTTTGAGTCTCATGATAGGGAAGAGGCTGCACTGTGTTGCCCTGCCTTGTGGGAAGGAATTTGTAGGGGGGGGGGTTGACAGATCGGTAGTAGGTTTTGATGTACCAACGGTATCGTGCCATATCTGGTGCATCTGTGTCTCTGCGTGATCTGTCTCTGTGTGCTGTGAATCTGACGATCTAATGACCTGATCTGATGAGCTGCATGATCAGGATGGGCTGCCTGGTGTTGCCCTGCCTCGTAGGGAGATGTGAGATGGATCTCAGATGGTTAGGAAATACAGCGGGAGCTTATGTGGCCATTTGGCGTTGAGAAAGGGGTGGGGTGGCTTAGAAGAGGGATTCCAGATTGTATGGAAGCAAGAGTCCTCCACAAATCGACTTGACAACAGCAATTACATAGTACTTGATGGAAGCAAGGCCTCCAGCAACAGCAGCAAAGACAGGGGTGTTGCGAGAATCGAACTCGCGACCTCTCGCACCCAAAGCGAGAATCATACCACTAGACCAAACACCCGCGCGTCGTAATAAAATTCTAAAAAACTCAGGCTAAGGCCTGGTCAGTACCTTTGTCCGCAGAGTCGTCCGTGTCCCCGGATAGTCGCCTACAGCGTCGCCCTCAGAGGCGCGTAAATTGATCCATTAATCCATGTGAGCCGCAGCTGAGCAATCTCGGTGCCCCGTCAACAGCGGCGCCAGCAGCAACGTCTAAGCGGCGCCGAGAGCGGCGCCAACTGCGGCGTTTACTTACCTACCCTTTACCAGGTGCGAACGAGGCGCGCAGTGCATTCTCGGGGAATGCGCTGTTGCATTCTCGGGGAATGCGCTGTTGCATCTTCGCAGTTTCTTCCGCCTCCTCTCCCCCCTACTCCGTCCACTACCCCCCGAACCAATCCCCTCTCCTCCCCGCTTTTCCCCCGCCAGCCCGATTCACTCTACCCCTCTTCCCCGTTGCATCTACCTCCTATCCCGTCCCATCTCCCTCCCCCTAACCAATTCCCTCTTGCCCCCTACCCATTCCTCTCTCCCCCCACTATCCGGTCCCCTCTCCCCCCACCCAATCCCCTCTCCCCCCTACTCAATCCCCTCTCCCCACACTACCCAGCCCCCCCTCTCCCCCCAATCAATCCCCTCTCCCCTCCAACCCAGTCCCCTCTTCCTTCGAGCAGCACTTGCACATAAGTATATAATTTCTGCTAGAAGGAACTTCACATGTGTATGAAGTTCTTACAAATAAATATGTATGAAGTTTTGTCCCACATGGGGCGAGAGACCAACTCCCCGTCTCCTCTTATCCCACATGGGGCGAGAGGTTCTCTCAGTTGTCTTGTCTCACTCTTTTCTGTCCCTTTCCCCTTCTGAATGGAATTCTGCCCCACGTGTGCCAACATGCTACTGGTGGAGCAGACAGGCTCACATGGGGCGAGAGGCGTGTCACAGGCAGCAGGCCCTAATCCCCATGTCACCCTGCCTCACCCTAACATTGCGCTCACATGGAGTTCTGCCCCACGTGTGCCAACATGCTACTGGTGGAGCAGACAGGCGCACATGGGGGCGTGAGAGGCGCGCTTCTTCTGTCCCAGCTGTCTGCCTCTCCCTTCCGTCCCTTTCTCCTTGTGATCCCACCTTGTCAGCAGCACGAGATGGAGTTCTGCCCCACATGCGCCAACATGCTGCTGGTGGAGCAGGCACACATGGGCCGAGAAGCGCGGTTCTTCTGTCAGACGTGCCCCTATGTGTATGGCATCACCAGGAAGGTGAGTCACTCCAGTCAATGGAAGTCAACAGAAGTCAACGATGGTCAACAGTTTGTTTCTCCGGTCAGGCGTGCCCTATGTTTACGGCATCACCAGGAAGGTGAGGTCAACACAATTCAACGCTGGTCAATGCAGGTCAACGCCGGTCACTGGCACGGTTCCTCTGTCAGACGTGGTCCCAAGTCTATGGCATCACAAGGGATGTGAGGTCATCATTCCAGTCAACGCAAGTCGAAGCGAATCAATGGCCAAATCTCCAGTCAAGACGTGTGCCCATATGTCCATGGCATATGAGAGGAGGAAGAAGGGAGATGATGTGTTCAGCGGGCGAGCTATATCTTCTCCTCTCCGGCCCATGCACCCACTCTCACTACCCAACACCCTCTTCCATAATGCAGATCTCAAGACGACAACTTGTGGTGCAAAAAGAGGTGGATGATGTACTAGGAGGGGAAGACGCGTGGAAAAATGTCGACAAGACTGAAGGTGAGGAGGATACACCAGAAATTTTACTACACTACCATTTACTGCCACACATGGGGCCGAACCACGAGCTATTTTGTTTTGGATTGCTTCTCATCCTGTTTCCATTATGATGGTTTTGTTTTGCAGCCTCGTGTCCCAAGTGTGGTCATTCACAAGCATTCTTCATGCAAATTCAAACCCGATCTGCTGATGAGCCCATGACAATATTTTACAAATGCTGCAACATGAGGTGTGGTTACAGATGGAAAGAAGGCTAGTTCTTGTAAAGAGTTGCTGTTCTATGAAGTGCACATACTCGTTATACACACTTTATTACGAAGAATCTCATTGGGTGGTTCTGGGCTCCGAAATCTGTGGATGCTTGAATCGCTTGGCCAATCAAACACGTCCCTCGAAACATTCGGGATATCGTGCCAACCTGGCTACCCATCCGCTTGTTTGATGCGCGAATTTCCTCCTGGAGACCACATCAGCGAATCTGGCGGAAGACCTGCGTTTGACCCCAACAGGTGGCTTCCGCACAGTGGGCCGAGCCTCCACACTCAAGCCTCAGGTTTCCCACGAGCCTAATTCCCAACCTCCGTTAACCACCAACCACACTCCACACACCACACTGAGCCCTACATGCCTGATTTGTCGAGAGCAATTCAAAACCATGTCGTTACTGCCGAACCTCGGCCTTCCGTTACCTTCACCTTCTGCCCCACGGCCCAACCTCTCATCCGTGAGGTTCGGCCTCACCTGCGCCTCGAAATTTCCTTGGCGGCACTGCAGGCCGGGGGGAAAATGGGGAGAGCTTTGGCCAGAAAATGGGGCCCCGAATGCCCCTCGGGGCAGACGCGATCGCCCTTCTTGATTTCGCCCCTGCTTCTTCCTGACATCGATTATCCAGACTAAACATCTCATCCCATCCCACCCCATCCCATCTCATCCGATCCCATCCCATCCCATCCCATCCCATCCCATCCCATCCCATCCATACATCCATGTTATCACCGCACTGGCACCCTGCATTTCCAACCAGACCAGACTCCGTGCTGCATGTGGCCCAGCGTTCCGTGACGTCGATTTCTTTCCACAGGTCTAGAGCATTTTCACCCAGCCGCAGTTCAAACAGTGCTGGTTCAAGCATTTTCCTCCATCGATTCAAGATTTTCGGAGGCCCCGCAGCTTTGTTTTGGGACAGCAGTAAGATCTCCAGAGCAACCATAGCTGCGGAGCCTCCGCCATCGTGTCGAGTTGGCCTGATCCCCTGCCGTCAGATCTTGCGCTGGTCTCTAGATCGGCTTCTTTTCCGCAGTCACGCGCGCATCTCGTAGCGCGTTACACGCGGGCGGAAACATGGCGCGCGCTCGCGGGTCTGCGCCTATCCAGGTGCTGGTCCTTCTCCTCTCGCTTCTCGTCGCCCCAAGCCTAGGCAAGTCGCCGCCGCCTCCGCCCCACAGCCCCCCCCCTCCCCACAAGCCCCCCTCTCCCCACAAGCCCCCCCCTCCCCACAAGTCTTCCCCTCCCCCCGACGCCTCCCCCCCAACCAGCGCCTCCCCTCCAACCAAGGACACCCCTCCTCCAACCAAGGCCTCCCCGCCCCCTCCTCCCCCTGCCGCGGCACCTGCTCCGGAGCCTACTCTCTCCCCCTCCCCAACGCCCGCGCCGTCCCCAACGCCCGCGCCGTCCCCAACGCTCGCGCCTTCCCCAACGAACGCGCCTTCACCGGCGCCCGCGCCCGCGTTCGTCGATTCGCCCATCGCTCCACCCGTCGCTCCGCCCATCCTTCCCCCTGTCCCCGCCCCGCAACCCACAACTGCGCCTGCCCCTACTCCATCCTTGCCCCCCATTCTTCCGCCCACGCCACCCCCCGAGATCTCCCCGACCGCGTCACCCCCCGTGATCTCTCCGCCCACACAGTCCCCGGAGATCTCTCCGCCCGCGCTGCCCCCAGTTATTGCTCCAGCTCCTCCGCCGGAAGGGGGCAAACCTCCGCCGAAAATCCCGCCAGTGGATTCCGCACCCCCGTCGGAGGCAGGAGCGCCGAATCAGGACAATTTTCCGGGTGGGGACTTTCCGGCGGACCAGTATGTTCCGCCGTATGGGGACTTCGCATCTCCGCCGTTCAATATTGCCAAATCTCTGACTCCGCCCGCGCCGCCGCTTCCGCCGCTGTCGCCGCCCCCGCCGACCCCTGCGGCGCCCGCGCCTTCGAGCGGACCGAGCGGCGGAGTGATCGCGGGGACGGTGATCGGAGTGATTCTCGGAGTCGGCGCTCTGTCCTTCGGGATCTGGATCTGCGTGCAACGCTCGCGAAACGCCGCTCGCGCGGCTGGGCGCGGCGGTTACGGCGACGTGAACTTGTAACTTCTTCGTTCTTCGCTGAGATTTCGCGACGGGTAACTTGGATCAAGAGATCTTCGCTACTAGCCGAGTCGTGTGGTCGCATTGTGCTCGCAACAGCGGCCTGAAGCAGAGTGAGTTGCAGTGTTGTTATAGCCGGATCGTGAATGCGTTTCGGAGATGAATCAGCGTGAGATCTGCTTGAAACGAGTGTTTTCTCTAGGTATTAGAGACATTTCAATGGCTTTAAGTCCAGGTTAAGTTACTTCAGGTTTTTTTTTCTGTTTCCATGTCCACGTTGAAAAGCATTTGGGTGATTTGGAAATTATCACAGGCCAAATAAGGGCACGGAATGGAACAACCCATCGCTACTTGAGTTCGCTAACCATTGGTCCAACCTTTCCTATTCCCTTCCCTCTCCCCCCATTCCCTTCTTTCCCCATTCCGCACTCCCCATCCTGCGCTTCTCCATCTCCCTTTTTCTCCATTCTCCACTTTCCATCCCCCCTCTCTCGCCCTCTTTTCTATCAAACCCGTCGTTCTGCTCCTCCCCTCCCCTCTTCCTCCCCTCTTCCTCCCCTCTTCCTCCCCTCTTCTCTCCCCTTCCCTCCCCCTTTCCCGTTGTTCCCCTTTCTGCTCCATCCCACCCTCGCCAGCCTTGACCTTATTCCCCTCTTCTTTCCCTCTCACCCTCCCCTCCTCTCCTCCCAGTCTCCCCTCCTCTCCTCGCTCCCTCCTCTCCCTTCCTCCATCTCTCCATCCCTCCCTCCTCTCCCTCTCCCCCCTTCCTCCGTCCCTCCTTCCCGCCCTCCCTCCCTTCCACTACGCCCCATTCTCTCCGCCTTCCCCTCCACTCCCCCCCCTCCTCTCTCTCTATCTCTCTCTCTCTCTCTCTCTCTCTCTCTCTCTCTCTCTCTCTCTCTCTCTCTCTCTCTCTCTCTCTCTCTCTCTCTCTCTCTCTCTCTCTCTCTCTCTCTCTCACTCTCACCCCTCTCTCCCTCCCTCCCTCTCTCCCTCTCCCTAACATTTTGCACCTGCTCCCTCTCTCTCCTCCCCTCACACCTGTCGTCACCCCCCTCTCTCTCTCTCTCTATCGCCCTTTTCCTTTATACCGGTAAAATTCGAGTGGTCTGCTTCACAGAAATGGCGAGTGCAGCCATGGGTTTCACACACATGCTTATCCAATGGTGGGATAGGGTTCTTTGCAATGTAGGTAGGGCAATGCCGTTTTAACCAAGGGTAGTTATATTACAATCCCACACGTGTGGAAAGAACACCACCTCCATCACATACCCAGCGGCATGTACAACTCTCGTGTGCCAAGGCTACCAGTAATTGAGGCTTTCCCTCGGTCCTGGGCCATTTATGCTTGTTGGCACAAGCCCTACAACGAAGAATCCAATCCAATCACTTACTAGTGTATTTCATTTCTCAATGCAGTGCTGGCTGCGCACTAACCGCAAGAAAAGCATTTGCCAACACTATATAGTCTATGTCAATTTTCTTTCTATCCTGCACAACGTTTCACACCAGCCGGACTGTAAGGTAGCGGAGCACGGTGCTTAGGTTTTAAGTTTTATTAATAGGTCGTAACAGGAGCACGGTGCTTAGGGTATAGAGAATCCATATCATCACCCCTGCTTCCTTGTTTCGCGTCACAGCTGGCAAACATTCAGTGGACGAGACAACAAAAGTTGGAATCTTGCATCCGCTTCCCACATGGTGGTACTGTAGCATGTGGGCACCACCTCAGCAGCAGCCAACGACAGCACATCAAGGATGAGGTTGATTTGTTTTCCCACCATGCAGGACTGCTCTCCACCGAATCGAATTTTGTTGAAACCGAACTGTGGCACTATCCCAGTGGGCTCTGAAGTATGGGGCGCGCGGCGCGGCCCGCACGCTAAATTTTTCACCCACAACCCACTGAAAGGTGGGCCATGGCAGGTAGTTGCTAGATGATAAGGAACGGACTAAAGTCTGCGTCTCATCATTTTCACACAAAGTACTTGCCGCGCCGCACCTACCTCCATTGTTTCGGACTTAGGTTTTAGAATATATTTCCTTGTCGTCTGAATAATCGGTATAGACCTAATTCAGGATTGAAGTTCCAGTTTCTTATAGACTAGACTCCACACAAAACTACATACTCAGAGAGAAGCACCATGAATTCGAAGCGCGCAGGCTGGAAGCGCGCCAACCAGGGCGACTCGCTCGTGCGATCGCTCCTCACGTCGTTCGCCTTCTGCCTCTTCGCCGCGTTCGTCTGCATCGTCCTCATCCTCGCTACAGGCGCATCCGTTACCATCTTCGCCGTTCCGCCCGTGCTGGTCGCGAAGAAACCCGCGGCGGAAGCGCAAGACGGGGGCTCCGCGGGAGGCGCAGGCACAGCGGCGGGGGAGGCGGGCGGAGCAGCAGGGGGGAGCGGAAAGGAAAACGTTCCGTTTCTGTCGGACTTTGATTTATCGAAGCCAATCGTAGGAGGTCCCGAGAGGAAAAGGCAGACTATTGAAGAGGCGGATTTCACCCGTGGCGAGGCTGCTTATCAGGTGCGCTAATAACGAGTACACTTTTTCCGTGGTTCGTGAAAAAGAGACTCTGCATAAACCTATACTCGCTGCACCTGTGCTTAAATTAGTAGATTTTTACTGTACACGTTTTTTGCCGAGATAGACATTGGAGGCGGGTCGACGGACAAAAGAGCCCTTGAATGCGCTTTAATTTCATTGAATGTGACGCGTAACAGGGTAACTCATTTCCCCCACCCCACATTCTCCCCATATTCCCTCTCTTTCCCACCCGCCCACTCCCCTCCCGTTCCGCCCCCTTTTTCTCCCCCCCAGATGCACCTGGCGCAGTGCAACAAGATGCAACTCCCCCCACCTCCCTCCCATCTCCCCCCCCGCCATTTCCCCCACCCCACTCAACTCCTCCTCCCCCTTCCCCTTCCCCTTCCCCCCTTTTCTTGCCCCCAGATGCACCTGGCGCAGCGCAACGAAATGATGGGCGGAAGCAGGCCCAAGCCGCCCTACCGCGGATGGAATGCGGGGAAGGTGAGGGGAGAAGGGAGGGGGAGGAATAGAAAAAGGGGGGATTTGCGGGGAAGGTGAGGGCTATCGGGAGGAGGGGGGCGGAAGCAGGCCCAAGCCGCCCTTCTGCGGATGGAATGCGGGGAAGGTGAGAAGGGGGGGAAGGGAATAGGGGGGGTGGGGGAGGGGGGAAGACGTTGGCGGGGTGGGGAAGAGGGGGGGGGGGGGGCCGTAGTTAGTGGAAGCCGCCCTTGAGGGGTAGAATGGGGGAAGGTGAGGCGGCTTGGGGGGTTGGGGAGGGGAATTGTGGGAGGGTTGGGGTTGGGTGTATTGGGGGGGGTGGAAGTTCACTTCGACGGGGTTGGGGGAGGATTGGGGGAGGATGAGGGGGGGATGAGGGGCGGATGAGGGGAGGATGGGAGGAAGGATGAGGAAAGGCTTCTACCGCGTATGGATTTTTAGATTTTCCAAAAAACATAGGATGAGGAAAGGCTTGTACGATAGCAAATTTTTTTATTGAGCAATACACATCAGAGTGGCGCAGCGGAAGCGTGGTGGGCCCATAACCCACAGGTCCGAGGATCGAAACCTCGCTCTGATAGAATTGTCACCTCTGACGGTCCTTCCAACGTTTATGCCTGCATTCCCATTACAAAATCGTCGTTGGAGGAAGGCCGTAAAGTTGTTATGTACCCAGCTATGTTGCTAGGCACACCGGCTATGTTGGTGCTACTTTTGGGAATTTCCAAAAGTAAGACCATCATGCGATGTACACCATGCATGCACAACCATCACAGAATTCTGAAATCGGGAACCCTCCTAGAATCTCTCCCCCTTTTCATTCCTTTAAAAATCGTTATTTATCTACTGTACTGCATTTCTTTTGTTCTTCATTTTCCTGTACCCATCCGTTACAGGTGAAGGAGGTTTTTCTCTCGCCCATGTATCCCTGTCGGCGCCAGCAGAAGCTGGCTAGAAGGGGCGAGGCCGCATGGGTGAGTTTTTACTTTCTGGTAGATGCATACTCACGCACGCACGGTTATTACTGAAGCAGGTTTGCGGTTGACAGGTGAAGGGGGTGTTTCTCTCGCCCATGTACCCCTGTCGGCGCCAGCAGAAGCTAGCCAGGAGGGGCGAGGCCGCTTGGGTGAGTTTCTTTTCCAACTACCCATGCTTGGGCGAGGCTGCATGTGCACATGCATCATTCACCTCCGATGCCCCATTCCATTCTTAGGTTCTTCTTACGACGACTTTTGAGGCGCCTCAAAAGCCAATGCCCCAATGCATTCTTAAAATTCTCTCACCAAATGCCCCAATGCGCACAGCGTTGTGCCTCAACACCCCAACGCACACGGCCTTCTCGGTCTGTCTTCTGCTTTCCTCCCTGGTTTGGATTTTGCCTATGTTTCTTTGCAGTGGATTTGTAACGTCGTGAAGATTCGCCGCAATCCGCATCCCATCATCTACAGGTACAGTAATGGCTATAGGTACAGTGATACCTGCAGGTACAGTAATAATTACAGGTACAATAATACCTAGATGTACGATAATGTCAATGAGAACTGTAGCATTAACAGGTACAGAAATATATTCAGGTACACTAGGTTCTCCGGCTATAATGTACTAGTTCCACGAAAGCCACACAGAAATATATGTATATATAAATATGTACATATGAATATATAATGTACTAGGCTCGTTTGCTTATGACCTTTTCTTTCTTCCCACTCACCTGCTTGATTCGCACATGCCCCTCTCTGTCCATCTCACCCGTTTCGCTCCCCTTGTCTCGCTTCTCCTCCCCACTCTCCCCCATCCTCACACGCACGCACACATACACACGCGTACACACACTCACCTGCACCTACCCATCCACACACCCTACACGACACACTCACAAACCACACACTCACTCACCCACGCACCCACCCACCCATCCCCTCGGTGCAGTGAATCTGGACTTTGAAGACGCGGCAGCAAGGCTCGGACCAAGGC